TATAGCATTGACAAAAGGATTGTACCTCGGTTATCCAAACCGTAGATTGATCTTCAAGACTCCTCAGACAATGCGACCCTCGGAACTTCGGAACCTTTCCAACTCTCCTTTTTTTTTCTACAGCGATATGTCAGGGATTTGTGATGTCTGACGAAAGCTCCCGCTGAAGATACGCTAAAACCTTGATCCTTGTAAATTGACTCCATCCACCGGATGTCGATCATCCGGGATTCCGCGGGTGGTTTACGAGTGGTCATCAAATCCACTCACAAAGTGGATAATTTCCCAACCGAATTACGACGCAATACCTTTAGCACAGGTGAGTGTTTGAGAAGACCTTTTCTGCATTAGCATTAATTGTTTGTTATAGTATAGGTATAGAAAAGTACAAGTCCTTGCGGTCCAAAGTTACTCCCATCTCTAATTCCAGCGCTAGGTCCCTTTTTCCCTGTTCCCAAACACACGTAGCCCATCGTCGCATTGATGCCCAAGCCAAGGCCAAGCCAAGCCCATACCCTTATGGACTCCTTGACACACTCGTCTTGTACCCCCAGTCATTCCCCTCAGGCCCCCTCCTCCCACGATCACCCTCGGCGATATTGACCTCAGACTGCACGCTGATCTCCTGCGCGACCACGATGCCGCCGCCAGCACCAGCGGGCTTCCCGGCTTCGGGGAGGATGTGCTCGTCGCTGGCCCAGGCCGTGGTCTGGGGAACGGTCGCTAGCGGGTGCGAGCTGCCAGGTCCGCGGCGGCGACTAGTGTTGAACCGGCTCCCACCCATTTCGCTGCTGCGGAGCTGGTGGCTCTGCGATGCGGATTTTGTGCCGCGGCTGAAGAGAACGCTGAGACCGATCAAGCTGGCGCCTTTGCGGATGAGGGGTTGGATTATGGGCAGGTTTGTGACGATTATTGCGACAAATGTCTCGCGGCATGCCCATTGACTTCCTGCGACTGCGCCATTTGGACCGGCCTGTATTTGTTAGTGAATGATCTTTTGTGCATGGTGTTCAACTTACTGTGAGAATTGTCACGGCGCGAATTGTACCGGCCATCATGATGAAGAGAGCACCGCTAAAGAGCAGCATGAGCGTGAGTCTGCGTCGCAAACTAATGTTGACGCCCCAGAGAAGCTGCCAAGGTCAGATATGATCGTTATAGAACAGAGGATATGACTTACAGGTAGCGGGATGGAAAGTAGATAAATATCCGTCAAGATGTTGGGAATAACAACAACCAAGACATAAGCCGGCGACTTGGTCGGTTGGCAAAGAAGTCCCGGGTCTGGCGAGACTTGCCAGAAGTGATGAAAAGGTTGACAAGACAATAAAATCGTAAGCGCAACAACAGCATATGAAACACCAAGAATGATGTATGCGATCGTAACTCGAGTCTTGAGATGCGTCAATCCAGATCTGTAAGTGTCAGCCAACGTCCTCAACACCAACAGTCAACAACATACGTGAGTCGTCCATAAAACGCAGTGACGCAAAATTTGAGACACCACAGAATACAAGCATAAAAGGACCAGCCTATGACCTGAATCTTGGATCCCCAAACCCGATTATAATGTTCTTGCCCATTCATATCGATATCGGCGCGCTCTTGGTCCGTCATGTAACTATTCGTCAAGCCCTGGAACTTGGCACCGACGAGATACGCCGCAACTGTCTCTGCAGCGAAAATAAGCTGTAAGACACAAATGGTCAGGTCAGCAAAGGGCCCCGTGCATCTGCAGGTGATTGCGCCACTTACACCTGTGATGGGCATCAGATAATCATCCAACTGCCATCCCCCAAACCCAATCTGTCGGATTCGCACGCCCATTCTCACTCCGATGGTGACGAGCCCCAAAGAGAGGAGGATGAACTGTTCCTCGATACCCATGGTCACGACGGTTACCGAATCTCTGGGACCAAAGATCTGTGAACCAACAGGAAAAAAGCAAAAAAATGTGATAAAGAGCAGAACAAAACACAACACAGACGTAGGTGACAAGCCAAGGTCTATTAAAGTGAAATCACGCCTCGCCCACTACCGACGGCAGCAGTGCCGAAAAAGCCTGCATCCCGACAAAGTCTGCTATGACAATAAAGTTACATTCCCTTCTACCGCCATCCTTCTAAAACCCTCTGCTAAGACGCAGGCATGCATAGCTTGATGAACCGTGCGGCTCCGCAGCCCCTGCAGATCGCACATATAACATGGCGTGCCAGGTTCGCTATACGGAGCATTCGTCATATCCGGCATTGATCTGCCGGTGCTAATCATGCATTGGCAAGGAGCTGGCAGAAGGTGGTCCATTAGTTGACAGCCGGAGACATTATGTGAACGGGGATCGACCGCGGCGCGCGAGTAATTAATTGTTCAGGCGGTTAATCTTTTCGACCTGACTTGTGCGTCTGTAGATCGTTGAAGTGTCTGCTATTCCCGTGACTAGTCTTAGGTGAGACCCTGTTCAAAAGTGGAACTATTTTGCAAGAGATAAGACATTGGCATACTTGTTTATTGTTATTGACAAATATTTCTGATGACATATTGTAATTCTGGTGACAGACTGTGGCTTGTAGGGCGTAAATTGCATATTTGATATACTTCTCACCCATAAGCGGCGAGGTAAGAAGCCTGTCAGAAAGGTGAAGCCACGCCCCCGAAACCAAACCCCAATTTACAGGGCCTAGAATCTTGGCGTGCAACGACGTGTTGGTTCGAGTACAGTATTATCTTGTTTGATACCGGTTTCGTTTCATTGTGTCATCGGGGACCTTGTACAGTATGAGACACCGTTGCACCAGGAGCCCTAGCCTAGTCCATGGAGCTAGGTTGGACTAAACTGACGGGCGAGGAGAGGCGCTGTAGATCATATATATTCCTAGAAGACCCCTTTCCCCTCATTCCCTTTTATTGCTTCCTATTCCAAAATCACCTCATCTTAACAATTGACATTATTACCTCTGACTCAGAGACTATAACTCGATTCTCTACTATACCTACCATCCAATTGGTCAATATGGCTTCATCATTCGACTTTATCGTCGTAGGAGGTACGTCCGAGCGAACTGACTCAATCATCCCCTCCCACCTCTAGCCCAATGCCTGAGCACACATGGATCAACACCACTAGAACAAACAAACCGTCCCATTCTAACGCAAACTTTCGTCCCGCAGGCGGCCCAGCCGGCAGCGCCCTAGCAGCCAACTTCTCCCGCACCCCCAAGAAACCCTCTGTTCTTCTGCTCGAAGCCGGCGGCACAAACCAGGACCGCAATCTGCGCGTCGACGGGCAGCGCTGGACCACTTTTCTAAACCAGGACATGAACTGGGGCTACAAGACGGCGCCCCAAGAGTTTGCTAATAACCGTGAGCTGGATTATTCCCGCGGTAAGGGACTTGGTGGTTCGAGTGCTATCAACTTTGGTGTTTATAGTGTTGGTGCGAGAGATGATTATGAAGAGTGGGCGCGCATCGTAGGAGATGATGCGTATCGCTGGGATAAGATCCATGGTAGGTATAAGAGTCTAGAGACGTTTCATGGGGATCTGCCTGAGGGTGTTGATAAGAAGTATGCTGCGCCCAAGGCGGAGGACCATGGGTCTGAGGGGAAGCTTCATGTTGGGTATGCTGGCGAGTGGGAGAAGGATCTCCCCCCTGTGCTGGATCTGTTTGAGAAGGCTGGGTTTCCACTGAATCCTGACCATAATTCTGGAAATCCATTGGGAATGTCGGTTTTGATCAACTCGAGTGCCAAGGGACGGAGATCAACTGCGAATGACCTCTTGGAACCTAAGCCTGAGAATCTTACTGTTTTGACGGATTCGACTGTTCAAAAGGTTCTTTTGGAGGGGAACAAAGCTATTGGCGTTGAAGCCAATGGCAAGAAGTGTAAGTCCTCCTTATCAACCTCAAGTTGTTGATCTTGGAATTATGAGTACATAAACTAACATTCGCAGACCTCGCCTCCAAAGAAGTCATCCTCTCAGCCGGAGCCCTCAACACCCCCAAGATCCTAATGCACTCCGGCATCGGTCCCAAATCTCAACTCCAACAATTCAACATCCCCGTCGTCAAGGACGTCCCCCGCGTAGGCCAAGGTCTGCGCGACCACATGTTCACTCCCCTAGTCTACACCCGCAAACCAGGCGACACCGCCCGCGACACCTTCTACGGCGACAAGAAAGCCATGGACGACGCCCTTGAGCAATGGCGTCGCGACGGTACAGGTCCTTGGACAAAGTTTGCCTGCGAGTTAGGCATTGGCTGGTTCAAGCTTGATAAGCTCGTCAAGTCAGATGAGTTCAAGGCTCTGCCGAAGGAGGAGCAGGAGTTTCTTATGAAGGAGACTGTGCCGCATTATGAGATTCTCACGCATTTTCCTATTCACTGGTTCATCCCTGAATTTCCTGACTCAGCGCTTAATTACTCTTGTATTCTTGTGTTTTACTACAATGCGCAGAGTCAAGGAGAAGTCACGCTTCAGTCATCTGATCCCAACGCTCCGCTGAAGTTTGACCCCAAGTTCTTGGCTTCGCCTTTTGATCGTCGTGTAGCGATCGAGTCACTCCGCGATGCGTTTAGACTCGTCAAGCATGATGGCTACGCTAAAGATAACGTTGCTATGCTTGCTGGACCGCAGGGTGACTCGGATGATGAGCTTTTGGAGCACTGGAAGAATACTATTTCTTCGAGTTGGCATATGACTGGTACTACCAAGATGGGTAAGAAGGGAGACCCTGATGCTGTTGTTGATAGTGACTTCAAGGTCATTGGCTTTGAGGGTCTTCGTATTGCGGATATGGGTGTCGTTCCTGTTCTGGCGAGCTGTCATATCCAGTCTGTTGCGTACGTGACTGGTATTACAGCTGCTGAGAAGCTCATTGCTGAGTATAATCTCGCATAGATGTCGAAGGAGGATCACTAGAGCGCAGCGATGTTTAGACTTTAGTTATCAATGATTGACGAAATATACTCATGTTGATATCATCTCCATGCCCCTCGAACCCTTACACTCGACCGTCCATATCGCACGTCCTAACAAACAAAGGCTTCACCTCACAGCGCTTCCTATGAAGAGCCCTCTCCCTGTCATCAGGATCCCCGCCCAGAAACTCTTCATCCTGCCACAGCCGAACATTAATCCTACGACCTCGAAAGTCCCCCTTGGCATGATCCTCCCACTTGAAATTGTGCGCCTGAAACCAAATCCTCTTTCGTTCTATCGCCCAGTAATACCATTCCTCGATCCAGTTGGACCCGCCATCCCCAGCATCGTGGTCTTCGTACTCAAACATGTTGAACTCGATCTTCAGCAATGGCTCCGGCCAAGCTGCCCTGAGCTTCTCGACATGTTTCTCCCAAACACGGAAGTACGCGGTCCAGTTCCCGAACCAGAAGACAAACTTGATGGTTTTGAGGGCTGGGAGACTTTGTTTCAGAGCGAGAATGTCGTTGATGAGCTTTTGGGGAAGTTTTGCACCTTGACTGTCAAGATCGTCCCAAGAGAATTCATCCTCAACGGGGTCTTCATCATAATCTTCTTCCAGATCTGAATCTGGATAGTAGGAGATAGTCGTCTGTGACATTTCAATGATGAGGGTGCTGGAGAGTTGCTTCATGATTCTGGAGCACGCAATCCTGGGAACTATACTCCATTCACCAGTTGCATAAGTGCTAGGTTCTTGAAGTGGAACAACAATAGCGTGGCTCTGATAAAGACGAGGCTGAAGATCGTCTGATATGATTTTATGGACGTAGAGCAAGGGAAGGGTATCGGGGGAATAGGCGGTTTGAGTCGTAAAGGCATTGCTGAACTTGACGTCTTGGAGCGCGTAGTCATAGACCATATCCCTGACCTCTCGCGGTAAGTCCAAAAACGAAGTTTGAGAATCCATGGCTGCGAGGGTGCTCATATCGCCTGGCTTTTATGATGAGAAACGGTGTTTGGGTGAAGAAGCCTTCTTATATCGTGAGAGGTATCCACCATCAAGTTTGGCATCCACTGCTAACGGGTTGGTTGCCTAGGAATGGAGAAATTTGAGATTAATTAGCCCACCCTGCGCCGAATTAAGCCAGAAGGATAAGGAGATAGAATGAATAAAGTGGTACGGGCTAAATTGGGTATTGACCGAAATCCACAGTTCAGAGTATGAGGCTATTCAGCAGAAACGTGGATCAAAGCTTCTCCCGATAGAATCAGAGTTCCTCCAGCTATAGTGATGGAAAAGAATGTTACTTGTGAAGATACTGGAGACGTCTCTCAGCTTGGCTGTATTCAATAACTCCATGGCCTTGACGCGGTTGCGGTTCCAAACTCTTCCATTTCATAGTTTCAACAACCTTCTTTGAAACGAATAATGGTTCTTGGCCACCAATAGGCTGATTTTCCTTATATATAGAAAGAGTTAGGTTTATGAGAAAAATGTCCAGAATGCACCTCAAATACGGACGTTTTTGAACTAGTACCCAACGATTAAGCCCTGGATATAGCGCCAACCTATGCACTCCCTCACCCCAGCTCTTCTCATCGATATCATGCCCTCGAAATACGCACGAAAGTCTCACTCTTTACTTTCAGGCCATTTCCAAAAGATATTGGACCCCTCAACATCAGCCAAAGGATTCCCTTCACCATCCTTCGCTGTTCCAAACTGCTCATTAAACCCGCACTTCCTGTAGAAATCATCTTTGCCCAACGCGCTCACTACCGAAGCACAAACTCCTTCAGCTTCAGCCTGGTCAAGACCCCATTGCACAAGCTGCCGACCGACGTTCTGCCCTTGAAAATCTGGGCGTACGGCTAATGCTTCGAGATACCAAGACTCAGCACGTTTGCCGCTCCATATTGTGTCGAAGTGAGGATATGCTCTTTCGATAATGTCTTCTTCTTTGGGGTCAACTGCACGACTTGGTTTGGCCCAGGCGTGAAGCATCATGGCGACTGAGGATAGCGGTTTCAATAAGTTACCTAAGACCGTGTTAGCTAAGTCAAAAGTAGAAGAGACATATAACTCACGAGGATCATAGAATGGTAGATCAAACCGTTTGCCCCCTTCTCCAAGCCTCGCCCACTGTGCAATACCAACAACGATCTCTTTACCATTCTCATCCTTCGCAACAGCGACAAGCCATTTCCATCGATAATCCCAGAAATTGACCCGTGCACGTCGCAGCCAGTACAGATCTACATCATCAGGGTACTCGTTCCGATGCGGGTGGATCAGATCGCCAAAAAGGTTATCGCCCCAAAAGGCCTTTGACATGACATTTGCGATCTCCGGAAGTTCCGAGTAATACGCATCGCGTAGCACGACCTCGGACATTGCGAGTCAGTTGAGGAATTATTTGTGTACGGAGTAAGCAAGAGCCAGGAGTCTTGTATTTCTGGGACAGTCTTCTGAAACGGTCTAGAACTGCTGTTGGTTGTGGTTTTTCTGACATGATCCGATTAGCCCGCTTCAATCCTTGTCTCCAGATCCTGCGAGAGGGTTTTTCTTCATATCCTGGACGCTGGAAGGGTTCCGCGAACCTGGCGTGACATGACATGGATGAAGCCCTTGTACGTGCATGTGAAGCTCCACTCCCACTGCATGTCTCAGGGCATCACTGACTCAAAACCCGGAGAACTTTTGTCTGAATCAAAATAGCACGTTATTGATGTGTTGGTTTGGTCTATCGCTTAGTAAATACATCCTGATGGTCCTCGTACGTGACGTTCCACGCAACCTCCTTATTAATAATCAACTCTTGACTCCCAGCTCGCGAACTTGATCCCTCCTCCGACACATCGCGACTATTACTCCTACTCGATCTATGTGCCGCTGTAGTTTGATTCGACACCTGATCAGGTCTCCAATTCGCACTATGAGCTGTAGCAGTCGCCGAAGCTGCATTCGTAGAGCGATTATTCCGTAGTGATTGCAGTGCATAAGCCTTGCTTGAACCCGACATCGTAAAGTCAAATGCCACTGGGAAGCCCATGCCTATGGAGAAGGACTTGAGGAAGTTCTTGAGGTTGGGCATTGTCGCGGAGATGAGAGACCATGCGATCATGACTTGTTGGCAGATGAGGGTGTTTGTAACGGCGAATTGAGGCTCGAGAGATGATGGGTATTTTTGGGAGTATGCGAGATGGACGGAGGAGATGGCGATGAGTGGGATTCGGAATGAGAATGCTGTGACGACTTGGCATTTGCGGGCGAAGGAGATGTTGACGGACCACGAGAGGTGAAGAACGAGGAGCCAGGTTAGGATTTCGGTCAAGATGTCGATTGCTGTGATGACGCCCCAGCGTGCGCTCTACCAGTAGACATTAGACTCGGCTGTGAAGGATACGATTGAGTAGGGTCATACCTGATCTGGGCATTGCTTGACGTTATTCACAGTCAACAATGTCCCAGCGCGACAGTTCACAAGCCATGCCAAACTTGAGCCGACGCCCCATAGCCCAGTGAACATCATGAGTGCCACGCAGACCATCTTGTTCTTGCCGGGCTTAGAACTGATGATGCGATGTATAAGGGCGAGGACAGAACATTTCGCGAGACTGAGAGCTAAAAGGGTGAGAATGACGGATGCGATCGTGCACTACCACTCACTTCGTAAGCACAAGAGAATATGAGCAGAGGCTGAGACTCACCTTTGAAGAGATCGCCCATTGTTCCGCCGTCGTAATCGAGTTAAACTTGCCCAATCCATTACTCAACCCAATAAACACAGCAATCGCCTGCGCCAAATGCAAAACCTACAAAGTCAGCATCTCATCAAAACAAACGCAAATCACAGGCATTTCTCACCGTCGCAGCAGTAAACAAAACGTCGTCGAACCCAAACATCTTGTACTTGATATAAGCCCTTGCCAGCGCAATAAGCGAGGTGTAGATCAGCGACAAGATCGTCACGATCCATAACTTTCCCGCATGATCGTTGAATGTAACGGGAGAAAACCGATATAGATCATCGTTCGGATCCATGTTTCACAAGATCTGCGACAATACAGAAAGAAGAAAAGAACAGAATTCATTCCATTAGGTATTTAGAAATGCAGAATTATTAAGGCTGCATGACCTGAATCCTTTTCGGCCTCCCGGACTCTTGGTATTCATGTTGACTCGAACCAACGGCACAGCAAGTCACCTCGCTAGCGATCCTCGTAAAGAATTTCCGCTGAAGATATTTCTTACGTATTCCATTGGTGAAGGCTTCACATGGGGGGCCCTGGTTGGTAGATTGGATCATGCAAGCCACAGCATGGGTGAACCAACAGAGGAAGCAACTCGTGAGATGTGATGATTGTTTTAACCGAGGAGACGGAATATTACTCACGCAATGTGATGTCTGTCACGTACTGCCACGAGGAGATCGGCAGTTGACATATGTTGGCTTGAGTGGCTGATCCTTAACAGAAATAACTTCACTCTTCTCGAAGCCAGAGTATTGACCAACGTGATGAGATGTGTTCTGGTGAAGAAAAATACTTCATTTTGGCTGAAATCAATGCCTGTAACCGCCAAGACTGTTGGTCGCATGAGACTCCACCATGTTCCTGACTCCATTTGTCGAACGACTCAATGAATCCGACCTTCGCCTAAAGACAAACCAAAAAGCAAAACTCGGCCGACACCAAGAATAATGAGGAGTCTCGTAACTGCAATGGCTATGACAATAGCATGACTTTGACAAACATGTCGTTTGGTTCAAGTCAACTTAACAACAGCGGAAGATCCTTCCGGACTTCGGCACGGGACGGGGGAGGGAGGATCACCAATTAGTAAGGGCCTAGCCAGGGTCTCAAGTTCAAACAGGGGTCCATACAATTTTGGCAAGGGTTGGTTGGGTGCACCGAGGAGAGGAACTGTTGGCGGGTGTGCGTCCCTAAAGAGTGTTGCCATGCCGCACTCCTGCATTTCTATTACCGAAGCATCTGCATGTTCGCCTTTTTCTTTTTTTGTTCCTCGATTTGTTTTATTTTCTTCTTTAAATTAACGCTTCTCTTTCACTAAGTTGAGCTTTTATTGGGAAAGAGTACGTCAAAATGTCTGCTGAAGGCGATAAACGATCAGTCGACGTTCAAGATGCTGCGTATGGCATCAATGAGGCCAGCGAGCATGTTGATGAGAAGAAGGGTAATGCGGCGGATCGCGCTGACATGTACCGCATGGGAAAGACTCAAGAGATGACGGTTCGTCGCAAATATCGCTCCTATGACTGTGTTAGACTAACAAATATGCTAGAGAAACTTTCGCTTCTTGTCCATCTTTGGCTTTTCCATGATTCTAATGGCATCTTGGGAATTCTCCCTCAGGTCCGTTGCATTGACGCTAGAATATTTACCAAAGCTGACCTTTGCAGTGTCTCGACAATCGGTCTCGTCAACGGCGGCACGGCAGGTCTCATCTGGATGTTCTTCGTCTGCTGGATGGGCTTCCTCCTCGTCAACACCTCTATGGCCGAAATGGCTTCAATGTCTGTACCTCCACCATTACTTCACTGCCAATTACTGACGGATCTACAGGGCTCCTACGACAGGAGGTCAATACCACTGGGTATCCGAATTCGCACCCCCGCAATACCAGAAACTCATTAGTTACCTCATGGGCTGGATGTGCGTCCTCGGCTGGCAGACATCATGCGCTTCATCAGCCTTTATCGCCGGAACGCAAATCCAAGGCCTCGTGGTGCTGAACTACCCCGAATACGTCCCCAAGCCATGGCACGGAACACTCCTCACCATCGCTGTAGCTGCGTTCTCAGTTGTCTTCAACACACTCCTCGCTAGAAAGCTGCCCTTGATTGAAGCGACAGTTCTAGTCATTCACATTTTTGCCTTCTTCGGAATCTTGGTCACACTCTGGGTTCTCTCACCACGCGCTGATGCCACAGCTGTGTTTACCGAGTTCACTGACGGCGGAGGCTGGGGAAGCATCGGTGGTTCAACGCTCGTTGGTATTCTGGCGGGTGTGCTGCCGTTGCTTGGTGCTGATGCTGCTGTGCATATGTCTGAGGAACTGCGTGATGCGAGCCGTACTCTGCCAAAGGCTATGATCTCAACGACTGTTTTCAACGGTGCCTTTGGCTGGATCATGGTTATCACTTACTGTTTCTGCATCGGTAACCTTGAGGAGGTTATTGCTTCGCCAACAGGATACCCCTTCATGCAGGTCTTTTTGAACTCGACTCAGTCGACGAGTAGTGCTACTGCGATGGCGTCTTTCCTGGTCATCATGACTGGTTTCTCCAACCTTACCATGGTAGCTACATCGTCTCGTCAGCTCTTTGCCTTCGCACGAGATCACGCTGTTCCGTTCAGCCCTTGGTTTTCCAAGGTCCCTACAGGATGGGATGTACCAATCAACGCTATCCTGACAACCTTCTTGATCTCGAGTCTCCTGTCTCTTATCAACATTGGTTCAGCAGTCGCCCTCAACTCAATCACTTCACTCGCAACAACATCCCTTCTATCGAGCTACATCGTTTCAATCGGCTGCATGATCTGGCGAAGATCCACAAATAGTCCTCTTCTTAAGTCCAAGTTCAGTCTTGGAAGATGGGGTCTTTCTGTCAACATCATCTCCGAAGCCTTCCTCATCATCATCTTCGTCCTGGCTTTCATGCCTGGAAATCCCAACCCGTCTCCATCAGAGATGAACTGGAGCATTCTTATTTACGGAGCTGTGGCGGTGTTTTCCGTGGGATATTATTTATTCCGGGGAACCCATCATTATGAGGGCCCAGTAGCATATGTCAGAAAACTTGAACAGTAGGGGCACCAGAGCATAGCAAGATTTGTCTTGTAAATTTCCCTGGTTTAAGTCAGGGCTTGAGTTAGTTCCCTCGTATTAATCTAATAAAATTGAATATACTCTATATTCAGCTACCTAGCATATTGCTAAAAGAGCCCGATTTTCCCTGCCTGAAAGCCTAAAGGTTAAACGCCGAAGGCCTACTCTGTAAGGGGGTAAGGGATCGGATCAGACCATGTTGTGTGGGGTGGATACCCTAGACTAGGTAGTTCCGGTAGGTAATCAGACCCCATTCAAGGCCTTTGGAAGAGCTCAATTAATGTCGACAAAGAACCCGAGATTGGGCCAAGATTTTGATGAAGAGTACACTCATAAACCTATACTAAGATACATAAAACTTTCCGCTGTTTAATATCAAGGCCCAGTTGGGCGATGATGCTGCTAAGGAACCTCAATCATGACAGTAAATCAATTTTCCATCTATCCTCCATGAACGCCTTTACCTATAACCCAACCCTTTTATCATCCGTCATAAAAATCCCATAATTTACATAATAAGAATCGGTGTCTCACTACTAACTATCTCCGTCCACCTCCTCGTGCCCTGCATACTCCAAATCGTCCCCAACGCCTTGACCGCAACAGGAATACTTCCAAAGTTCGTAACACTATACAAATCCGCCAACCTCCCCGCAAAGAACTCTCTATGCTCTGGAAGAATGCTCTCTGCAGCAGCGATAAAGTACGTCCATACAAGAGCGTGCGCTCCTTTCGTTGTAGAGTCGAGGTTGAGGACTTTAAGACGTAGTTGCTCGACGAGATGGATGGACTCGTCGTCGTCGAGGGAGGATTCGGCTCGGCGGCGATAGATGCTGCATGCGTCGAAGATGGCGGAGCGGATGGTTTCCATGTTGGTGAAGTGTTCGGATTGTGGGGGGAGTTCGGGGTAGGCCATGAAGTCGAGGTATGCTTCGGGGCCGGTGAGGACTTGAAGGCCTTTGGATTCGTTGGCTAGAGGGACGCCAAAGAGTTGGAACCTAAGAAATGAGTCAGTGGACGGCCACAAATTCATCAGTAAATGATCTTACATCTTGATCTGCTGAAGGAAAAAGTCCTTCAGATTTGGTGGTAGCATTGATATCCAGTCTGGATATTGAGTAAGGCAGTTGAGCATCTCCAAAAGGTATCTATAGTTGTCGGCGCCAGTGATCGTTTCACCAACCAAGAGGACCAAGATCGTCGCGAGGATATATGGGTTGAAGAGTTGTTCAGGGCTAAGTTGAAGTGAATCCCGCCGTAGCTTCTGGACAATAGCTTGGTGACCTGCTTCAGCGATACGTTGTAACCTTGGATCTCTTTGTCCCAAGTGAAACGCCGAGACGACTGATACAGCTTGTGCGAGGTTCTCATCTTGTTGGGCGAGCGGTAGGATGACGTCTCGATATCCGTTGCTGAAGGAGAATGAGTCTAGTACAACCATGTGTCCGGCGATGGTCTCGGAGACTAGGTGCGTTAGAGGAGACCCTCAGGAAGAAGTTGAGGCTGGAACTTACAATGACTGAACAACCTCCTTGTCTGGGCATTCGAAGCCTCATTCAGCGCAGGATGCATCGTAACACCGTATCGATACGGCATAACAACACCACCAAACTCAGAAGCCGAGTCATCCGACGACGGCGACGCAGCATCATCAGAAGACGCCGAGTCAGGAGGATTCGACGACGTCGGACTATCAGAAGTAGCCCGTCCCTTGCTCTTCCTCACCCTCTCCTTTCTCATCCTCTGCGCGGAATCAACCCATCTGAGACTATTGCCAGATTGAGTTTCCGCCGACGAGATGAAAGTCAAAGCCAATGGCTTTCCTCCTCCGGGTGTGGAGTCAACAGCCATGTGGCTGCTGTACCTACACCGCAGGCCCTGCCCGGAGCAGGAGATGCCCTTTTTCTGACACTTGAGGCATTCGGGCTCTGTCTTGTCACACCTAAGACGTCTCTTGCAGCACTCGTAACAGCCTAATAGTCAAGCTTGTCAGCCCTATATCACATCATGTGGAGTTTTCTCAAGCACGCACCGTTGTTCCTCTTAGCAAGCGACATTTGAAAGTTAAGAAATACCTAATTTGGGAAAAAACAGGTGACCCTCTCTCTGTCTCTCGGTATCTTGCCTGTTTTGGGGAGGGACCGTAATCTATTACTTATACTCAATCGTTTCATGGGCGAGGTATGGATAGAAGGTTGAATTATGATGAGTTTACGAGAGCCCGGTATGTGAGATACGCGCTTGCGTGCTGGGGATTACGCATAAGACATGGCGTCTAGGGTGCATAGAGTTGCATGCTCGACGCTATTGATTGGTGAATTGTCGGAGCTTCTAGATCAGGGTCTAGACAGAGCTAGCGGCAATTCCGGGCCACACCGAAAAGTGACGGACATTGGGAAAGGATTTGAATGGAAGTAGGGTAGGGTAGTGTACGGGGTAGTGACAAATGTCACCGACAAGCCGTGGCGTGTAGCGATGACAATTACTTGTGCTAATATTGTATTTCATTATCTATTTTGAGACATTGTTACCGACAGTTTGGTTACTGATCACTGACTAATTGAAGATCTGGAGACTATCATGGAGATCGATGACAAGGGAGGCTCAGAAAACAAGCTTCGATAAACGCCACAGCGCCCTCCAAGGAACAAGACTAGAATCCAAATTGTAGGGTCTCCTTTTCTCACATGAGAAAAAAGGATAGGCAAAAAGTAAGACTAGCAGAATATCTCACAGTGAGACACGGCATGGCTTGCAAGTTTACCAGGAAATGGGAACCAGCTCGCAGCCACAATATCTCAGCCGCACCGTCAGACTGAACTCGTCATGGAATTTGAGAACCTTTAGGTCCAATTGAAGGGATCGGAGTCTCTGCCGAACATATCTCGACGGGAAGGGATCGCGATCCCCGGAGCCTTCGGTCAGTGACATGCCGCGGATATCTTCCTCCCTTCCCAAGCGAAAAACGTGGGAAGCTAGAGCTGTCTGGGGAATGGTATGGCCCGTGGGGAAAGGATGAGAATTTTCGCATAATTAATGCCGTAATTACCGTCGGTTAAATTCTTCGGTATTGAATCGAGTGATAGTCTGGTTGTCAAAGCGAAATGTCTCGGTGCTACTCCGTACTTTGTTTGTAGCCACAAACTCTGTTTCCAGTAGTTCAGTCCCAACCGGCCGGTTCCGACCATCCCAATGTAGACTTACCGTCGTCGAAGCTATCATCAAGACCCCGCGGGGTATTTTGTGCTAGCATTTATGCCAAGACCTGTGATTTACATAAACTTGATAAGGAGCCCACTACCCATTCGTAGAGCTCCCAAAGGCTCAAACAGCTATCTCCGTTATCTGCTTATCGGCCTTCGGTTCGGTTGATTACCTACCGAGATGGGCAGGCTATCACGAGAATTTTTTACACCAGATCCATAATTTATCATGTTATTCCCGGTTTTTATTCTGGAGCGGTATCGGGGACTTTTTCATCACGTTAGATTTTCTGACCGTAACATGATTGTGACAAGCTATTTAACATTGCGATACCGCAGTTTCCTCACCGTGAATTTGTTGTTTGTTAGAATTGAGTAAAAATGGCTGAAAAAACACCCCAAACTGATGAGAACAATGGTGAAACCATGTTGTGAGTTCGTGATGCCCTTGAACGTGAAAAAAATGCTAATTGGAGAAGCAAACCAATTAATACACTACGTCGTGAACCGACGAGGTCGGAGATGCAAGATCTTGAAATCATCGCTTCAGCAGGCGCATCTTTCCGACCCGGCGACATTCCCCCTCCGCCAGACGGCGGCATCGAGGCATGGACACAAGTAGCAATGGGCTGGATCGTCATCTTCGCAACATGGGGCTACGTCAACTCCTTTGGAAGTTTTCAAGCGCACTACACCTCCACCCTCCCCCAGTCGCCCTTCCAAATCTCCTGGATCGGCTCGATTCAAGTATGGTTTACCTTCTTTGGTAGTGCATTCTCTGGAAGATTGCTAGACGCTGGATTTTGGATCCCTACGTTTCTCGTGGGCGCGGGATTGCAGCTCATTGGGATTTTCATGATGAGCTTGTCGACTTCGTACTGGCATCTTATGATTACGCAGGGTGTTGTCACTGGTATCGGTGGGGGTATTATCTTTGCGCCGTCGTTGGCGTTGGTGGCGACGTATTTTGAGAAGAGGAGAGGTATTGCTATTGGACTTGTTACGACGGGTAATTCTCTCGGTGGTACTGTCTATCCTCTTGTTGTTCGGGCGCTTCTCCCTAGTATCGGTATGCCGTGGACGTCGAGAGTGTTGGGGTTCATTAATTTTGCTGGATTTATACTCGTCGCTATTTTCATGAGGCCAAGGCTTCCCCCGCGACAGACTGGCCCTATTATCGACTGGAGTGCTTTCAAGGATACTCTTTACGTATCTTATGTGGGCGGATTGTTCTTCTTTGTGTGGTCTGTGTATTACACTTTCTACTATGTGAGTACCCCTAGCAATCCCTTTTATGGGTTTACTGACAATCTTGAAGCTTGCTTCGTTTGGCCAAAAAGAAATTGGAATGTCTTTCGCCGATTCATCACTCATAACCACCATAATCAACGCCGTCGGTCTCCCAACCCGAGTCCTAATCCCCGTCCTCGCAGATAGAATCGGCCCACTCAATACAATCGCCCCAGCAGCTCTTTGCGTCGCCATAGTTGCATACACATGGGTCGCAGTCCACGACGTTGCCGGTGTTTACATCTTCTCCATCTTCTACGGCATTGCATCCGGCGCTTTCCAAAGTCTTATGCCCACTGGAGTCGCTAGTATCACAAAGAGACTTGATACAATTGGGACGAGAATGGGTATGTGTTTTAGTCTTGTCTCCTTTGCGGGTTTGTCTGGACCGCCTATTGGGGGATTGCTGCAGGATCGGAGTATTACTGGGGCTCATATCTGGGCTGCGCTTTCCAGCACCCTCTGCGCGGTACTGTTAGTTCTTGCGAGGGTTTTGAAGGTTGGTTGGAAGGTAAAGACTAGATGTTAGATCCAGTTCTGTGTGGCGGTTATAAGCTCAGGCATGGCTCAATCTTAGACAAAACTACATGGATATTCTCAACAATCTAGCTAGACTAATACTTAATCGAAATCATAGAACTTCCATCCCGCCTTGAAATCCTTCGTTAGCTCGTCGTTCAAAATCAACGCCTTGACCATCTCAATCGGCAGGCCACCAGTCTTCAAAATCGCATCATGATACTCCTTCTGCGTCATCTTCCCACTATCAACAGCCATCTCTCTCAACTTCCAAAGCTGAAGCGCTCCAAGCATATACCCAGCCTGATAAAGCGGCGAATACGTCCCTTCAACAGATCTTCTGACCTCACCTTCAGCCGTACTTCTTTCATGATTGATCCTCTCAACGAGCAGGTCAACAGCCTCTTGAGCCGTCATCTCTCCTAAGTGAAATTTCAACGAGAAGATAATTCTCAGACAGCGATGCATACGCCACCAAAGTGCACCGATCCTATTCTCAGGAGACTTGTGGAAATCATCTCGTGCATAGAACAGAAACTCCCAGTATAGTGCCCAACCTTCCACAAAAAAAGGTGTATCGAATATTTCTTTCCTATGGGAGTTATACCGATCTGCCATATAGAGCTGTAGTCTGTGCCCAGGGAACATCTCATGGAAAGCCGTGGCATGAGCGAAGTGCTTATTATTTCCTCTCATGACCATGAGTTTAAGATCATGCTCCATTGATGAAACGGGATAGGAAACTTGAATAACCGGACCGCCGAGGAAGAATGGCGAGACCTTCTGTTGTTCTGCGCTGATCATCGTCATGCGCCATGTTGAGTTTGCTAATGGGGGGATGGTGACGAGATCTCGTTCTGTGACGAAGAGACTTCCTTCTACGACCAAGTTGCGAACGAATTCTGTTTGCTTTCCGGGATCGACGTAGTCGTTTTTGACATGCTCGAGAGCTTTCTTCCATTCTTTGCCGTAGCCGAGAGCTTCGGACTGTTTAATCATTTCTTTTTCACACCATGCGAACTCTTGGTTGCCAATCTTGATAAGCTCCTCAGGCGTATAGGGAATCATCTCGGCTTCAAGCTCAACTTCCAAACCTTTTCGTCCGATTGGTTCCCCGACAATGGCATCTTCATCATCCTTTTGGTTCATTCCAGCCAGCTTCGTCTGGACAACGTCAAGGTAGTTCGTCAGAGAAGTGTTGGCCGCTTGCCAAGGTGTTGTAACCCAGAAATCGAAAAGGGGATCGTAAGTCGAGTAAAATGAGAACCATTCGCCCAAAAGATCCAGAAGGTTGGTGATGGCTTTACTCGCGAGATAACCTGTCGTTTCCGTAACATTGAAACCGCCCTCCTCCACTTTAGTCTGAACTTTGGCGATAGATTTGGTGATGTTGTTCAGCAAACCCGCCGTTTCTTTGGCTTTCATCGGATCAACATCCTGACGCGCCTCAAGCATTCCAATAAGATCATCTGAAAACGGAAGCAGAGGATCATATTTCTCTTTCGAAGCCTTTTGAAGATCAAGGTTGTTGAGTTGTCGTGTATGGTACGTGTTGAGCATGATATAATCCACTTTGCCTTCTTGATCAAGATGCTCAAAGTCAATGCCGCCAAGAAGATCCTGCTCGCTCTTGTGATATGTCGTCAAGGCTTGATACCGGCGCGGGGCCATATCAATGTTGTAAAACTCATCGAGCTCACCAAGGTCTGCCCACGTGCGGATGACATGATCGGTCATGGACAAGTTGAAGGAATCTCCCGCGATAGCGAATGAACCCCATTGGCCACCAAAGTGACTGCCTGCTAATGCCATCTTTGTAAGTAGCATCAGTGTATAGTTAATACCAAAGGTGCTGAAGAAGCCGATGACAAGTATAAGCAGCCACAAACTCATCATCTCAAAGAGGGGTCGTGAGTTAATCTTTATACTCCAGATATCAATGTCGTAATACTCATACTTCAGCCATGTAACCCGTTAATATCGGACGTGTGATCCGCGATGTCGATCCGTGCGACTTTTTCAAAGTTCTTGTATGATAAAGCAGGGTTCCCCGCCCGCAGGAAGCTAGGCACTTTTGATATTTCCTGTCATACAAGGATCACGATATACTCTATTTGGTAGGTAGATAGTGTCCTATACGTCATATTCGAAAGACAATTCTCTTTAGTGTTTAATTAGGAGTCGGTTGTATGCAGAGAAACGTTGCATGGTATATCTAGGTAGAATTTATGGTTCTTTTAGGGTTTTGCTATCGGGCTGCTCGGGAGGGAGATACGACATGATTGGTTGGTTTGGATGGGAATACGATGGGAGATCACTGCCGATGTTTTGAGTTTGTTGTGAAATGAGGCATTGAGCATTAAGTTACATGAAATAATAAATAACGCCAGCCATTCCTAGTCTCACATCTAGGCACCCACCAGATGTCAATTTCCTAAGCTCAAAATTTGGATTTGCTTAAATGTTTTCAACCTTACTCCTCGGATACTACCGTTCTTCACTTATGCTCGTGCTTAGCCTTCTTCTTGGGTCTCATCTCACCCTCATAGATCTTGAAGAAATTCTCCGGCTCAGTCGGATGCTCGCCAGTAACATCGTGGAAAGCAGTGGTGGAGATGTAGTTGGTTTTGCCCTCCTTCACAAGGCTGTAGTACTCGAGGAGATATTGCTGCTCGGACGGGTCGATGTCAGACTGGGACTTGAGAACTCTTTTTGCTTCGGCACTGGAGATAACCTGTTAGTAATTTGGGGTGTGGACAGGTGGGTGGCATACTGAGAGATGTTCTCGAACTGAAGTTCGGCACCAAGAGCTTTGCTGGCCGCGGTTGCGAGCTCTTTGCCTGCGCAAAGCATTGGACCTAAAATAATCAGCCTGATTGCTTGTATGCACTGGAGAAGTCTAACTTACCAGTGACTACCATCATTTGGCCGCGGTGTCGGTCATCGAAACCGTGCTTGCCCTTGCCAGTCAGAACATGAGCAGCGACTTGAGCGACATCCTGCAGCTTTTTCAGTATAATCCCTTATCGGCGCATCAAAGTTGACTTACTCCAAGTGCAACAGGCGCAAATTTGTGGAATTCTCCAATTGGAAGTGGAAGAATGCCCTCCGACTTAGCCTGCTGCGCATACAACAAAAGGTTCTCAGCATAGAACCCAGCCCTAACCAATTAGCTCTCTCCCCTCAATCATCACGACAAACTCACCGAATAATACAAGGCGACGTCCCCGTAGAAACATCCGGATCTCCTTTAGCCTCCATAACCAACGTCTCCAAATCAATAAACTCTCTCAATCTCGGCTGCTTCCCCCTCTCCGCATAATCACACCCCGCCGAACTAATAAGCAGCACATTCGGAACATCCGCCTTCTTCGCAGCATGAACAAGCTCCTCACTAATCTCAAGCTTATGCTCGTGAGCAGGAGGAACAAGACAGATGGTGTCGCATCCAGTGTCTTGCAAGGTTTTGGCCATTACTCGGAGACGGCCGGGCTTGTGGGGGATGATTTTGGCGCCGAGGTCTTGAAGTTCTTTTGCTTTTGGGGAGTCGGGGTGCAGGGTTAGACCGACGACGGAGGAGACTTTGCGGGAGAAGTCGCGGTGTTTGAGGATTAGTTCGGCGATGAGAAAGCCCGTGTTGCCATCGACGGCGGTGATGCAGATGTTTCGTGACATTGTGAAGGTCTCGTAGCCTCGTAGGGGATCGAAATGTAAGGATAAGATGGTCAGCCTTGGCTAATTGATGCGAAAAGGGGCAGAAATTGATCAAGAGTATTTATATGGTGCTTTGTGACCTTATACTCAATTAGTCGTCATATCTGCTGGCTCCCCTCAGGTAACACAACTTTCGTCATTCATCGCAATTGACTCCCGTTATGATGCTCTACGTACGTTTGTTAAATGACAAACCTATCAAAGCGGAGGGAAATCTCCGGCAACGCCATTTACGTACCAACGAAGTCATTTCTGAGACTGAGACATTGCTGAGAGGACTGACGACAGGATTGCGAAATTGCGAGGTAAGGCGGACCAGCTTCCATTAAACCCCAGATCGGCCCAGATTGGCCTAGTCTAATTTGTGAGCCAGATGTGTTATTTGCAGTCAAGAGTCATCACGGAGACCTAATGTCAGTGCAGAGAACGTAGTCGGCCCATCCCGGCCAAAATCGTGATGATGGCCGCTCCTTGTTTCATTTTTAAGACTGCTGTATAAACACCCAAGTCTTAATAATTACCTTAAAAGTTTAATAATCATTTGCCAACTATCTACACAGCCTAAACTCTTGATTGAACTAGGTAACGCAGAAATTCTCCGTGTCATGTCAAATGTTTCATCAAGGGTTCTTGAATGTTGACGATATCAGGTTTTCCTAACTCGGCAAATGTCACGACCAAAGTGGAGTTCCTTTATACGAACTCCTGCGTTTTAACCTTGTTACAGGCTTTACGCCGTTTCAGCCAAGAGAAAAGCCATGATCATCTTCTTCAAGGGATATGTTTTGTCCTGAATACAAATACATAGCTAAGCATCTCATGAATTGACTTTCGTTATTCTCTCATCCCCTTCTCTTCAGCTTACCCTTTCACAAATCATTACATCTTTCCACCCAAGGCCCGGTGCCATATCTTCTTCTACCAAAACACAAAATGCAGTTCTCTCTAGTCTCAGTTCTTTTTGCCGCCGGCGCTCTCGCCATTAACGGGTAAGCCTTGACATTGCACCGTCATGTTAAGTACGGCTCTGCTAACACGCCTCATAGTTGTGGATTTCCCGATGGCCCAGACTGCGTCTCACTGGGCAAGGCGAGCGACGGCTTGGAAGTATTCCGTGATAATGACGGCTGCTGCCTCCTCCCCGCTCGTTGCGGCAATGAGGCCGGCGTTAACTGCCGTCGCGAGAATGAGGGCCCTGATGGTCTACCGATCAACAAAAGGAGGACTCAGAAGAACTACAAGGCATAGGTCGAGCGATAGCAAGGAACAGATGCATGGACGAACTGTTTGTCGGAGAATTGTGTACTATTACATGGTCAGGTCTAGCTCAGGTAGCGGGAGTGACACTAGATTATTATTGCGTTACAGGAAGCACTCTTCTGCGATCTATTGGATGCTTCCTTGAAAAGAAGATTTCAACTATGACTACTCTAAAAACATTGAAATTGCTAGAGACATATCCCTAAGTTATCTACGAGTTCACATTCGCCCTGTTGGTCCCGTTTCATGCTGTTCATGTCACTCACGGGGATCTCACATCTAGTCAAGTAGTACGTGCAGCAAGCTTAAATTAAGCGACTAGCATGGAGAAAAGTTCTTATCAAGAAGAAGCTTATTGTACCCCGACCTCAGAATGGCAGTGATATCGGCAAGGGTCTTGAGACAGATGTCGTCGGAGAGCCGAATATGCCAAGCGTCGTTTCCAAACTGCTTTGTTCAGAGGTCATACGACCAAGGAGGTTATTTACTTCTTGCTCTACAATGCCATCATGACTCCTCTTTACCCCGGGTTCGTGTATAGTCTTAATTGCTTTCAGGATCGGAGAGAACGTCACAGTACCACCAAGAGTCGTGAAAACATCACGTCATTTGGCAAGATCAGTATAACTATCAAATTAATTCATGTTCCTACATCCTGTCGATAGAGCTCTTCCATCGATCGAAAGTCATATCTCATAAGAATAGTACATCTAGGAAGCCAATCCACCCTTGCGACCAGCCTCCTTGGCCTTCTCACTACCAGGCTCGAAAGAGCCAGAGGATGCCTTGCCGCCTTCAGAAGCAATCTCTCGCTGAAACCTGTCAGAATATGATATTTTAGGTGGTGAAGTTGACTAACCTGCTTGTCGGCGTCCATGCTGGCGAATCCGCCAGAGTGGCTGGACTTTCCCCCCTTGGAGGCAATTTCTTGAACTTCTTCCTTGGGTCTGTCTTTGTTAGACATGATCACTCAGAGTCTTGATCGCATGAGACTTGGCATACCGGTTGGCGAAGTTGCCGGGGTTGGTGTTGTCGGTGCCAGTCATTTTGATAGTTGTGTAAGTTTCTTGTGTAATAAGTCTTGTTGGTTTGATTCTGTTCCTCGATCACTGACTGGAATTATTCGTCCTTAAATACTTCTTCTCCTGCAGTCCTAGGTTAAAGTGCTTCGCTGAAAATACGTCTACATGACGTCGTTTCCACGCGCCCTGATCAACGTCTCAAAAACTCAATTAATCAATGCATTATCCTCTATTGTTTCAATATGACGTTTAAGAAAAAGAAAAACTGACAAAATTCACCGCTGAGTGACGAGCTCATTATACTTATGACGCTCGAGATGTTGCTTTGTTTCCCAGCAACAGCATAAAACAGTACTTGATTGGTAGAAGCCTAAAACGATCTGCAGGTTTTCATGGTTGCATATCGACTGATACAACGCTGATCTTTTGTAAATCAATTCACGGTGACGTTTTAGACGGTCGTGTCGTCATTGAGCTGAGATGTCAGCTAATTTACCCCTGCGCAAGCACGCCTTGGCAGTCAACGATGATGGTTGTTGATGCGATAAATTCATACTACCTAGGACCTTAATCAAAAGCTAAAAAGAGTCAGGTAAGATAACATGAGTTCATGAGCTTCTTGGGGCAGCTTATTTTAGCATTCCTGTCCACGGTTTAAAGTTTTCTTGTGCCCTTGAGACTATTAGCAATGCTATTAGAGATTATGTCGGATCAAACTACGTAAATATTTTCTATGTATTTCAGTGCAACAGTGGCTTATTGCCGTTAATCGTCTCACTCAGGATTCGACCACTTGATAATATACGTGCACCCTATCGGAAGATGTGATTATCACAATTATTCGAATATGTGCTTGGACAATGGATCCTGCAGCAGCTCGACTCAATAGCTTGGCCCAAACTTGAATCAATTCGCCACGAGTTCCATGGAGCAGTAAATTCAAATAGAGAACCGAATCATAATCCGGTCATTGAGCAGCACGGCATTGGTAATGCCATCGGCCTCTAACGTTATCCCATGTGCCTGATAAGATACAGAGCCAGACGATAAGATCAGCATCCACCAATAACAAGCCAAGCCACAACGTCATACCACCTTACGTAACCGTCTTATTCCCGTCATCTCACCCTTCACCCAAGTCACCGAGTCGGCGACTTAATCTCTCACCAACAAGCAGCTGAGAAATCACCAGTATCAACTCCAATCTCAATGACCGAGTGGCAAGATCGTCAAAGCAGCGCAAGATCACCAAGCGCTGTACCTACCCGAACGCGTGTAGCTCGCGTGGCTTGCAAGGCGTGTCACGCAAGACGGGTGAAGTGTGACGCCGCTGATGGACAGCCGTGTTGGCATTGTCGTACGCGCGATGTTGCTTGTGAGTTGATAGACTCGAAACGTGGAAAGTACGTAGAAAGTATGTGATATTATAAGAATTGAGACTCACGCGTTTGCAGATATGCTAGGCGAAGTAATGTGCAACGCGTGTCGAGAAGACAGCAGGCGCAGAGTCCGGTTGATCAACATGAGACCATGAACGACAGTATCGCAGTGATTACACCTCAAAGTAACGAAAATTCCCAGTATCAAGATCAAAGCCAGCCTGTCCCATCGAATATCACGCAGAATAATGAGACGAATTCTCAACAACAGAGCTTGTCCGGGAACGACAAGTCATACTTCCTGGGCGACTCAAGCAGCTTATCATACATCGTCGAGATGATATGTAGTCCAAGAGGAGGCGTCAGTGAGCCCGTCAAAGTCCACTATCCCATACCAGCATCAATAGCAGACCGCGCAATTATCCCAACACGACCGCAAGTGGAACCACTGAGCGTACAAGATGCACTGACGATGCCACCAAAAGAAATATCCGACCGTCTTGTGTATACCTTTTTCGAGATCATCCATCCGCCTTATCCGGTGATAGACAGGCGCGCCTTTTCTGAGCTGTACAGACAGGGCAAAGCATCGCCTATGCTTTTGCACGCGATGTTCCTTGTTACCTTCATTCTTTGCGATGAGAGTCTTATACAGGCTGCTGGATTCAGTGATCGGACTGCTGCTCGCAAACATCATTATCTTCGGGCGAAAACATTGTATGATGTTGATCACGAGACTGACAGGAATGTCCTCACAGCAGCGATCTTCCTCTTGGGATTTTGGTGGAATGGGCCGGATGATCAGAAGGATTCGTGGTTCTGGCTTGGATGTGCGACGTCTTGTGCTCAGTCTTTGGGGATGTATCGATCGTATGTGAAACTTTCGCGGGCTATGGGTTGACACTGACTTGGATGCAGGACGGTAGCATCAAGGCTGAGTCCCGAGAAAAGAGCGCTGCGGAAACGAATATGGTGGTCTATATATGTCAGTAAGAGTATTGGATAGCCGAGTGACTTTGCTAATAGTTCTAGACTCGCGACCGACATACCGCCGCATGCCTCGGCAAGCCATGCAGAATCAGGGACGAAGACTGCGACATCGAACCTCTGACCGAAGAAGACTTTTACTTTGACGACGATCACAACGATCCCCTAATAACCCGACAAGAAGAATACCATACGGCTCTCGCAATAGAGATGACGAAAGCCGCAGAGATCCGTAAGTTCATCTCTACCCATGACAGTTCCGCTCAGGTTACTAATCTTTGTCCAGTCGGAGACATCGTAATTGCAGAATACAGTCCTCGACGACCTGACTTAGAACAATACAAACCAGAACGCCTGAAACAAAGACTTGAACAGTGGGAAGCGCAGTTGCCCAAATGCATGCAGAGGGCGCCGCTTGACGAGACACTGGGTCCAGCGTTCTGGGCAACCCAGTTGCACATGGCGTACCAGTAAGAAACTCACATCAAGGGCGATCTGCGGCAGTTTGACTAAGGGGCAACAGAAACTACTATATCCTCCTGTTCCGACCCAAAGCAATCGAAGACCTCACACCGTCTGAAGCCGAAGGAGACATTTGGGCTCGACGGGCAGCGGACTCCATAACTCGCATGACCGAAGATCTTCTCGCCGTCGGAGCAATGAGTAAAAGTCAAATGCACATGCAAGTCAACCTCGTCTCCATTTCCACTCCCATCTAATCTCTTTTCAGTGTCCCCGCCGTCTTCGGTGCCCTCTCCATCCACACCCTCGTCATCTGCCGCAAGGACCCCATCCGACGCCAACTCGCCGGCAACAAATCACGGCAATGCATCCTCGCCCTAAGCGAACTTGCAAAGCACTGGCCCGTAGGACTATGGATCATGAGATTCTTCGGCAACCTCATGCGAAGACTCACAGGTCAAGGATCGGCTGTCTCAGCGGGTTCAATAGTTGACGTGACGTCGCGCATTGCAAACTGTAACCGCAATGAAGACTCTACGTTGAATACCTCTGCGGAAGTCAGTAGGGCAACGTCTCAGACTTTGGCGGAGAATGGCGGTCCGTTCACTGACGCGACGAATGCGCAAGTCGCTGGTGCTGTGATAGAGACGAATGATCTGTTCCAGCAGCCGGCAGATCAGTTCGGGTTTGATAACTTTTGGGCGGAGAATACTATTGATGTTGATCTCCTGCTTCAGCATGGTTTATGTCCATTGCTGCCAGGCAACTTTGGTACTTTCCCACCAATGGCAGATTCACAAGGTTTTTAGAGAAAGATGCAGAGTCTGGTCATGCTGGCGAAATACAGTTCTTTTAGGGTATGAAGTCTATCTATTCTATGTGTCGCTGCTCTATAATGCTTTTCTTGAACGTACTCTAGCGCACCCCAAACTCAAGTGATACAGCCAACTCTCAGCCGGCCCAATTATGTATCTCCTCTCCAAATCATTCTCTGTCGTGTTTTTAGATCTTTGAAGCAAATTTGCTCTTGGCTCGCAGTTTCTTGCCATATCTGAAGAACAGATAAGGGAACGGCGCCATGGCAACCGTCAAAAAAGCAAGAAGACTGGAAGCCCACTGATAACCAAGCGTCTCGTACATCTGAATGCCAAAAAGGGGGAATGCCGCTATACCATTGTTAGTGACTGTTATTTGGAGTAATAGGGGGGAACTGGACGTACCTGCGAAAGAGCATCGGGCAAAGCTGTTGGCTGCCATGGCAGAAGCGGCGTACTGAGGATAAGCGTCGACCAAGAAGGTGAAGATACCAGTGAAGACGAGCATCATGCTACAAGCAGTTATTAGTATAAGATCTGAAAGAGAAGAGCAGACAAACTTACCCGCACCCAAAAACTCCGGAACCAATGATGGGCACAATCCAATGAATGCTCGAATATGTTGTCCAAGCAAACCAAAATAGACCGATAGGGATAAGAATAGCACCAAGAATACACGGAGGGAGCCTGTACTCGGGCTCACTGATAGCCTTGCCAGTTTCCTTCTCCTGTTCCACCAACCAGCGAAGCCGAAGTCTGGCCCAGAAGGGAGTCGTAGCCGTTGCGATAACGAATCCGACCAGAATTCCCAAGAATGTCATTCCAGTCTGCCAAAGACTCATACCGTGGTTCGTTCGGAAGATGAGAGGGAAAGCACCGAAGAATAGGTACAGAATACCAAGGAGGATCGCAGAGTAGAGATCCAGGCAGAGACACATCGGCTCCAAGAAGAGCAGCTGAAACGGTCGAAGGACTGAAAGCTTCAGCGTTTCGAGAATGGGTTTCTTCGTATGCTCCATCGGCGCTCTATACGCCTCATTCCCAGTCTCCTTCCTCAACATCCTCGCCTTCTCCCTCAACAAAATCGGATGAAACGTCTCGGGCGCAAACACCACAATAGCCACCATAACAAACGCAGCCCAAATCAGCATAACATAATACGTCCACCTCCAATTTGTATTATAATTAATAAACCCTCCGATCAACGGCCCAATAGCCGGTCCGATAAACGGCGCCAACGACACCAAACTCATAGGTTTCTGAATCTCATGCCGTTCAAAGACATCACCCGCTGTTCCACCTGCGACGCTGAGGAATGAACTACCAGCAAAACCGGTGAAGAAACGTGCTATGATCATGGTCTCGATGTTTTGCGCTACGGCGGAGGGGATCGTCCAGATTATGAACATGGCCCATGACACGAGGTAGATTGGTCGGCGGCCGTAGTACTCGCTCAATGGGCTGGTGAGAACGGGGCCGAGGGCGATTCCTAGGACAAAGGTTGAGAGGCCGAGGGTTGCGACGATTTGGGAGCAGTGGAATTCGGCGTTCATTTGGGTGTAGGTAGCTGTGTAGATTGAACTTGCGCATGTTCTGGATACTGTTAGTATTGTGAGAGTGAAGTTGAGATTGGAGACTTACACGCAGAGACTTCCCATGCATGCGATTGAGACAATCATCCATTTTCGCAACGTCGACATACTCCGTGGACATAAAGGATCTTTGTCGCCATCCCACGAAACTTCAAACGATTCGCAGTCGGTGGTCAAGTTACCAGCCTCAGTGGTTTGATCACTAAGATTCGCATTCTGATCATCCGCGTTATTTCCAGCCATTGGTGAATTCTTTTCAATGTCCGTTAGAGACTCGCGGTCCAGAGAAGCTCGCTGTTGATCTTGGGACATATTCCTAACTTCTTTCTCTTCCATCATGTTAGTGGAAAATGATACTGGTCAAACATGCCAAGACCCTGTTTTTTCGCATGGGATACTGACGTATTTATCCGTAAAAAGAATAAATTTGCGGCTCCACGGCACGCATCAGATTTGTAATGACGCTCTCTTTTTTACGGAGATAAGATGTGGGTATTCTTTATCTTAAGATGCCTCGGTGTCTTGGTCGTTAGTTTCGTTCGTTGGTGCATTATGATAGGCCCGGCCTTTGTGATTGCAAGGGTGATTTGGCCACCTCGGTTTTTGGCGCGGTTTTGCAAAAAGTCGGCGATTAAAGAGTATGGGAGAATTACCAAGCTGCATGAGATTGTTGCTGAAAGGGCGTGGTTTTGCATGGTGATTTGAAAGGAGCTTGGGGAATATGCCGAGTAATTCCGTATTTAAAGAGCGAGGTTGAGTCTTTGTTGTGATTGTTGTAACGAATTGCCTGATCTTGACATTTCTTTGACACATGCCGATCAGAATTGCAGAATATTCTCTGGACATCGGCTCGCTCATCTGTGATCACAAACAGTATTGCAAAGCATGTGAGTGATGTTTGGCCTGTAGATGTCTGGTTAGCGTCCATGTCCTAAAGATACCTACCCTGTAGATGCGCTGTGAGATTCTTGTTTGGACAATGAGACTCGAAGATGCAGTAAAGGTGAAAGTTACATGATTTGATCTGAAGAGTAGGTGAATATCTTGGATATAAATTTGAGGCTCTCTCGTGTAGCTTCGTTGGTTTTGGAGTCCTGGTGTATTTTTTGCCCGTTTCGTCAACCTACCAATCATCACTTTTGCTAACCCAAGTACTTCCTCATTCATTCCATTTTCAACCCACAACCTTCGCGCGAAACACAAGCCGCAATGGATCGATCCGCAGAAAAGCCTGTGTTGTTTTTGTATAACTCCTTCCCGACCTCTTCCAAGTTACTTCTAACGGGTTTAGCGACATTGACAACTGTCTATACTCGCGCAGTATGTCAGGACTCACCTCAGACAAATCTCCCTGCAGAACCTAACGCAGCCAGATGACAAAGTCCTTGAGCACATGGGCAAGAACATCGACGACTACTTCAAGAAGCATCTAGGCCTCTCCCCAGACGACGCAGAGCGCCTTCACAAGGATTACTCACAGCAATACGGCCAGGCAATCGAAGGGCTTGTACGCCACCACCAAATTGACGCGTTGGAATACAACGCCAAGGTCGATGACGCGGTCCCATTGGACGACCTCATCAAGCCCAACGCCCAATTACGACAATTCCTCGAGGATATCGATACGTCGAAAGTCAGACTTTGGCTACTAACTAATGCTTATGTGAACCATGGGAAACGGGTTGTGTGGCTGTTGGGCGTGGATGATTTGTTTGAGGGGTTGACGTATTGTGATTATTCTCAGGTACCATTTGTGTGTAAGCCGCATAAGGAGATGTTTATGAAAGCTATGAGAGAAGCTGGAGTCTCTGATGTTTCGAGATGTTATTTTATCGGTAAGATGAATACCATCTTTCGCAAGACCTTTGCTGACTCCCTCAGATGACTCGCATAAGAATTGTGTCGGAGCAAAGGACGCTGGCTGGACTGCTATTCACTTTGTGGAAGAGGGACTTCCTGTACCTGATACACCGGCTTCTCAGCATCAGATTCGCCATCTTGAAGAGCTGAGATCACTTTATCCCAAGTTCTTTAAAGCTAGAAATTGATACTGTCTCTGAGTGTTACCCCGCCAGCCCCTGTCAAACGGGGAGGATTGGTGCCCAAAAAAGTCTGGATCCAAGGTAATAATTTCGACGATGTGAAATTATCTGGCGTCGCAGCTGGCCACTGGCGCGATCCAAGTACCAGCAACGTCGTTCCAGTGGATCCTAATGCACGCTACGATGGTCGACAGACGGACGACGACGGCTTTCCCATTGAACATGCTGAGATCTCCACCATCAATTCCTTCCGCCCCAATCCCCCTCCAGAGTGGTGCTGGGGCTTCTTGTTCCACGATGCTTGCTGGAGGCTGTTGAACTCTGAAGAACGAGTTAATCTTCGTGATCTCTTTCGACTCCTTGTCTCAACACCTATCGGTCCTGACATGCTTCCTAACTTTGGGCACGACTATGGTAACATTGCGTCAATGAACTATGAGGGGGGCATCGAGGTATTGGTATCTGATTTTAAAAGTCCAAACTATGCGTCAGATATGCTCAGGGCGAATCCTTTTGAGATCCCCGCCCTCAGGAAGTCCATTAACTTCGCTTCCCGCATGCAGCAGGATGCGTTTCAGTCCATCCTCGACCGATCGACCCTCAGCGCAGACAAGGATGTTTTCAATCACTTCCCTCCAGAGATCCTTGAGAAGATTGTGATGGTTCTTCCATCTCCTGACGTTCACTCTCTCCGCCTTGCATCTCGTGTATTCGCAACCCTCAGCCTGTCCGAACGCTTCTGGGCTTCACAATTTACAGAGGGGCACGAGTTTAACTACCTACCTGAAGTCTTCGCTACCCCCCCAACATCATGGAGAGCTCTCTATCTCTCACTTCACATCTGGGCGTCTGAAAACAGCGGAATGGGCAGCCGCAGCCGTGTCTGGCCATCCGTCAAAGACCTCCACGAAACACTTCGCCAGATGAAAGACGTGGACTGCCTTGGGAACGTCATCAACACGGTTTCTGAGCCCGAGGCACCAAAGCCCATGCCGGAACGTGAGTCCTTGATTACTGCAGAAAGATATATTTTCGAACCGGGAGCTCACTTCATTGGCGGCTCTCGTGTACTGCGAGCCCGGGTCGCAGAATTCCCCCAGCATCTCAAGTAATGCTCATGTCTGTATCATTTGTTGACACTCCAGCTGGGCTATTCATCTCTGGGCTCATGTTTGTTGGCGCTGATGGCGTGTTTGAGTCTCTGGGATACACTCACAAGTCCCAAATGCAACACTTGACACTTCCCGAAGATCAACATGTCAAAGGTTTCGAAGTGGCCCTCGACTTTTGTGGCGTTCGAGCAATCGCGGCCATTACTCAGGATGGCACCACGTCCTCGTGGGCTGGAGATCCGGCAAACTACCCCAGGAGACGTCTCTACGATGTCGAGGGCATTTCCCTCATCGTTGCCCAATTCGACGTGAGCTTTACTCAAACATACATTATAAGACGGAGCTAATTCTGTAGGCGCTTAAACTGGTGTCGTTAAGCCGGGATCGTATAACAAAGAAACTGCAAGAACCGAGGGACAGATTGCTCTGGTATCCCGAAATCCCACCCCCTGAAATATTCTTTGACGGACTACGACCCCTCGATAAAAAAGTCAGCTCCAACATTCCCATTATGACAGTTTTCTTTGGCGAGAACGACGGCCGATACATACGACAAGTGACTTCGATAAGCATTCACATCTTTGACTGGTGTCACCTTTGCCGCATCAGCTTTGAGTTTATGGACGATAGCATTCAGCGATGTCTTGGGGATATCGAATATGAGACAATGCAGTCCAGTCTTGCCCCGTTAAGATTCCCAGACCACGACAATTCTACGGGATTTTTCGACATTAACGGCGGAAATGGCGAGGAGATTGAGAGCTTCGAGGTTCAGTTTGACCAAAGTATTATCATTGGACTCAGGGTAAGACTGCTCATCTGAGACCGGAGAGAGCCAGGGCTGACATTTCAAGTTCAATACTAACACCAATCGTACCGAGCTTGTGAGTAATGGTGATGATCCCTTTGATTTGCCGTGGACCAAGGTTACTCCGCGTGGTAAAAAGATCATTGGAATGTTTTCTCAAGGCGCTGAGAATGAATGGGGTGTAAGTTGCATTCTCCCTCGCTTTTCCGAAACATGAATTTGTATGTGGTACTAACATTATCTAATAGGCCAAGACGTTCAGTAATTTGGGCTTCATTTCTACTAACGAGGAACAAGATTAGATTAGATGATAGACATATTTGAATTTGAAATACTAGATTGTGTGTTTATTTTATGTTGCTTATGAATCCTACCATTCCTTCATCTGCAGTCAGCTCAAAATGGTGCTGACATAAGTTCTATGTTTCTTGACCAAAATCTCACTCATTCATTTTCCTCCATACCAATCATCCATTTCCCCTAATGTTTACGCATGAGATGGAGTCGTCAAAGAAAGTACTCGTCACGGGTGGAAGCGGCTTCTTGGGAGGACACGTAGTCCGACAACTTCTTGACGACGCACAAACAACTGTTGCTATCGTCAGCCGCCATCCCAAGATGCCAGCTGATGTTGCTGACGAGTCTCGTGTCTCTCTTCATGCGGCCGACTTGACCATACCGAGCCAGATTGAACGGGTCTTTGAGACGTTCAACCCACACGCTGTTATTCATACAGCTTCGCCGTCTTATATCGACACCCCAGCGAACCTGATAAAGGCAAACATCGATGGCACAAAAGCTTTACTGAACGCTGCTTCAGCTTGTGCCGACACGCGCGCTTTTGTGTTTACGTCCACTGATTCAGCCGTTATACCCACGCAAGAACCTCTATTAGAAGAAGATTCTGTTCTGTATGATGAGACGAACGCTCCGAATACTTATGCAATGTCAAAGGCTGCTGCTGAAAGACTCGTCATTTCTTCAGACTCAGAACAACTTTGGACAGCAGCTATACGAATACCAGCCACATATGGCGAATACGACATGAATTTCGTGCGTCAACTTGTGCAAAGCATTCGGAGAAAAGAGCACCAAATGCAAGTTGGCAACGATGCAAAGGTGTTCGAGTTCTTGTACGTCAAGAAGGCAGCTGAGGCACATATCCTCGCCATGAAAGCTCTCCTTGACCCAGAGACGCGGGAGAAAGCTGGTGGTCAGGCATTCTTCGTCTCAGACGGAAAACCCCAGAAGTTCTTTGACTTCTCTCGGAAGTGCTATGCAGCAGCTGGACATCCTGTTGCGTTGGAGGAGGTTACGAAGATTCCGTTCTTTGTGATGCAGGCTATGGCGTCGACGGCTGAATGGGTTTACTGGATCATGACGTTGGGATACATCAAGCCTGCCATGCGAAGGAGTGCTATTGATCACCTTGACTCTGGGTGCTGTTGGTCATTGGACAAGGCTAGGAGGGTGCTGGGATATGAGCCTGTTGCGGATCAGGATGAAGCTATCAGGAAGACTATGGAGTGGGGGATGAAAGACCTGTGATCGACCTTGAGGTATCAATTTCTGCATTTACTTGACTCTTGTGGGAACGGGACTATATGTAGCTAGTACACGTACTGGAAGTACTTATTCTTGAAATCAGTTTCATCAAGAAGTCCTGCCTCCCAAGCTCTCTGCTGATTCTCAAGAGTATGAAGGTCCCGCCTTGACCTATTCCTCATCCACAGGAGCACCCAGAGCGCAACAAGACTCGCCACCTGGATGGCAATACAAGTAAACATCATGCCAACTCCAAGTTCATACTGAGGCGCCTGGTTCGACTTGAAGAAAAACGGTCCGACAAAGTTTCCCAGACAATATCCTATCAATAGTATAGCATTCGTCGTAATCTTTTTAGTATGCCCTGCTGTATTCGCCATTGAAACGGACATGCTAAGTGTCCAGGTTGCTGTGTATGAGAAAGACATCCATAGACATGCTAATCGAGCATATGCGTCGCTGTGAGGGAGGAAGTGAAGACCTAGGACGCCGGCAAGGAAGGGGACAAGCCCGAGGAGCATGATTGGAATTCTGGAGTTCTTGATCACGGAAGCTCCCCAGCTGTAAGATATCGGTTAGTTCAAGGAGCTGTAACAGGCTCGAGGGACTTACCAAGCAAGGACGCATGCAACAAGTTGGACCGCACCAGATGGCATCTGATACAACGTGGTATCGAGGGTACTGAAGCCAGCACCCTTGATGATGAGACCTTGAAACTGAGACGAATTATTTAGGAGAACACCAAGAACTAGAGAGGGGATACCTACTGCGGATAAGCCTCCATTAGGCGAGTTACTCGTTAGGGCAAACAAGAACAACAACCACGTCTTCATATCAAGCATCGCCTCCCAAAACTGCACCATCTTAAAATGCTTGTTCTCAATACCCGTACCATTCCCCCTCACCCTCGCCACAACTCTCGCTTTCTCATCAGCCGTCAAAAACTTCGCTCTCATAGGCGCACCCGGGAGCAAGAACAAGAGAATGACCCCCCAAGCAACTGTAATAGAGCCCCAGATGATGAAAAGTACTCGCCAGGATGGTAGAGCAGACTTGACATGGCCTATACCGAAACTAGCTATGCCGGCGATGATGTAGCCCATACCTGCGGAGCCAATCCATATACCCATACGGAGAGGCTGTTCCTTTCGCATGTAGTACATGCTGAAGAGGAGCATGGTACCAGGGTTTATGGCTGCTTCGAGGGCGCCGAGGAGGACGCGCACGACGACGAGAGTTGTGAAGGAGTTGACGGCTCCATGGGCCATAAGTACGGCGCCCCAGGCGATGACCTAGAAAACCTCAGCAAAGACCAGCGACTAGGAGGATGGAAGGTACTTACAGTTCCTGACATGAAGTAGTTGATAGGAAATCGTTGAAGAAACATACTAGTCGGAACCTCCCAGATCAGATAACCGAGATAGAATATCCCGCCGGCCCAAGAGAACTCATCTCCCTTGAGGTTGAGATCTTCTCGTAGGCCAAACACAGCTGCATAGCTGATGGTATTCTTGTCAATTGACTGCAGTGAATAGGTGAAGCAGAGAAGAGGCATGAGTCTCAGGTCCAGTTTCCATCGTAGTGCCTTATCAAGCTCAGGACTTGTCTCAATCTCATCTGCATCACGGCAGAGAGTCAGGGCTTCAGCGGTAGAAACATCGTTTATGGTCCCCTCTTTTATAGATTGGGTATGTTTCAAGTCGTCTGTTATTTTCTCTGCCATTCTGTTGACAATCTGTTTGAGAAACAGGTGAGGTGGAGCACTGAGTTGGACGCACACATCTTCCGACTTTATACTCATCCCCTCGTTTCGTCGTTTGAGGTCAATTGATCGTTGATCAGTGGATAACAGGTTACAATACCCGCGGAAAACTATCAGTGGTTACCACGATGTTGCAGTTCGCATAGACGGCCCAGGATGCTTATCATTACCCCTCAGCTACAACGTAACATTGATATCGAGCACGACTCGTACCGTATACTTTTTCATCTAGGTTACGACCGGGCCTATAATCTGTATGCCAATAAAAGAAGCATTGATTTGCCATGTAACTGCACCTCATACAGTTTAGTATTACGCCACTTGGGTTGAAAAGCATTTTGTCACTAGCTAGTTTCCCTGTACTCATAACTGCCCTCTTGGATTTGAATCTTAGTCATATTGTATGGCGTCTTTTATTCTCCAATATATAGTTAATAAAGGGACATCCTTTGTCTTTTGGTCCTTGCTGCATCGAAATCTTGACTATGAATAGACATCAGCCGGACTGTGGCCAATTTAGACCTTTATCTGGAACTCTCTGCCAGTATCGCTAGGACTGACATAATCTTCCAATTTTAGGACATCTCTCGCAACTAAATGCGATCCAAGGAAACCAGATCTGAAGATAAAAGGTCGTAGGATACCTAAATCAGGCTGCCAACGGCTGCCACGAAAAGGGCCAGAGCTTCCCGTCATGTCTTGAGCGGCCCTGATAGTATATCGATCTGAACCAGGACACACAGGCTTTACAAACCACAGAATAGAATGACTGGGACATTGGCTGTCATTTGGGACCAGGAAAACGTTTGGTCCGTCATGCTGCATGCACTGTCTGGAGATGCAGTGTTCAAATCTGACAGCATGTCTTAAACCGACGTCGGATCCATACCCGAAGATGATTTCCCACTGCGATCGCGCCCTGTCTCTATATGTGTCTCCTGATCTCCCATGGAGAGCTATCCTGTTCGATTCAGACCCGTAAGACCAGCTGACAAAAATGGGACCGATGAGTCTTGGGCCCATCCACAACCCCTCATGAGTAAGAAGGGAGACGTTAGTAGGGAAATACTCCGAGAGAGCGCTATTGACCAGTCGGACAGTATTTTCTCCGACAACTGCTTTGAAAGTCTGCTCTTGCCTGTCGAGCTTATCCTTCTGGCGTCGGATTGTAAGCATGCCTTCGGAAAAGTCCACGTTTGGAGCATCGTAAGCCATTTGCAAAAGGGCAATTCCCTTAACTACCACCACCCAGTAGCTCAGCATCTATCTGCGGTAAGCATAATCTCATAATAGAAAGGAGGTTTGGAAACATACTGAAGTCTTGCTCTTTTCATAGTAGCTTACGAAGTCATCAGAGCTGTCGAAGGCTTTCTGGACGGCCTGACGGAGAAACGACCTTGGCCCGTCTTCTGCTAGAAAATCGTTGATGCGGTCGAGAATACCAGGTATATCGTTAGAGAACATCCTAAGGCGATCTTCTAAACGAGTTTGAATCGCCATAAGCTTTTTATCTCGTTCTGCATCCGAGATATCCTCGGGGAGAGTGACAGCCGTTTCAATCAGGTCGGTAATTGTGTCGTACATAGTCTCTATCTTGGTAAGAGATTCCCTCAGGTTATCGCTTCGTAGTTGGAGAAGAGCCTCGGGAAGCTCTCGTGACAGAGTGTCCACGGTCCGTTTCAGTTCCTTCATTTCTGTGACGGCTCCGGAGATGTCTCGTCGGATCTTGTCTGCGTCGCTACCACCGGAGGCCGAGTGCAGAATCTGTTTGAAGACCCATGTCCCAGCTTCACCTGCTAGGCCGATGGCGAACTTGTTGAGGAGCGCCTGGCCTGAAAGAGTGATAATAGTTGATGCTACCATGACTTAATGAGTATCTATATTCAAGGAGATTATGATTGATTTACAAGAGCTGAAGAAATCAAGAATATGGAGGACAGGCGAACAGGTCTTTAATTCATGGTAATACCGTGCGGCTGAACAGCCTCAGAAGGTATTTGTTGATCCTTACTGCATTGAGTGACTTTATTGAACGCCACTCATGGTCTAGACTCATCGGTGAAGTTGTCTGTAAGAATAACGCCCAAGGCATTTTTTATTTAACAGATGCATTCGAGTAGCTGGGTCGAATTGTTTATTCTACTAATTGCGTTATCTTGGACCCGAGTGATCGGCATCGCGATATGTAGGAGTCCCATATGACCCAATTTGACGTGGGCTCTTGATAAACGCGGGGCTTCTGGAGGTAAGCTGGGGTGCCAGAATTACTACTCTAAAGATCCGCTAAAGCTGGCCTAAATTTACCTAAATCTTTTCATCACTTAGGATGAAGGTACCTGCGCACGGCATGCAACGTCAGACTTATCAGATAGGTATGCTTATCTGCCGTCTGATCACTACCTACCTTAAGTTTTCCGCGGCTGCACGGGAAACATCCAAACCTACATCCTGTTTCCCGAGATCGTATAAGGTTGTCGAGTGTCGACTGATAAAGAGGATTAAGATACTGATTATACAAGATATAACATTGCCATTTCTCATAGTACATTCGCAAAATGACGTCCACGCACCCGTACCAGCTGCTGCCTATCGATGAGAGGGTCAAACGAGTTCTGGCTACGACCCCTCTCATAGACGGTCACAATGATTTAACTCAGCAGCCCAGAGCTTGCTTCCACGGTAAAATACACAATAATGAGAAATTCGATCTAGAGGAGGGGTTTGAGCGTGGAATGACAGATATTCCTCGTCTGAAACAAGGTGCTTACACGTATCGACCATCATTCTCACACCATTGTTAACCTAGCTTCAGGCGCTGTGGGCGGCCAGTTCTGGTCTGTCTGTGTCCCTTGTCTCAGATCAGCAGAAGACTTCACCACACCGGAGTACTCAGACATGGCTCGAGATGCCATTGAGCAAATTGATCTAACTCTTCGTTTGGTCGAGTCATATCCAGAGACATTCCAACTAGTTAATGGTCCTTCAGAAGTCAAAGATGTTTACGCCAGTGGTAAGATCGCTTGCTCTATTGGCATTGAAGGGCTTCATATGGCAGGTAATAGTATTGGTATCATAAGAGCGTTCTACAGGCTTGGAGTGAGATATGTAAGTTCCCCAGTGTTCAAATTTCTGAGCTACAATGCTGACTTTGGCAGTGCACTCTCACTCATGTCTGCAATAATGCTTTCGCGGATAGCTCCACTTCAAAGGGTGGTCCAGTTCACGGCGGCCTATCTGACCTGGGAAGGGCTGCTGTCAAGGAGATGAATAGGCTTGGTACGCCACTTCGCGCCTTGCTTTCGAACTGAGCTAATCGTACAGGCATGATTGTTGATCTATCTCATGTTTCTGAGGCTTGCGCGAGTCAAGTCCTCGATCTGTCTAGAGCTCCCGTCATGTTCTCCCACTCAAACGCAAAAGGAGTATTCGACTGTCCCAGAAATGTCCCCGATCATATCCTCGACATGGTACCCGCCAATGGTGGCATCATCATGGTCACCTTCGTCCCAGAGCATGTCACAACGCGCCGACGAGATGCCAAGATGGAAATGGTCATCGATCATCTCTTTTACATCGCCAATCGGATTGGCTGGGATCACGTAGGTCTTGGATCTGATTTCGACGGTATTGCTAGCGTTATCCCAGGTCTCGAAGACGTAAAATGCTATCCCCATCTTCTCAAGGCTATCCTTGATCGTGGAGCGACTGAAGAGCAGTTGGCAAAGGTTATTGGCGAGAATATTCTTAGAGTCTGGGCAGGCGTCGAGAAAGTGAGAGATCAGATGAAGATTGAGGGAGTGCTTCCAGTGGAGGATGTGTTTAAGGATAGGAAGTGGTGGAGATATGATGGGTATTATCAAATGGAAGATCCTGATCCTGAGGATAAGCTTGGACTCGACTGGTACGGGGTGCCTCCACCGGATGAGGGTCTATACCTTAAAGAATAGGGAAGCGCGAGGACTACAAGATCTTATCAGAGCTAAGAAGATTACAGCTCTGTTTGGCCACAGGGGGGCCTCGAAGAGCAAGAACATTCAACATTTTAGAAGAGGGTCCTCAAATAAACTTGACAAAGCGTCCCCTAAATTTAAACCAAGTCACCTAAGTATTTGAGTATTTTAGGATTACGGTCCTGAGTTTCTTTCCTCCCCTAGGGCAAGTAGCAGATTTAGAAGACAGAGATGAAGTGAAAGTTGTTTAACTATATGAGTGAAAGTGATGAGTCACTATCAACGAGAGAACCTATCTCAAAGATCTTTAATCATACAGAATCTCCCAGTGATGATTTATGAGAGTAGGTAAAAGAGAGAATGGCTATCTGAATCCCAAGCTCTACTGTCGTGGCTCAACGGGAGTCTCAAGCCTCCTGGACTCATCCTTCGGTTGGAAAACACCCTTGTCAGCCTCCATACTGTTTCCGTCAGCGCTGGCACTGTGGTGAGCAGCATCAATGTCATTATGGCCACCCTCAAGTCCACCGTTGTCAACGATGGGACGGTTATCGATGGTCATCTGAGGAGCAACATCATACTTTCCATCACCACGGTCAAGACGGTGAGATGGGATGAGGATGTTGAGGAAGCGAGGGGCGAGGAATGCACCGATGATGAAGATGACAACCATGTGCATGAGAACAAAGCTGTAAATAAAAGGAGGATCATCAGAGTAGTTGTTGAGGAACTTGGGATAGGCAAAGGAGAAGACGAGAGCGACGGCTGGGCCTGTAATGTACTTGAGACAAAATGGCCATACAGCTGGGATCTTCCAGTTGGAATGACCGCCGAGGATAGCATTGTTGAGATCGCGACGGAGTTGGTTGCCCTGATATGAGGTTAGGGTCAATCAGGCGACTAATGCTGGGGAAGATACGTACCGAGTAGAAAGCCGCATACCAGAAACGGCTGAGGATAGCATTATTTCCCCAGAATCGGGGAGCAGGGATCGATGGGCTCTTGCCAAAGAAGGAAGTGAAGATGCAGCAGCCGATGAAGACGCCAAAGCCAACGCCAGCTCCGGCTGGAGCACTTACGAGGTGACCAATCAGGAGACCGAGGAAAATCGAGACGATATAGCCACCGTTGAAGACAAAGTAGCTGATAGCGCCGATTTGATCAACAGGGTCCTTCCATCGGTAGAGCGTACAAGCCATGTAAGTCTCGGAGAAGACAGTGATAAAGAGAGCGACATCGTTGACGAAAGCATCAACGGCATCGAGGACACTGAAGCCGAACTCACTGCTGTAGATGAGTGAGGTCAGGGCACCGAGGACGATGACGGAGGTAGAGATGATCCATCGAGGGATGCGCTGGCCCATATTGGTATCACAGAGGAGAGTGACAAGAACCTCGGCGAGGGCAAACACACAGGTAAGTCCAAGAAGGACCAGGGTGATGAAGAAGAGGGCAGAGAAAAAGTTGGATCCGGGCATCTCAGCCAGAGCCCGGGGATAGTAGAAGAAGCCGGAGCTGAAGGTAGAGAGGGGATCGACATCACCAGGGTTGATGCCAAGGTAGCCAACGACGCCCATGACAGCCAAAGCTGAGATGATTTCGATGGCAGAGTTGCTGAGAGCAATGATGAAGGCATCTTGGACAGCGTTGGCGAACTTGTTGTTGTATGACGCGTACGAGGTGAAATAGCCGAAACCGACACCAATGGAGAAGAACATCTGTCCAAAGGCATCTTGCCATACGCGAGGACCCTCCAGAGACTCGCTTCGCCACATGCCAACATAGAGTTTAAAGCCATCGGAGGCGTTGGGAAGGGAGAGGGATCGGATGGCGAGAATGCCAATCATGATGAGGGGAAGGGCCATGGTGATGTAGATGACACGGCCGGTGAGGCCGACACCCTTAAAGGTACACATCCATACGACGAACCAGATCATGATGCACCAACCGAACGTCTCACCAACGATACCACGGCCGGGGTAATGCTTCAGACCACCGCCGTCATCAGCACCACCCGTAGCAGGAATGTTGCGAACAACCCTGTTGCTGAAGAAGTCCTCAGTATCCTCCCCAGCCCAAGGCAGCGGACTCTGAAACGACATCCTGAAATAAGTCATAGCCCACGCCAGAATGGGAACGTAGTACCCAACGACACTAAAGCCATTGAACACCATGCTCAGACCAATACCCTTGGCGCGATGGTTCACATTATTCCAGGCGATGACACAACCGCCGCGATAGGCCTGACCGAGGGTGATCTCGAGAATGAGGATGGGAATACCGATGAGAAAGAGCGCGACGGCGTAGGGGATGAAAAACTGCAGACCGTAGTTGTTGAAGACGACAGAGGGGAAGCGCAGTAGATTTCCCAGACCGACGGCACCGCCCATGGCGCAGAGGACGAATTGAGACCGCGAGTTGAAGTTATCGCGACCGTCATCGTCTTTTGCTGAGTCTGGTGCGAGCATGAGAAAGATTCTCTTGGCCATGCCTGGCTTCTGGCCCTTTTCGGCGACAGCCATGATGAACGGTTCACAACAACGAACTATTCACTAAGAATGAGGAAATGAGGTAAAAGTGAGAAGAACAAAGGTGATCGACCTCCCCACAAGGTCGATCGCATCCCCTCGATATATACCCCAAACCCAATATCTCGCCGAGACGCGTCCGATTAACAACACGTTCATAATTGGATTTCCCCAGTGCAGCCAAGACATCTCAGCTTGTTTGCCTCAGACCAATTGCCCACGATCTTGGCGCAGACGAACCACTTTATATGACCGCCAAGCACCAACATCTCCAATCCGCAGCGCGTGCCAATGCGATACCCCATCTCGTGATATCTCCCGCCAAGCGACATAACAGGAAGGCCAGAAAGGACCAACATTCCACGCCTCACGTGCCAGAGCCAAGGCAAAATGCCAATGCTGTTATCTGGGGTAGTGCTTATCGACGGACTCTGCATTCAGCAGGTGCTTTTGTCAGTGTCGTTCATAGCGCCTTGGTTTTTGGGTTTGTAGCGTCTTGGGGTTATTTCCGTTTCCCCGTTTGCCGTTGGTATCCGAGTCGCCCCCTTTTTCTTGTGATCAGAGTACATAGGTCTTGGCTTTTGGAGATTCAGGCCATGTTGGGGTTTTGGATTAAGATGTCTTGGCTGTTTCTTGGCTGATAGCAAACACAGATAAGCTGTCCGCTTATGCTTAAAAAATGGATTACGACATATCGGTCACTGCCAAGATGCTAATCAGATAGAAGTCTGTCGGTTGAAAGCGGTCAAAATGATCACTCACCCAGCTATTAGTAGCTTTGGGGGCGAAAGACAGGAAGGGTTGGTCCTTATTGTTCGTGTTCATCGTATTGTAACCCCTAGATCATCCTTTCTGGAAGGGAAGGTCAGTTGGCCGATGGTGTGAGCAGTCATGTTTTGCGCCAAGTATATTCGCTTGGCATGACTGGGGGAGACGTGACACTGATGTAACCCCGTGCATGAGTAAGGAAGAAACGTAAGCGTAAACGAACATTGGAAGAAAAGAAGTGGAACAGTTTTTGCCTGATAATCCAGTTCCTGCATTGATGGAATACGTGAGGTTAGAAGCTAAGCTTTCAGCCTTGCGGAGGAGACATCAAGTTTCACCACATGCGAGCATGCTTGTTCGCGTTCATGATGATTGGTTTGGTAGTATGTAAGAGGGGAAGGTTGTAGATCTATATAGAGGAATAACTCTTAGACATGACGGTTTGTCCATTTGCTATGCTTCTAGACAATGATCCTCGTAATTCAATAAGCTTCTAAAAGAATCGTGTTTGAAGTATGCGAGTGTCGCAAATGCTGCATAGAAACATCAAGAGAGGAGACGGTGAATAGCCAAGTGTGGAGATAAGGATTCTTAGAGTTCACCCATCTCGTGACTACCAGAATCCAGGAATCTGGTTGATATATCCAAAGGTAGCCATGTTAGTCTTTGGGCATGAATCCTTAGGTTTGGGAGGCTCAGGACCATATATACACTGCCAAACCGCACCAAATACTGATATGCCTATAAAGAAGTTTTCATACCTCGCTAGCAACCGTTAGCTGTATAATGGTTCCAAGATTCTGCTTGACTTACGCTCGTTCCTCTTGAAGTGGCTTACCACCCGGTCATACAGCCCCGAAGATTGTTGTTTACGGCTTTCTTCGTGACGAGTTTGCCGGCGTGGCGAATAATATCGCTGTGTCTGTTGGAATCTGTATGCAGGCGACATTCTATTGTTGAGTCGGTGGGTTTGCTGCCGTAGTGGAATCGCACATGGAGCTTTGCTCAGCAGGCGAGGTATTATGACAGAGAGCATCGTGGGATCGTTCGTGGTGGAAAGCTGTTCGTATCGTGGTTGACGAAGTTGATATGACGAAAGGTGATGTGAGGGAGAGGTTGAGCTTTGATTGACTGGCAGAAACAATTTTTATATGATCAGCCCCAGTTGCCGCAGGAGGAAGATTGGAGACACCATCTTATATAACTTCAAGCCATGTTAAAGAGTCATAATCAAGGTTTCCATTTTGCGAACTTTATACCACATCAGGTGGTCAGGAACCTTAGATATTATCTAAGTTCTGCCAGATTTTCTATTGGCCGTCAGGATTGTGGATGGAAGCTTAACTCAGCACAGAGAGCTTAATGCTGAAGCCTCAGGACCAAAGGCATTCCGAGAGTAAGTTTGGAAGCTTTGCTGTCTGATGACTCTGGCAAAGTCAAAATTGGCGGAAGTTAACCAGTCGATAGGTAGATAGACTGATAGACCACCTGCAGATATGCAATAGTGTAATCTACGTAATCTACCGGGATTCACTGCGCGATCGATACCCATGAAAAGACTCAGTTAATATCTGTCGCTTCATCAACGTAGTCTAATCTAATTTCTGCCTGAGATGAACTTTATCACGTCCCCTACCGCATATAAGCACTGGAGACCATGGCGAGCCTTACCGGTGATCAGCAAGCCGCTCCCTCGAAATCTAGATAATATCCCAACGTCTAGTCAAATACGAATAATAATACGGAAATAAGGGCCTAGTGCCCCATTTATACTTCAACTAATGCAGGGCGGGCTATAAACTTTAACTCCGTGACCGAAACTCCGCTCCGCACATTCAGCTCCGCAGCAGCCTTGCATATATAAGTCGTATTTCATGCACAATAATATTATCGTATCAATCGAAACGCTTTAAAATGGGCAAAGTCGCTGTCGCTGGTGGTTCGTCCGGTTTGGGCCGGACAATGGTCGATGCCCTCGAGGTAGCCGAGACTCACGATTACATCGTCTTATCGCGAAAGGCTACTGGACCGGAAACACGAGCTGTCGACTACTATGATATTGATGTTTTGACCTCGCTTCTTGAGTCTGAGCAGGTTGACACGGTTATATCAATGCTTCCAATCGATAGTGATGATAGCGGACAAGCTCAGCTGAATCTCATCGAAGCGGCGGATCGATCGAAATGCACTAAGCGATTCTTGCCGAGTGAATTTGGGATGGTCTACACCAAAGAGTAAGTATCAAGCTTGATCTTTACGACATGGCTAACGACTTACTAGCAACATCGCCCACGTCCCTTCTTATCATTGGAAGCTTAAAGCAGTAGATGCCCTTGAGAAGACCAACCTCGAGTTCTCCCTTGTCTCAATTGGCTTATTCCTAGATTACTGGGCCGCGCCGCGAATCCCGACCCATATCCGCGCCGCAAACATACTCATCGACCCCGAAAACAACGCAGCCGTGATTCCTGGAGACGGAAACACTCCTGCCACCTTTACCCACTCTACAGATGCAGCAAAGCATACCGTCGCTCTTCTCGACATCCCGAATTGGAAGCGCAGATACACCATCACCCCAAACCGAATGACGCTCAATGAAGCGGTTAAGCTGGCTGAGGAGGTCAAGGGCGTCAAGTTTGACGTTAAATATTTCTCTGTGGAGCAGCTGAAGAAGGGTGAGAATGATCTCACGCCGAGTATGAAGAAGGCGTTGCCAGAGGAGATGCATGGTGGTATGAAGGCGATGCTGGCCTTGTCGGGAATCGGAATGGCTACGGGTTCAAATGATATACAGGGAATTGATGATTTGGTAGGCAAGTTTCCAAATATCAAGCCTGTTACTGTTAGGGATGTCTGGGAAGCGTGGAAATAGAACCAAAGAACAACGTGGATATTTGCAAATATGATAGAGTAGCTAGCTTACGAGTGTCCTCATAGAAATGTTACCATCCAATAACTAAAATCCCCATTGGCGACACCAGTTCTTCATCAGCTCGGGCGTAACTGGCCCCAGCTCCATCATAGTCGGACTATGGCTCTTGGTTCTCTTCATATCGTACTTAGCCGCCTGAAGACCTTGTCCCACCGCAAACAGTTCACGATAAGTATCCAGAAGCTTGACGCCGGGGTTCTTATCAAAGTCCACACTCTCCTCTTTCGAGCTCGCTTCTAACTTCTCAACCCATTCTTCAGCACTTACCAACTTCATCCTGTCACCGTAAAAGTCTTTAACTGCCGGAGCGATGTCGGACCAACTGGTTGTAGCAGGGTTGACGCCATGGAAGTATCCAGAGATCTCAGAGATAGACTTCTGGACAGTGATGCCCGCAACATCGAGAATAAGCCCTGCAATGTCCTCAATGGGCGTCCAGGCAATCTCATGTTGTCCGCCGAGATGGTCAGGTAAGACTCCAAGATAGACTGAGCTTGCGATCATACTTGGAATCATCTCTTGACGGTTCCACAGGCCCCTCTCTCCTCTCGAACCCGCAATCTGTCCAACTCTAACCGAAGCGGCAGGGATGCCAGACTCCTCCGCAGCTGCGTCGAGTATGAGGCTTGCAGCGAGCTTTGATCGTCCATAAGCCATACTAGGCAAAGTCAGGTCATGCAATGCCTCCTCAGGCACAGCATCAGGTGAAGACCATCTATCGACAGTGCCAATGGACGAAATGAAGATGATAGGTACGTTCTTGGAAGCTGCAGAAGAGAAATCAACGAGGTGTCGTACACCTCGAACGTGGCTCTCAAACGAAGACATGGTGAACTTGAAGTTCACAGGCCAGGCGTTGTGAATAACACGATCGACATCAGCAAGAAGAGAATGGTACTTGGACTGGCCCAAGCCAAGGTCGGGAAGTGATAGATCGGCGTGGAGAAACTCGACTTTGGAGAGGTCTGTTGTCAAGCCACGGAACTCGTTGATCGAAGGTTGTCGAGATACGCCGCCATCGTCACTCCTGTTGAGAGCGATGATCTTCTTGACGGACGACAAACGACAGAGCTGATCAAGCATGTAAGCGCCCAAAGAACCTGTTGTACCGGTGACGATGACTGTTTGACTGTCGTCCAGGGGTGCCTGCTTTCCAGTCCTAGGCGCAGGGAGGTTCCTGGTATACTTTGCGACCTGTGCCTTGATCTGGTTGATCTCCTGCGTCTCTTCGTCGTCGTCGTTGGCTCCACTTCGCAAGGACTGGATATACTCAGCCAGCACCTTTGCCGTAGGGTTGCGATAGATGACTCGAGGTGTGATTGTCGACGTCTCAACGCTAGCTCTGTGCAAAGCACCACGCAACAAGTTTGTCGCAGTCATGACTTGCAAAGAGTCAACACCGACGGAGAAGAAGTCCGTATCCGGTTCGAGCTTCTCAACTCCAAGCTTGGTAACAAAAAGATTGATGATAGATTCCGTCAAAGCGTCGTCGTCACTAAAGTCAAGGGTGACAGATGGACCATCTTCAAGCATCTCAGCCTTTTCGTACAAAACCGAAATGAAGTCGGCGTACAGGTTGACAGCCTTACTACGCTGTACAGTCCCCTTGTCAGCGCGAGGGAAGGGCAAAGCAGGGTCAGCAAAAGCGACAAAGTTAGCAGCAATCCGTCCGTGAGCAACAGTCTCAGCGTTGGCTTTCTCGACCGTGGGCCAAATCTTATCCAGCAGAGCCTTTGCCTCAGTCTCGTCCTTCGGTTGGGCCTCCATGACTGGCTCAATGATGAGAGCTGCCTGAAACATTCCCTGACCAACGACAAGGGATGATTTGACGAGAGGGTGGTCCGAGACGATACCCTCGATGGTGACTGGATTCAGCTTCTCACCATTGGAGAAAACAATGATATCGTCAGCCCGACCTTTGTAAAGCCAGTGATCCTTGAGCGTTGGGTGAGGTTCAAAGATGTCGTTGGTACGCCATTCGGATAATTCGGGGAAATTGTAGAAACAACCTTGGTTGCCAGGATCCGATGCCTTGCGACGGACAACAAGCTCATACTCGTTCGAGTCATGGCGTTGCCAGTCAATACCCATGACTTCAGAGTTAAAGATGAAGTATCGCCACAGCTTTGGGTCTTGGGGACTATAAGGTGCCAAAGGGAATAGCCTCGGTCCGTTAGCTTACACGCAAATTCGTGGTGGAGAGAATACTTACTCAGTTGATGAAATTATGTTCCTCAAGATGACACCCCTATCCGCCAGCATGTTCCCGGCTTCAGTTGACAGGCTCCCTATACAGAGTTAAACACCATCAGCAGGTAGTTGAGGCTGTGTTGACTTACCTCCGCCAGTAATAAGGAGTTTGAGCTTGGCCAAAGCCTGCTTGCCTTCCTCAGAAGCTGCCAGTTCATCTATCACAGAAGGGGGCAGCATTGCGCCATCAGCACCACTATGCTTCAAGTAGTCCATAGCTGTATCAACGTTCAAAGGTTGGTTGGGAAACGGCATAACTGCAGAGAGACCAGTGTATATGAATGTTAGAGGGAGATATGTTCCTGCGGCATGATACATGGGCATCCCCATGAAGATCTTGCTCGCCCGTTCGACCCATTCATTGAAGGGATACGGAGACCCATGAAATTTAGGTAGGGCGAGATAATCTTCCAAGGCGTACAGGATACCTTGTTTCAAAAAGACTGGCTTGGGGATTCCAGTTGAGCCGCTTGTGTGAAGAACAACAAGGGGGTCCCATCGCGCCTGTTCGACAGTTCGACTGTAGGGAAAGGGCTTGGGAGCCACTGACAAGAGATGATTGATACTCTCTATTATGGCAACTTTCATTGCTCGTTTATCGAGGCAGGGCTGCAAAGCCAACTTGAACGACTCGGTTGTGTATAAGTATCGACAGTTTGTAGCTTCGAAAAGGGAGATCTGAACAGCGGGGGTGTTTCGTGGCGAGATGAAGAGGGCTTTGCAACCGGCTTTAACACAAGCCAGAAGAATGGCTGTGTATCGAAGGTCATTGGGGCCGATGTATGCCACGGTTGGAACCTCGTCGTTTGAGGATTTAATAACGGTCTTGGAGATGTCGTGGGCAAGGTAGTCGACGGCATTTGCGAGGTGAAGGTGAGTCACTGGCTTCCAACCATCTTTAGGATCTGAAGATGACGGAGTGTAGCTGAAAACTCTATCAGGATCGTTTGTGGCAATCTTGTGGACGAGGTCGATCAAGACATGATGCTTGACGTTCGACTCGGTGTTGATGGGACTTTTCTCGATGGCATTATTTGCTTTGTTTGACGCACCACCGGAAACTGGGGCATCGTAGTGTTCGATATCAGCTCGCATAGCCATTTTGAATAATAATAATGATAAAAGAGAATAGTTGATAGTAATTGTGTCAGAGTGTTGTTGAAGTCGGTTGCTTGATATTCTATGAGTAGACTAATTCTCCAACCACTTGACGGCACAATGTCTGGATATAAATATCGGAGGAATATTTCTCGTACGGATATACGTCTTCCATCGCCTCCATTCCGCTCCTTAGCGTATCGGGCCGTGGATGGTGGCTAAAATAGCGGCATCCAACTCGCGCGGATTTTCCACGGACGGCATTTGCTGCCACACGGAGATTGGGGATCTACATTTAGCCCACTGAGTGCCGATTCAGCCGTACAAGGGTAACTATTTAGGCCATCTTCTCCGAGAATTGTACGAGAAAGGCTGCATACCGACAGATATCAGTTTCGTATATCCCTCAACGAGATAACGAGACTCGTTAACCGTGTTATTCCCGCTGTGTTTCGTAACTAAATACGTACTTTTGACAGATATTAGTCCATCAAAAGGGTGAAAGCTCCATAATTCCCAGTCAGTCTCGATGTGTTCTTAGTCTAGTCAGTTTCCTTGAATTTCATCTCGCTCGGACCCTTCTCCGTGTAGATCTTCAGCACCAAATCGGGGTATCGGTGGTATACAACAGCCGAGATGGAGACAGACCGTCGCGTCGGTAGTCACAGAAGCCGACTCAAAGGGAAGAATGCAGATCATTACGTCTTGGCCGTGTTTTGAAGCTATCCAAACGGACAAGTGGGTGTCGTGGCCCACTTCATCATATCGGCATCGAAATGACGAGTCATTGACATTTGCTGTTGGCTAAATTGTAAGTCGCCTGTATACTTCTGTTTATGAAATGCATTTTGTATTTTAAACTGAAGTATTGAGGGGTTTGTATGGTAGTATTCGCTATGGGAATTATATGTTGCATCAAACTGTATCTGGAGCTTAACTCTATTTTGTGAACTTTAATATATTAGGACCGCCTCAAAAGTAAAGTCGCATTTAGATAAGGACAGAGAAACTGCTCAATAAATATCTCTATAGCGCCGTACTTTGCACTTTTGTCAGCTTTTCAACCCTCAAGTCCAATCAGGGATGATTGATTATTGGTGTAACCCGACATGAGGCTTGCGGCTGAAAATTGGCCATTGGACGGCCCAATCACTTGAAGCATTTTTTTATTTATAGAATCAAGGATTGAAGCTGAGGCATTACTATTGAACTATTTCTGTTGTCTTCCCGCCTTATTTTTCTCTCTTCAACCTTGCCTCTGCTTAACTTTTGTACGTGTACCAAAAGTTGGCTTCGCCATTCTCAAACGAGATCCTCCGAGAATGGACTGTTCTCCATCAAAGCTTAGAAGACTTGTTTCTGATGAGGAGGTCGAATTTGATGCTGATATCGCTGGGCCGGGAGTAAGTGAATCCCCAGTCATTAAGCACATGCGCCAACTAACCGGAATCAGGTACTAGCTGCTTTCCTCATCACGTCGTTGATAGCATTAGCTACTCTAATTCTCGCTTTTCTTACGCTTTCAGTACCCGAGTGTCTTCTCAACTCTGGAGACGCCGTAATCGCGGCTGGGGCGCGTCGGACTTACCGCCGACTGAGGGCCAAGTTCCCCAAGACCAAACGCACAAAGGTTGTCGAAAGCAGAACCGAGCAAACTCATGCCTTCATGTCTTTCATGATTGCTATAAGTGATCAAATACTTGTCTCTCAGGCCTCGATCCTTATTGCAGCTCTCATTATTCACGACGACATCACCATTTATTCCACCAACATTGTGATCGCCTTAGGATGTCTCGCATCAACCGTTCATTTAGGTAGTTTCCCGTTCTATATAGACCGAATCAAAGACCATAGCTCCGCCAAGCTTATTCGTGTCCTCGCCATGGTCGCCGGCTCAGGGATGCTCGTCTTTCTGCTCGTTGTTCAACTATCATATACCTGGAATATGGAGACTCACGTCTACTTTATTTGCACCCTTCGGGACTATCGGATGAGTGATGACATGGTAGTGATGGACTATATCGACTTCATCGTGCAGATATTTGTTCCACTAGCTGTGCTTTATGCCACGTATGAGATTGTTCAGCTATTGTATCGCGATCAGCCACTAGATGACAACACTAATGGACCATGTTCCAGGGGTCAGCCCCCTGTTACACGACAGAATCGATCAGACCTCTATCCTCGGCAACTCCCAGACGATGAGGGTATCGAACTTCAAAGGCTGATGAGGTTAGAAGACCAAGCTAACCCAGAGAACCATCGAGATTTTACCGATATAGAATTCGAAAGTCAGGCGATCGTTTCCATTTTGCAGCTGATCTCAGGTAGTAACATAGAGATGACGACAGACAACGAGACGGACTATCAACATCAAAGATCCATTCTGTTGAAGCCAAGGGCCGAAAATACTCGACTCAAAGAACTGCTGGAAGAAATCAAAGAGTACAAGAGGGAGCCACTCCTGAACAAATGGCTGAAGCTCAAAGCTTTCACAATCTTGACGTCGAATACAGTATCAACAAGAAAGCTTAGACTCCTTGTCAGATCGACCGCTGAAACATGGGCATTCCACCAATGTCGCGGATCTTTCGCCTGGAGATTATGTTGGCTCTGGTCAGGTAACGTCTACGGGATTGTGACCATTTTTACTTCACGCGCTGCAACAACAGGCATATCAGGCAATCCTAACAAGTGGGATTCGGCCAAGTTGTGCCATTAACGCTGCTTGCACTCCCGATATTTGCGGCTATGGAGAGCCACGCTGGTAACGTGTACTTATCACTCTCTTCCTGGGTACTCTCTGACAATGGGTCTAGATTATAAGCAGAAGCTTAAGGCTATTGAGAAAGCTAATGTTGGTGAAGCGAATTCCGACATGCGAGTTACTAGGAGCACACAGTCACAGTCAAGAGGTCAATCCCCTGCGCAGAGACAAAACATGCCCGCAGAGATAGACATTGCAAGTATCCAGGCCGTACAAGATATCCTCAAAAAGCGGTCTAAGGATATCGGATACCCGGAGCTTTACACTTGGGTAAATGGAGGCGATTTGACCAGCGCACCGAGTCTCCAGATGGGTGTTGCGGTTCATGCAGCAGTCATGTTTACCATCTCAACTCTACTCGGCTTTTCGATGGCTTATGGCATAGCCAATATCAATATTACATTGATCGTGCTTCTATCTGTCCTTGCCGCTCGCAGGCTGATAGGTCTATTGGTTATTCAATCGGAGATGAGATCATGCCCCACGATCCTCGATCATCTCGGTTGCACATTTCACTTATCTGACCAACAATTGGGAAGCCACGCTGAGAGGATGGTAATAGGGCAGGCGGCCGGAGATGCTGGAGAGAATTTAGAGGAGGCAGGTGAGCAAGAAGCGTGAAAAGGGGTCGCTCTTCAGCCATCAGTGGATTCAAGTATCATATCAAAGCGTAGCTATGCTTCCAGAAACAGGTACCATATTCTTATATCTCAAGGCGCTCCACCATCTTCCTATCTAATCCCCTATGGGCTACATAACTTTCGAGAAGCTAGGGCTACTATAACTGAGTCGTCTCGCCTCAAGTATTCCTACGCTCCCCTTGTGTGCAAGGAGCCTCGCGAGCACCCCTTGTAGTTTAGAACCATGGCTGCTTGAACTCTCTCTTATGTGTCTCTTTTGTGCGTACCACATAACTCAATATCCCGTTTGCGGCACGTCTACCAGCGACACTGCCATCTTCCGTCGTTCGTATCTGTTCTTTCATGGTGAAGTACTTACTTACAAACCTCGCCGAACCTTTACCAGTTTCCATTGTCACCCATACCAGCCATCCCCCAATTCATCGAACTCCAGTTAAGCTGATTCATACTCACCGTTAACGGCGCTCCCCCCGCCATATACGGTGCCGAACTGACAGGGTCAAAGCCAGGCTGTGCACCCAGGTTGAAAAACACACCCGGGTCGCCAAAGCCAAACGGCATCTGAAGCTGAACACCATCCATTTCCATACCAGTATTACCCTGAGCTTGTGAACCAGTTGGTTCATTCCCATCCAAGGACATATCCGCTGTCTTTTCGTTGATAAAGTCCACCAGCTCTGGTGTTTCAATCTCCCTTTCAGCTTGATCATAAGCTTTCTTGACCGTATCCCAAGCATACAGAACAATATTCGCAAATGGTTTGAAAATGGGGTGCCATCTGTCGCCGTCTGCTCCCTCATACCGAGCTTCGTAATTTTCCTTCATTACTTTCCATCCCCTTTCCGCAATGCTGCTGAATGGCTGGGTCTTCAGGTGCTGGATAATTCGTATATAGGCTGGAAAAGGGAAGTAAAGCTGTAGAAACCAACGGAAGCCTTTCGTTAGAGGCGAACTTGAGAGCTTTGCGTCGCATTCTAGCCAATCAATGGCGTAGGAGACTGCAGCTTCATGATTCGCTTGGTTGTATGTAGCTGAAGTTTCGAGATAGACGAGGAAGTCGTTCATGAGGCGGCATGTTGCGATACTAGCCCTCGCTGTCCAAAGGGTCATGTAGTGTAGACGGTTATCAGCATCACAGAACTTGAGATACTTTTCCTCTATCATCCTCTCCAAAGCAACATCTCCACCTTCTGGCAGCTTCTTTGCCAACGGCTTCATCAACGGATTCGTAAACGCGATGTAAAACGGACTATTCCGTATATACTCTCCAAGCTCACTTCTCACAACAGTAAAAATAGCCTCGGTAGCTTGCTCTTGGACCTTGGGCGGATTTTTAGTTTCCTCCCGAAGTTCAGAATCACTGACGTTCATGGGCAAAGCGCAATCCCACCCTGGGGCTAGACTCGTTGGTTTATGATCTCCCAAGGCGCTAACTCGGGAGTCGAAGAGGACCAAAGACCACCAGAGTCTGCGGCGCATTTCTGCTTCGAGAACGCTGCTTCTGGCGTTGACGTTTTCGCTCTGGAGACCCATTCTTTGAGCGATGCGCATTGCGACGGCGAGCATGGCTGAGATGGATTTTGGGTGGCTGGCTGAGCGGACGGACACCTAGAATAGTTAGCGATGTGTTGAGAGGTGGTGCAAGTGGGTGGGTTACGAGATAGAGGAATAGTGCAGTCAAGCACTCTCGACTACCGGTACGGAGGAAATTGCTGTTCAACAACGCCTGCTGACAACCAAACTGAAATCTCGTCGACAGCTCTTCCTTGGTCTGCTTAAACATGGTCTCACACTCCTCAGAAGTAAGACTCAGTATAGCCATACAGTAGATACCAAACATGAGAGCTTCAAGAGTCGAAGGAATTTCTTTGAGGTTCGACGCAGCTTCGACGATGTGACCTTGCAGAGTCGGTGTATGTGTCACTTTTAGGAGAGGGTTGACATTATCAAGGTATACCTGCCAGAGCCGAAAGAGTTGAGCGGGTTCTGGATGAAGTGTGTCGAGCTCGACGGCTGTTTGGCGGGAGCCGAAAAGCATGTGTTCATCATTGTTGAAGGATTGATCTTGCGCGTGGCTGAATGCTGTTTCGAAGAACCTATCGTTAGGATCTTGATACTAGGTCGTGTCAGCCTTTTCTTCAAACTCAGGTGTCATTATACCCTTACCCCTTGGCGCATTGCGTGCCAAATGTTCCTGTACTCGTCAGCTCGAACTCACCGGGTTAATAATAGCTTTAACTCACTTGACCTCAGCAACACCGTCAGATCTAACCTGGGAATCATCCTCATCACCATGATCCCTGTCAGAGTGATAGTCATTCGGCGAACTCTTCTCGGTCCCATTATCTTCATGAAGCGGATCAAACTTGACATTATTCTGCTTCATCAACGCCTCATACCTCCTCAACCTATCCAACAACTCACGCTCAGGAAATCTTCGTCTTCGTTGCCTGGGCTGAGTCGCTGGAACGCACTGAACGCCATGTTTGACGCAATTCGAGCAGGGAAACGTGCGGTCGCATTTCACTTTGCGCTGTTGGCAGAGGACGCAAGCGAGGACCCGATGGGGCTTGGGCTTGGATGAGTCTGGGGTGGACATGGTGACTTCGGGACTTTGGAAACCCGAGGAATATTGTTTTCGTATAAGAGTCGGATTCCCTTTGGGAGAGGGAGGTGGATTTAATATGCAGGTGTCAAGTTGGGCGTCGAGACTTTTCGTATCAGAGGAATGTGTCGGGGTTTTCTAAGTCCCGAGATGTCCCCACTTTTGTGCTTACTTGCTGACCGTTGTGTTATCTCGGTCTTTACTATTGTCCGACTACCAATTTTCATATCACGCTTCCTCATTATGACAGTCAATTGGACAACTCAAGGAAATATAACAGTTGCTAAGGGTATAATATTGAGCCGTATTACTTGTACTACTCACAAGATGCTTACTCATGGTGGTGTTGGCTCATGGACAACAGACTTACCCGGTACTGATTCCTATTGATATGAGCGTGGAGTCTTCACTGGTCTTCACTGGCTTGATGGAATCAATAGGATATATCTGTGATATAGACGAGCATAGGGTCGTTCTGGGAGTAGTATTGGGGATGAAAATGGGTTTGCTATCTGATCAACGTAAGACATACGTCTATCAGCGTCATACCAACTCTGACGTCAAGACTATGATGCACACTAGACAACCCCACGAATGGTAACAGTATTTCAATGCCAACCTCATCTCAGAAGACACCTTGATGGCTAGAATCCTCACTATTCTCAATAGTTCCTCCGATCAAGCTTTATCTCTGATTCGTCAATCAATTTGACATATCTACCTATATCAGCCACCATGCCCAGCTATACAGGAAAATGCGTTTGTGGCAACGTCAAGTACAGCGTCTCACTAGACTCACCCGATGACGCACGAACATCACTATGCCACTGTGGGAGTTGCAAAAGGGCATTTGGAACCAATTTCGGTCTTACCACGAAGGTATATCAACTCCTCTCAAGTCAAATAATCTATAGCTGATGATATCCAGGTCGCACTTGATGGCTTCAGCTACGACCAAGGGAAACCCAAGACCTTCAAACAGGAAAATGGTGTAGTTCGAGAGTTTTGCGACAATTGCGGTGCTTTCATCTGTGAATATGGTGAACAAGCTGCGGACAAGTTTCGATACATCATGTGGGGAACTTTTGACGAGCCCGACAAGTTCCCTCCTAAGGGCGAGTTCTTCTGCAAGTATAGAGAGAGCTGGATGCCAGAAGTACCAGGTAAGTCAGTTATTTCTGTGCAGAACAGGGATACTGACAGTTACACAGATATCTTTCACAAGAATGAGATCAAGAACTAGGCAAGAGGACCAGAATGAGCTGCTGATATTGTGATCATGGCTGTCAAGATTCACGTGGAGAAGAATGCAGAGTACGATAAATACCATCCTTGCTGCGCTTAGGTTCCGATCAAAGCTTCAGACTATCTTGATCTTTTTCCAAGTGACTTCATCAGTGACAGCTTCCCCCTGCATAGCACCATGTACGTATGATTCTCCAATGAGACAATACTCATTTCCCTCCCCTGATTTTCTCAATACCAGCGGAGCAGGAGACTCAGAGATGATCCAAACCTCATCCCCGGCTTGAGTCGATTCATGTCCCATGCCCAAATACCCCGTGTCAGTTAGGAAGGCCCTGCGATACATCCATGTCGACGCCATGATATTACCAGGCGGCATGGCATGCTTCGACAGTGGTTCCATAAGTTTCTGTAACTCTTCCGTGTCACAGCCATCAGTGTCCTGAGGTATAGTGTCCAAGCTGGCACAAAGGGACTTGACTAGCTTTGTGTTGGGAAATATACTGTTGGGGAATTTGGCTGCTATTTCGTCCAGGTAAGTCATGTCGCTAATTGCTTGGAGGACCAGAGCATGGCCGGCAGAGGCTGACTTTGCTTCCTTGAAAACATACTGCAGCGCACGTACATAATTATGCGCAACGGCCCTCTGGAAGTCCTCTAGTCGGATGAGCTTCGAGGGTCTATTTGTGAAATCAGTATCCCAGATTAGAGTTCTCCATAGAACTTCATCTGCCGGTTGGTTTGTATATGGATAGGTCTTATCCATAGTAAGAAGAATGTCGCCAAGCATACTAAGACGGCCTTGAAGGCATTCAAGAAAACCTTCACCAATCTTCTGCACTGTACCGAGGCGGAAGCCGAAGACGTTGAGGACCTTTCCAGTGATGGTAAATGGATATTGATTCGGAGAGTGGGGGACGTGTTTCGAAGAATTAACAGTTCCCATAGATCTAAAGTTTGGTCCGTGGACACTGTTGTATAGAACCGGTGGATAGTCAGGAACCCAAGATGGAAGGCCTGGTGTTTCCCGCATTCTGGGGTCCTTGACGAGACTTAGATAGACAAGAGAATCAGTCGCCTCGATGATGTTGCAGGCGACGTTTCGCAGCAAGTCTTTGATATCCATATCGTAATCGGGCTCGAACACCGACGGCAGAGACACCCCCTCTTGAGCAGCCATGTGCTTCAAGATACCGTTCCACCCGTAGATAGAATCCCGAGGATCTGTCGCCTTCATTCCAAAGGTTGAGAATAGCACGCGCAGGGGAACAATCACTCCGGGCTTTGCATGATGCTTTGCCAGGCCAGCTTCCAGATCGATCATAGCGAGGACACCGGTCCATGCACTTTGCTTGCCTTTGCACCACTCACGAAGTAATTGGATTCTCTCTGCATGAAAGATGTTGATCCCGCCTCGAATATGAATACCAGGCTTGTCTTTGGGTACCAGATCCACGACAGATTGGAAGAATCCGCTGTAGTGTAGAAAAGCCGCTGTGTAACCCACGTAGTCAAAGACCGTGAATCTACCGTTACACAGAATGACCACGTCGCTGGTGAGGGAAACTTCCTGTATGATCCAGATCCGGGTAAACCAATTACTCATGTAGAGTGCGACCAAGCCGATAGCTTCTTCCTCAGTCACGGGATCCATACCATAGCGCTCCGGCATAGTTGACAAATCAGAGCTGAAATCCCAGGTCTGCGTTCGAATCATACGAAGCGTCTCGGGAACCGACGCAGCACCGAGTCTCTCAACTGCTTTGAGGCCGGTCTCTAGCTCAGGGAAGGTCTTTCCAAGCCAGACAATAACGCGGTCTGCTTTTCCGTAGATTTGGTTCATGACCGAGACCTGCGGGGATCGCTCGTTGGAGTTGGACTGGCTGATGCAGAGGGCGTCTATCCAGATGGGAGTCTCTGAGCATGAGACCAGCAATTCAACAAGAGCATCATAAAGGTTCGCCTGGACATCGAATGGTATTCCATTCAGAAGTATTGTTGTGTTGCTGGCCTTATCGGTGAGTGGGGGGCTGTCTCGCGGTGAGCCCCAGGTGTAAGACAGCGCATTGTAAGCGAGGTCTGCAGCGCCGTAGAGGTCGTGTTTCGTGAGAGTGATACTGGGGATTTGAGACTCTGTATCTGGGTGACTGCCCGATGAGATAATCGCCAGGCGAAAGGACTCGGTATCGAGCTCATCCGAATAATATTGCGCCATAATTATGAGTCTTGTGTAGAACGCAGATCAGAGGGGCACAGAAGAGGGGTTAAAAGAGTCTCGATCTCGAGGATAAGAGGAAGAGGCGCTAGCAGCCTTATAAGGCGACTAGGGGCCTTTTTGACATACCCTGCGGTCTAACGCCCTATTAGCTATAATTGGATTGGGGAATAGTCGGTCAATTGTAGAGCACTTTATGTCAATCGCTCCCGTCGTATTTCCCCAAGGGAAAAAGACCATGGACTGACTTACGATAAGGGAGTATAGTAGGGTTTGGTGGTAGGTAAGCGGCCCAATCACAGTACGAAATACCTTAACACCTAAGAGGAGATAGTGAAAGTGGATGGACAAATTCTCTATGTAACATTGAGACGTTTCGCATTTTTTTCTTAAGCTTATTCAGGCTTAGGAGAGTAGTATTCAGTTCTCTGCGGTTACAGCGCCAATCGCTTTGTCAAAATTTATTGGCACGCGTAGAAATGTCTGGCCTTGTCGGAAGATAGAGATATATGACAACGTTGCACGAAATAGAGACGCGACAACAAGAAATCAGGTATATGAGGTGGAAGCCAGCGTCAAAGGAGTCGTGAAAAAAGAAAAAAACTCTGAAATTAAGTGCAAATAGATACTGAGAGAGCCCCTGAGCCGCCTAAACATCTTGCATGATAAATCTCTTGTAACAATTCTGCAGTTGACTCAAGTTAGTATAATCTCCAAGACCACAACAGAAAAACGAGAATGTGTCAACATACCTGGAACTTCGCATCTCCTTTGTCTTGATACGCAATACCGTTGTACTCAGTATCGGGAAGACTAAGCTCCCACTGCTTCACAACCTCATCATCAACCCGAAAAACAACCTCTCGAATCCCATCACCCCAACTAAACGTCATCCCCGCCATCTTCCCCTCCCACGGCCCCCTCACATCCCACTTGACCAACCGCGCTCTGCTCAGAGCACTAGCGAAACTAACGCTGTTCCAGTCAAAGTTCCACGACACCCAGCGCATAGCGTCCTTTGCAGCGTTGGGTCTCTTGTCAATCTGTGCGAAGCCGATTTCCTCTTTGGGCTCTTTTCCGAGAAGCATTGCGGCGGAGAAGACGGGGAGGGCTTGAAATGTTGCCTCTTCTGCGGTGGGTTCGGTATCGTCTTGGACGTGGACGCGGAGAACTTTGTCTTGTTCTGACCAGGCCATGCAGAGGGGCAGTGCGGGAGCTTGTTGTTTCTTGCCGAGTGGTTGGGCTATGATGGCAACGGCCCTTTTGTAGACGCCAGTCCACTCCATGATCTCTCGCATCATTTTCATGTCTATACGAGATCCACGACTGCCGTACTTGGGACTCTTTCGTTTCGGTCCGTAATTACTAGATGCTTCGTTAGTAGTAAAATCGAGTAGGATGATGAGGTTTCTTACTGAATAGCCACTGCGATAGGAGCTCCGTTGTATCCAGTCCAGACCACGGAGCCACTCACACCAGCCTCAGTATATGTGAGATACTCAAGCTGATGCTGCTTCAGTATAGGATTGACGAAGCGTCCTGTACTGCGTGTAGGCGGTTCGCCAGACTTGGCGGTGGTCAAATAGCTAGAAATATTGCAAATACCTTCTAGTCTCTCCTCCTCAGCAAGTCTCAAAGCGAATCCAAATGCCGTCTTGGGAGGTGGAGGGTTATTGTTCTTTGGGATCATAATGATACCAAAGTCATCAATGGCAGACTCTTCGTTAGGCTTGGTCGAGAAGACTTTACTAACTCGAGTATCTTTCTCCTGGATCTCGATCCCTTTGTGCTGCTCCCCGAGGTCAGACCACCAGGCTCGAAGGTTTTGCGTTCTGTTGCCGTTCTCATCCATAAGGTTATGACCTGCTGTGAAGATGATGGCTTTGTCCTGGCCGGGGATATTGACAAAGAAACCATTGCCGCCTTTCTCTACAAAGGATTTCTATGTTAGATGTTGAACAAGAATTGATATTCTCGGATACTTGCCGGCTCCATCTTTGGTAAATCTTAGCTTCGCGACTGCTTGGCCGATAACTGCGTCGCTGATAGAATTGAGACCATAGCGAACAGGGTCTTTCTCACGTTCTCTGCCGGCATCTCCACCTCGGCGGTCTCGGTGCCAGAGGTTCTGGGGAACCAGCGATGATACCATCTTGTCTTGGCTTGATAGAGGAGAAGCAGCAGGTAAATCGAGGATCTATGAGTCCGAGTGCTCAAATGTCCAGCAAGATCAACACTTTGATCGTGGAGATAGAGTCTAAGTCTCTTTACTCTCGTGCCAGGTAGATCGTTATTGACCTGTGACCAATGGCTACCTCTTGAGCACCAAGCACCCCAGCAAGTCTGTCTTTAACAAAGCCCCGCTCGAGCTTGTTTTGATCATAAGTGAGCTCAGCTCACCAAATTGCTGATCTTCTACCGGATCCAGCATTTTATTGGACACAATGCGACCTCTCCTGTCAGACCAGCAACCTCCTCGATTGGGTATACACCTAGTGAGCTCAGCGCTGACAAGTTGCCGATCACTTCCCTCATTTAGTTTCTCACAGAAGCACTACAACCTCTCAGGTGAGGGCCGTGCCGTGCCGGCTATATCCCAACAGATAAGCCGAAATGGAGGGCAGCCTTTCACGAATTATCTGGGACTTCGGTTTGCTCAGCCAGCCATTTGCATACCAATTCTTCTCTTTAGGATAGGTGCATGGTATCAGCCGACAGAATCAGACTTTGTGCAACGTCGCATAAAAATACGCAACACCACGGTTGCCAAGATGGGATTCGAAGAGAAGACGCGTACTGTGCGCTCAAGGTCAGGATATGTAGGGAGCATACAAATGCGGAGAGCTGAAAGGCAGGGTGATGTCACCTCGCAGCACCGAAGTCAAAGCACACATTATGTCCGAGACCCGGATACCATTCTAGTTATGTGATTGGATAGTACCTTGGACAGTCTAAATCTCTGCAGTAGCTTGTAATTAAAGCGGCTTGGTTCTGAGACAACCAGGCATGACGATGGTCTTTTTCGGCGCCATAAATTGGGAGGCAATGCCATGGTATCAAACTTCTGTGTAGCAATTGAGCTCTTCATATCCCTCCATCACATTATTCACATCACTAAACCTCTTGAGCCCTGAGAATCCATCATGAGCGGCGAGATCAAAACTATCGCTCGTGCCCTTCGCTCTGCGAGCCACAACACTCTTCCCAACGGCGATCTTACCTTTCTCGAGATCCAAGGCCGCCGCTTGATCGAGAAGGTCTATGATGGCGAAGAGCTCAAGGACCAGCGGCTGGTTGCCTCTGGACTGAGGGAGGGCTCAACTGCAGGCTACGCCGTGGCCAAAGATAAGGTGAGTATATCAAATTACAAGCGGAAGTACTCTGACATGTGACGAATAGACCTACGCTGTATACATTGGTGATGATAGCATCATCAAGGTCAGTGAGTTTGACGAGGATTCTGAGGAGTGGGATGAGTACGACCTCGAAGGCGCCGGTGATGTCGCTATCCATGGTCAGGGCCACCTCACTGTCGCAGGGCTCCCTAGCATGAACTTGGTGGTATATCAGGCACCTGATGGATCTATCAAGAGTATCAAGCACGATAAGGATTCTGATAGCTGGACTGAAGAGTTTGACATCCCTGGGTCCGCAGCAATTGGAACTCCGATTGCCGGGTTTTCGACCGACGAGGCTCTCATTGTGAGCTTCTTCGGAGAAGACAAAGAGATCCACGTTCACAGTCGAGACTTTGAGAACGGCGACTGGACTGGTAAGCATAACTCAGACTCCTCTTCACCGGCAGTCAATCTAACATCAAGCAGAGGAAACCATCAACGATTCCTCCTTCGACGACACTGTCGATAGCATCATCGTCGCCAAAGACAAAGACAGCGGCCACTTTGAGGCCTACGTCTTGGCCAACAACACGGTCTACAACATCACCAAGACCGGGTCTCGCGACACCGTCGGTTCTTTCAGCGGTGATGGCGACTTTGTGCCCTCCACTAAAGCTGAGTCCGGTGGCTGCTACGGCAACAACTGGGGCAACTATTGCGGCGGTGGCTACAGATGCTACAGAGGGTGTAGCTGCGGCTGCGGTCAGGGCTACATGTGCGGTTGCTACAGTTGTGGCTGTGGATGTCCTCGTCCCCGCCGTTGCCCGCCTTGTTGGTAATGTTGGGTGGGCAGACTGACATGGATTCTTCGCATTGAGATGCGCCACTCCTTCTTAGTAGTTTGGCATTTGAACTTACATTCACTCATAGATCCTATGGATCAATTAGTTAGTCAGACCCCCTAGTGGGTGCTCAGATAACAATTTACTCTATTTAACTGGAAACTAAGTTCTCTGACTTCCGTGTCTCATGTGCCTGCAAGAGCGCATATGCCTTTCAGATCCGGAACTAACTTCGCACTTCTGACACTTCTGACATTGATGTTCAAGAACTTCTGCATATTTCAATGTCAAAGATGCACATCGAACTGCCGAATTCTTGGGGGATTTCTTGGGTAGGTAGTTAGTGTGCTGCCGTACATGTGTTCTTGAGAGTGATGTTTTGGTTGGTAGACCTAAAATCATTGCTGAGATTGCTCAGCTTAACGAAACTACAAGACCTAAAGAAAGATTAATCATAATCCGGGCAGACAGAATCTTAGCCCATGTTGCTCAAGGCATCAGTGACACGGGATTTTGATAAGAATCGGCTCTCAGAGTGGGTATCAGACCTGAAGAAGGCCTTAGAGCAGCTTGGGCGTCATCCGCAAAGATTTCTGATGACTCTCTTGCATGGCTGAGATGGTCTGGACAACTGCCGAAAACACAAACTTCATGATAAGTCAGGCCATGATAGCGACGCCATTCAAGCGACAAAGCACAGTCTGACAGATACTGTGGTCCTCGTATGACTGCATTGCATTGCATAAACGTTGAGGTTGTGTCGCAGTGCATAACACATTCAATATTGCAACCCACCAAAAGCCGCGTCATCTCAGCCATGAACTTACAGACCCTTGATGCAAATCTTGAACGGAATAGGATGGCCACCTCTAGATTTGGATATAACAACTTCTACAGACCGTTGGAGTATCATTTTGTGACAGTGGCGTCAATCTTGAAGCTGAAATGCAATCTGAATATTGATCATGAGACTATTTGCCGAGCCAACCTTTATGCCATTTATCAGTCTCGGCTATATGGGATTTGTTGATGTCTGCAGGGTCTTTTGTTTGTGGCGTTATCATACGAAGCTGAATTGTAAATTGACTTGTCACTCTCGTTCAGCTACGAGTCGGCCGTGCCGCTGCCTAAAAGGTCAAAGTGAGGCATGTAACCCACTGAAGAGCTCCAGACTGGCATGTGATGGAAAGATGTAATCTGAGCGGTTAATGTTCTCGTGAAGTCTTATCACATATATCTCATTTCCAACAGCTCGATACTGAAGTATTACTCTCCAAATCATCTTTTCGTAGTCACTCAACCTCTGCCTCTTTACACTTCCGAAATGGCTGACAATATCTTCGTGGACGCCCGAAAGGGCTCTCTGACTTCCACCAAGCTAGAAGCCTACCTCGCCAGCGGTGTTGACATCAACGCCCAAGACCCCAAGACTGGCTTCACACCTCTTGGTATGGCAGCTAAGTACGGCCGTCTCTCAGTCGTCAATCTCCTCCTCGACAAGAATGCCAACCCCAGAGCTATGAGCAAGCCTGGCATGACCCCTCTGTATATCGCTGCCAACGGCAACGGCGACAGAGTCAGCGTTGTCAGGACACTTCTTGACAAGGGTGCTCAAGTCGATGAGACGAGCCCAGAAGTTGATAATGATACTCCTTTGATGGTGGCCATTACTCACGCCAGAGACCCTGTTGTTGTGAACATGCTCATCAACGCTGGAGCGTCACTTTCGGTGAAGAACACCAAGGGTCATACGGCAAAGGAACTGGCTGAACAGTCAGGTAATCCTGCTATTCAGGGTGCTGTCTCACCACCTGGGCAACAGATGGCAGGTCTTCCTGAGTTGATTAATGCCTTGGTGAACTTTGTCTTGTTCATCTTAGCATATGTGAACAGTGGCGTCATTAACGGTGTCGTCAAAGGTGTGGTATCTAACTTGTACCATATTGGACAACCTCCGCCAGACCAGACTTTGGCTCAGGTAAGTGATGAAAACTAACCAGTGGGACAGTTACTAACTGACGATAGGATCTGGATAATCCTACCACTATAGATGATTTCAAGGCGGGAGTCGAGAAGTATGTTGAGGACAGTGACCTCGGACAATTCTTCGCGCCTGGCAATCCTTACCTGCAAAAGGTTGCTGAAAAGGCAATTGAGCTACAGAATGACCCAAGCAATCACCTCAAAGAACCCGAGCAGATGAAAGGCCTGGTCAAGCTTGCTTTGTATCAGCCAATCTTCTACTGCGGTATGTTTCATTTCCACCGCTCTAGATAACATCAACTCACCCTGCACAGATGACAGTGGCTCAATGCAAGCCAACGTACTCGACGCCGACGGTAAAGTCGTCAGCACAAGAATGGAAGCAATGAGAGGTCTAGTTCAGCGCATGGCCCGCATCGCAACACGTCTTGTACCAGATAACTCAGGTGCTCATCTGCGCTTCATCAACAGCGACGATCAGGGGAATGACCTGACTGCTGATCAGATTGATGCTCGTATACAGTTCCAACCAGGAGGTGGTACCAACATCGGCACAAACCTGAAGAAAAAGGTTCTAGAGCCTCTGGTCTTTAAGAAGCTCGATCAGGATGGCAAGCTGGACAGACCGTTTCTTGTTCTCACTATCACGGATGGTGAGCCTAGTCCTGAGCCTGTTGATACGTTCAAGAAGACAATTGAGGAGTGTGGACGACGGCTTGAGCAGAAGGATTATCCCCAGGAATGTAAGCTGAGATTTGTTTATCCCTACTGAGGAATATGCTAACGAGGGTGACTAGCAACAATGTTTCTCATCAGCCAAGTCGGCAACGATCCGCATGCTGACAAGTTCCTCGACTCACTCTCAGGTGACACTGCAATTGACCGTGTTCTCTTCCGCAGTTCTGGTACGTATTGCCTTGCTCAAGAAGGACCCACAAACTAATGTATGTGGCCAGAGCGCCTACATGAGAAGTATGCTGAACTTCGGGACAATGAAGGAGACCTTGAAGAATGGGTAAGACTCAGTTCTCTGTCAAGCATTTCTCAAGTCATCGACTAACCAACGACCTTATAGCTTTTCAATATTCTGATGCAGCCTATTACTGGATGAGAGTTGTCTGTAGTGTAGTGTCTGCCTTCTGGGATCGGTGGCCTCAACATGGAAACACTTCTCGAGCCAATAGTCTCTGTCCATGCCACTTCGAGAATTTTAAAGCAAACATCAGTACATTTATGAAGCATCTATTCATCTATAAGCTGGTTCTTGACAGAAATATTCTTGTGTAACTTCATCAGCAGCCCTTGTTGCTTCGATCCACTGTGCTCAGACACCCAACAAACATGTTTTTATGTTTTTTACCGTGCCCGATGGCGTCTTTGGTCATCTTAATTCACGTAAGTATATCATCGTACAAGACACAAAACCACCCACCTTCTTATGGCTGAGCATACACGAATCTCAAACGACTTTCTCGACGGTCCTTGACACCGCATGATAGCAGCCCCGATATTCATCTTATCCTCCACGATCGTATTTAGAAGGTCCCGACTGCAAAACTCATCCGCTCCTAGTTGAGGCACAAACTTGCCAGTGTCCCTCGTCCAGAGTATGCTCGCTCCTGTCGTCGTGTCAATCTCCCATTGACCCATTCCGTCGGGTTGTTCTCCAACAATAACGTATATCTTTTCCAGATTCTCGTGCCATTCCCAGGTATATAGTGCCTCGTCTGCGGTTTGAATAAATCTTGCTGGCACTGCCAAGCTTGTGATGTATGTAGCCACGGTATGATTCCTATCGATCATATCTGGTTCAGCGCCTCGATCGGCAGCCTCGATCTCAGCAGCGTCTATCATATTGTTGGGAAAATAGATGGTGTCTGTGTTATTGTCCATCCTACGGCTGAACTCATATTTGCCGTTTCTGTATCGATTTCTGATGTTGTTATCTCGAGCCCAGGCTAGTGCAACACGGCGCGCCTCTTGGTTGACATCCATGATGGGTATATGAACTGGTGTTCCTAACTTATCGTAGCGAAACTCTAGGCGAATGTTGTTAGGATCGTCTTTGGACCAATCGTAGTCTTCTGGTGTAAGGTTTTTTAGATCCCAGCAGCCTGGCTCCCATTGGAATATTCCTGGACCTTGGCGGGGTTCTGGTAGGGTGTGGTACCAGATTTGGTCGCGAATTTCTGGTGGTAGACGAGGGAAAAGCGTGAACATTTTGATTAAGAGGAGCCACTGGCAATGTTAGAGATAAGAAATTATTTTTCGGGCCTCACGATGATGGGCGAGCGTTACTATGCTGGAATTTGAAAGACTTCGGCCAGCGCATGGTTACGAACAGGCGGGGATAGTGGCTGAGCTTTATAGTTCTGGCTGCTGTCGTAGGACTTCAGCACGTACGCCAGGGCCAATCAGGGCACATCCTACAACTTTACACTACAGCATAATGATGGTAGGACTAAAGTCAATAGATGGCCTAAATTCCAATTATTCCAATGTTGAAAGGAAGACACTAACAATTTTACTGGCCCACCGATACTGCTGATCGCAATGCGCTTCAGACCCAAATATAATCCTTCAGGCTCCACGAACGCTTAGTCAACCTTGGAAGGCAACGACAACAAAGGTCAAGAGGCCGCCACTCATTCAATCTCACTCAATATTCTCATGCCTCATCTCTGTTTCGCCTATCTTTGAGTTTCGTCTTTAAAAGTTCATTCCACGCGGTCCGTTTAAGCCACTAAACTGCCAACGAGTATGAAGCTCGGACGCTGACGCGTACAGCACAGGACCCCCGCGCTGATCGGATTAGATGTCATCAGCTAAAATGAGTGAATCGGACAATAAGGTGTCGGACGTTTCGTCGCAAACAGTCCCCTCTTCGGGAAGTTCTGAAGAATCATGGGTCGAAGACGCCAAGTACTTTTTAGTCGACGACAACAAAGTCAACATGAAAGTGATGAAACTCAACTTCGATAAACTCGGTCTCAAATACAACATCGCATGGAACGGCCAAGAAGTCGTTGACCTGTACAAAGCGCACCCCGAGCAATGCAGATTGATTTTGCTTGATATTTCCATGCCCGTCATGGGCGGCATGCAAGCTTCACTTCTCATAAGAGAGCATGAGCGCGAGAACAATCTTCAGCCTGCTATCATCATCGGACTTATGCCAGACCCCACAGAGAGCGAGACTCGGCGAATGATTGATCAGTTTGGCATGAACACCACGTTCAAGAAGCCGTTTAAATTTGAGGGTCTTCGGGAGCTTATCAACAATTGGCCCGTTTGAGGAGCGGGGTGCGGGTCAATTGACTTTTAGGCGCGTATGTCGTGCGGAGGGCGCGGAACACAGTCACCAATTCATTATTCATGATATCAAGTCTACTTGCGATAAGCCTCAGAACAGATAGTAGCCATTGACTTAGGGGATACATGGTTCGGCATGAGGTTCCGAAGATAGCCCGGGCCTCGCATTCCATAAAAGGAATAAGAGATAACTGATTGTATAACATAATTTAGCTCGGTCACTATCTACCAATGACTCACGCGCGCAATTACAAACTTTATATATATAGTGAGACAGGAGAACGATAACATCCTATATGCCAAATTCGAAGTATTTGTTATTTACTAAACAATACAATGGCCTCATCAGCCGTCAAATTTCCAACGGGCTTCACCCTACATCGAATTACTAGTCCCGAGGAACTAGAACGATGGACTCCTTCACTCACCCAACTACTCTTATCTTGCGTCAACGATGACCCATCTTCATCATCGATCGGCTTCCACGCACCTCTCTCTACCACCAAAGCCACAGAATTCTGGTCCTCGCAATCGCCTCAACTCTTTGGCCTGAACCCCAGAGCAACCCTATTTGTGCTCGCCCGCGACACCACCGCAGTGGGAACGATTTCGCTCGTGACTCATCCCAAGGAAACTCACTCTCATAAAGTCGAAGTCGGCAAGCTATTGGTTTCCGCTGCAGAAAGAGGTCATGGACTGGGGAGGAAGTTGATGGATATGGCGGAGAGGTTTGCTAAGGAGGAGTTGGGTAAGAAGATGGTCTTGTTGGATACTGCATCGGATACCCCGGCCAGAGGATTTTACTTGAAGCTTGGGTATACGGAATGGGGTGTTTGTCCGCAGTATGCTGAGAGTGCCGATGGGCATTTGCATGACTGTTCATTCTTCTATAAATTCCTAGGCAACTAGTATGATTGGACTATAGAACATTCGTCGTCTGGTGCTTTATCATTTATAGATTTAGGCTTCAGCAGTTTAAATCTACGCCGAATAAACCACGAGGCTTCTCAGAAGAGAGACGGGGAGGCTCAGCGATGTCCAACTCCATAGTCTAGTGTAAGTAATGTGCTGTTTATGGTTTTTCGATTTTGAGAGCAAAAGCTATTATTTCTGGAAACTCCTAAACCAAGTAGAGCCTCTGGCAATTTCCGATGTCTTTGGTGTGATTAGCGGGCTCTGCAGCGCCAAGCTCGCTGAGGCTCGGGCGACGACCCAATCTCCTTGAACCACGTCATCAGCTGAATGCATGGGTGCGATAAATGAATGCGGCTACCCTTTGAAATTGTCAAGTACATTTCAACAAAGTCCGTTGAAAAAGTTATCTTCATTTCTCGCGCTGTCTTTCATTTCCCCTTTTTTTTGTTACCAGTGGCCTCGAAATTCACAATGAGACTCCTGGATGCAAACACCCTCGAGGTGGTGGAGTTCATGGATCATAGCGTCCCAAAATATGTGATTCTGTCCCATACCTGGGTTACAGGAGAAGAAGTTACCCTCCAAGATATGCAGGATAACAAAGGGATGGAACGATCCGGATACAACAAAATCAAACAAGCATGCGCCTTGGCTCTCAAGAATTGTTATGGGTATGCGTGGGTTGATACATGCTGTATTGACAAGACCAGCAGCGCAGAACTATCAGAAGCTATCAACTCAATGATGAGCTGGTATGAACGATCGGAAATATGTTATACGTATTTATCAGATGTTCCTCCAGGCACCAACATTCACGACCCAGAATCGTCATTTGCGAAGAGCCGTTGGTTTGAACGAGGCTGGACGCTCCAAGAACTCATAGCCCCGTCGAGGCTCATATTTCTCTATGACGATTGGTCCGTCATGTCCGAAAGAGATGATATTGTCGATATTATCACGCAAATCACTGGCATAGACCAGACATTTCTATCTGCTCCGCCGACCCCGACAGACGGCCGTTTGCAATCCCGACTCCATGCAGCAAGTATTGCCGAAAAGATGAGCTGGGCTTCGGAGCGTAAAACAACTCGAATTGAGGACACAGCATACTGCCTACTAGGTATATTCGGAATCAATATGCCTCTATTATACGGTGAGGGTAAGAATGCCTTCTGAGATTACAAGAGGAGATTATGAAGCGTTCGGATGACCAAACATTATTGGCCTGGTACCTCCCAGAAGATGGCCCCAACGAGTCGGGAGTGCTTGCTAGATCTCCAGCTGCATTTGCAAATTGCAAGGACTTTATCCCTTGTGATGTGGGCATTCCAACCCCGCCATTCCAGATCACCAACAAGGGCCTACGCATCGAAATGCCAGTTTCCAGCGAGGACTTTAGTGATGGGAGATATGCTCTTCTGCAATGCAGGAAGAAACAAGACCCCACAACCATGATTGCGATCCCCTTGAACGGCGGTCACAATGGCCTATATGTGCGGAGCAGAAGGCCATTGAAGATTCTGAGCTATCAATACTGGAGCGCATGGTCATTTACCCCAGTCAATCTACTCCCAAGCGTCTCTTTTGCCAGCAGCATTGTCCAGTCACCGAGCTACATAGTCTTTTTGGAGTCCATTCCAGAGAACTTCTATATCGCAGAGGTCTATCCGCCAAATGAACCGCAGCAGCCTGACCCACGAATCATCATGACGGGCACCCCTGAAGACGAGGACCAAGGTGCCCGTAGGGCCGCTTTGGTTCTAGTTAGGAGCTTTCTCAACGATGTAGAGCCATTTGTTGTGAGAATCGAGGTAGAACCAGCGCCACAAAAGGAAAAAGTTGGGACAGAATCTCATCTCGATGCCACCATCAGATTCGTCGAGGGTTATGGTAGACCCTTCTTTGACGGTGTTTCCCTTGCCAGCTCGTTGAATGGTTGCCCTCACCAAGTTCTCTTCTCTTGGACAACAAGGCAACAACAAGGCTACAATATTGGTTTGAGCCGCGAGCACCACTTTGGAAAGAGGCTGTTTGTTGCCGAAATTAGGGAACAAGGTGGCGACAGACATCGCCCCGATTGGCGTCTCTTCGACGAGGATAAATTCACGCTTCTTGAGAAAGGGTGGACGCAGGCCTTACAACGGTTACACTGTCATGCTCGAAGCAGTGCTCGTGCCGTTATTCGGTCACTTGCCCTTTCGCCATGGATGTTCACGTTTATCGTCGATTCCTTGATCCACAGGGCCATCGAACCGCTCGATTTAATGATAAACCATATCGAGAAGCATTTCAAAGGATATTCAATTGGGGTGGGCGTAGCACTGTTTCTAAGGTTTTATCTCCGCTATGCTCCCTGGAGGAGGCTTCAGAACTTTGCAGCGTTCCGTCGGGTTCGGACCAATTCTTACGACTTCGTCCTTTTTTACCTTTGCTGCAAGCTTCTTCCCTCAGAGCTACTAGAAGCTATTCTTGAGAAGAAATGGGGGGAATTGGTAAGCGTGCTACTGGGACTTGGACTCCAACTGGGCGTTACCAGGAAGGGCGCGAATGTAACTATCATGCTGATTTAGTACATGTTAAAGCGAACAAATAGGTGGATAATATAATCAAAAAAGGCATCTCATTGTGCGTACTCGCTGCAGCCATAACCCAGAGCCTTCTGACTAAAGTTGCGTGACTTGTCATACCTTGATAAAAATCAAGATAAAGATAGTGATATGTGACTACTAAGTTCTGTCTGCCGGAATAAGCGCTAAGCCACATGTCTCAAAGTGCAAATAACAAATCTAGATCACAACTCAGACATAATACCACTTGGTCACTAGCATTTAGACTGCAATAGATACATTAACCAACGCTCCCAGCACTCTTGACTCACAGTCTTTGGAGTTCAAATTCTTTACCCAGCATACAGCGAAGCCTTTCATGTAGGACATCTGCCTATGAAGTTAATAAATCTGAAGTGTTTGGATGCTTTTGTTTGGCGATACTCACGGAAGTTCATGCGTGCTTGACTATCATGAATAATGTTGACGAACTCAGGATCGACCGTGAACAGTTTGGATATACGGTTGCGCCAATAACCGCAGATAAAGTCTTCGAGAGAGCTTGATTTCAAATCCATAAGAGTCATAATTGGAGCAAATTCTCGCATCAAATTTTCCAGTAAACTGAAGTTCTGCTGCTCTTCTGGACTAGACCTGATTTTTATGAATCTTGCTGGATCGGGGTTGGTGATTGCACGAGTACTTCCAAACGTTGAGCTTGGATCATCAACCATCGTGAACTTCACAGCGTCAGCTCAACGAAGAGATTCTGGGACTGTCATTTCATTCTCTTACCTCGCAACAGGTATGGGTCATTTCCAAAGCTTCAAAGGTCAAGAAGCGGATAAGATTACCCAGTGTTTCTATACCACGAGCTTCTGGGTCTTGCAAGAAATGGGGAAAACAACTGAATAGATCATTTCCTTTCCCCTGGCTCGTTTGTGCGGCACGAGATTTCAAAAAGCTATGTAGCGGAAGGCATCCACTTTCTTCACCGGTGCACCAACAGACACATTGGTCTCGCGCGGGCGTTGTGAGTACAGCCGCCAGAAATCTACCAGGTAGGTGAGTATAGCTCGACAACCAATTTGAGTTGTCCCCCATGTAGCCCGCGATATAGTGCCAACCTGTGGCATGAGTGTTCAGCCCAAAGCGCAGTGGATCTGTTGCCATTTCATCGAATATCCCCTTCGAGTTGAGCCAAGTCATGATGTCAAGAATCTGGCTCTTGTTACACCGCCACGTAGATGCTGGATGAAGAAAACGCTCTTTCATCACCAACGTTAGCCCGACAGCATTACGTGATGACAGCCTATCAAAACCATACTCAAATAGAGTACGATAATGATGGAACAAGGTCCCATCAAAATGATAGATAGTGGACCAATTCTGAGGGACTTGAAGGACTGGAGGGACCTGGATCCCAGATTTGTCGAGACAGGAGCAGATGTATCTCGCTTGGTCATCTAGTAAGTCAGTGGAATTGCTTATATCTTGCAGGATCCCAAGCTGTTGCTGTGCTAATAGAAGCAGCGCTCGCCTCCTTACCGCCAGGTTTGATGCAATAACAGCCAGGCATCTCCTGGAAGTTGTATGGAATATGTTCCTTGTATTGTATCCATATCCTATCGGGCATCCAGCTTCGAGAAGGAGCTTAACAGAGTCAAGGCGATCAGAGCATACCGCCAGCCAGAGGGTATACTCATCAGAATCAGTGTTAATATGGCTACTGAGTAGTATTTCGATCCCCTTAGGCCACTGAATGCACAGCTGGAAAGGCGTAAAGCCGTAGAAGGTCTGACTTAGCCCTTTCTGGTGGTCTACAAGGTAGAACTCCAGCAATTGCTCCGATTCTTGAAATATTGCTTGTATAAGAAGAGGAGTCTCGTAGTCTGCACTAAGTTTTCAGTTAAATTCTGGAAGCATAGAAGACGAATCCTTACATTGCCCACTATCGCATATCAAAGGCCATAGGCTAATCAGCCGAATGTCTTTGCTGCGTAAAGCCCCAAGTATGATGTCGTGCCAGTTCAAGTTGAATGTAGTTGCATAAAGCCTGATCCATTCATGCTCTCGATTTCGTAAAAGGACAGCCATGTTGGTCGCACCGCTGTCGCACAATAACTCCATCAGCGCTTCCATATTACTCCAGGCTGGTATAGAATATTGCTTACATATTTCCCCCTTCAGCTCCAGCAATGCTGGAAATTACTTTTATGAGTCTTATGCCTGCCATAGCAGCGACTGCCCGAGGGGCATTGGTAATGTTGGCATTCACCATCTCCATATAAAACAACGTAACCAGACCGCAAGCGATCTACTTGGAAATCAGAGACTGCTTTTCGGATACAAGGCTTGATTTCACTTACCTCAGCATGAGTGCTTCCGTATTCGTCCCGATCAGAAGGAGAAGCTTTGCCATCTCTATAAAGAGAAAGTATTGCACGCTCAGTATCTTCGAAATTCGAGATGATATCAGAACCTGAAGGATCGCGGTCTCGAAACAAAAAGTCAGAGTGAAGTTTAGACAACTGGTCGAATACGGGGCTGCGCTTCTGGGGAACAATATTTTGACATCGAATCGTCAGCCCGGGACTAGCAGTGCCATAAGAATACTGCATGTAAGCTATTATGGTTCGTGAGGAAAACCATCCAAACTTTAGCGGTATCTTCATGCCTGATCTTCTTCTCATTTGAGAGTTGATGCCGAAATATCTGCAGCCTCGCTTATGGTTCTGTAATTGATGTTCTTCGTACTCAACCTTGATCTGCCAAAACTGCATAGAGCAATTCCACAGCTTGCTCTCCAGTCTACAATAGCAACCAGGGAGGTCCCGTAGTGCGGTCTTTGTGGCTGTTGACCGTTTGAAGGTTTGTGGATTTCTTGCTATAGGATTGTCGGGGACAAGAATCTCATGGCCCTAAACATACCAGTGTCAGCTGAAGTTCGGCGACGAAGCAAAAGAATACTCACAATATATGAGCCTAGCAGGTGTTTTGCCAAATCCCAAACTGCTTTTATTTCATACAAGCATTTTCTCAATTGGTGGTTAAGCTCCCCTTGAAGATGCTGATCACGGGATATTATGTGGCTCAGGCTACTTGTAGACATCGTGAAATGGGCTACAATATCCTGACGGACATCATGCGTGACTCTTTCTAATTTGGAAAGCCTCTCGCTAGTATCTCGGAATCCAATAGCAATTAGGTTATTCAAGGCAAGAAGACGATCTGAAGTTTGAGCTAGTTGCAGACCTTGGCCTTTCACAGTGTCACTAATGTCGTGAGTCTGGCCATATATTTCAGCTGTGAGGCTGCTGGAATATTCGTCAGTGCTCTGATAGTCGATTACGTTGTAAAATACATACAATGAAGATATTCCAACGGCAAGATCCAAATTGTGGAGCAATTGTTGTAAAGACCGACGCAGTGCCAACAATTTGTCTTTGAGGAAGGGATATGTAAGCGATTGCCGAGCTCTCTTCATCCTCTGGAGCGGGTTTCTAGCCGGCTCTGATGACTTCTGGAGCTTGAAGAGATAGGTTTGCAGCTCACAAAGCTTTTTCTCACTGTCTTTCAAACAATCGACGACTGCAACCGCTCTTGCAAAGTGTTGGCCGAGTTTTGGCAGTATAGCTCTTACCGAATTCAAAAGAGAGACTATTGTCTGTGTCTCCTTGACTCTGTCTCGTATCTCTTGGTCTTGACTTTTGAAAGATTGGAGATATGATATCAAACCTTGACAGACGTGGATGCCGAGCGATATGATGCCAACAGCGCTACCGACTACAGAGAGCGCATCCGACATCTTCCTGAGGATTGAGAAGAAGAAATAATATTTGAAAAGTGTATTCTGAAGGAAAAAAGAAGTTGGAGGATATATTTGGGGAGGGGGAGAGTTTAGTAAGTTGAATAAATGTACTGGACATACAGACAGAATAGAGGCTATTTCTTTGGTGCTGTTACACAAATATGAAGATTCCTAAGACCTCAGGTATGCATGCATTCGGTGAGCGTTCACACCGATCGGTCAAACTGTGTTTTCATGCATGATTGGGTGGCGGGGCTGAAATAACAGCTAATTACAAGACCTGTTCTTTCAGCTGCTCCTCCGTCCAATCCCAAAGCTTCGTCGCCATCTCATCATCCAAGCCATGTCCCTCCAACCCACCAGTGTTTCCAACAGGTTCATAAAACTCTCCATTTTCAATATCCGGTGAAGTGGTCGCCCAAAGATGATTCTTGACTCCCTCCGAAATAGGGATGGTGACTTTAGGGGCCACATTCTCTTGTAAGTGTTTCATCAAGTCATCTCCAGGCTCGCGAGTGAAAAGTTCTGTCTGAACTTCGCCTGGGTTGATGGCTATGTTCTTGAAACCGGGATATCGCTTGGCTGCTTCTCTAGCATAGAGAAGGCAAGCAAGTTTGCTTTGGGCGTATCGTAAAGGTAAAGCCGTTTCACTCTTAGCTGACTTTAGAGTATCAAACTCAATACCTGTCGGCCCGACGTGACGGAATCCAGCAGAGCTGAGATGGACGGCACGAGCATCGGGGGTCTTGTCAAGGACAGGTTTGATGAGTTTAAGGAGTAAGGCGTGCCCGAGATGGTTGGTTCCCATGTGCATCTCATACCCATCTTTGGTAAGGGTAGGTGGAGCGCCCATGACTCCAGCATTTAGCAAGAGAACGTCGAGTCTGCCCTCTCGTTTGAGGAACTCGGCGGCTGCATACTTGATGCTTTCGAAGCTGGATAGATCAAGCTCCAGGAGAGAGACCTTTGTGCCTTCACTAGCTGTCTTTTTGACTTCCTCAAGAGCAGCATTCCCTTTGGCGGAGTTGCGTGAGGTGATGTAGACATGGGCAGGTGAGTGCTTGGCCAGTTCAATAGCAGTGGCCTTACCAAGGCCGGTGTTTGCGCCAGTTATGAGTATCACCTTTCCATCGAGTGGAGGGATATCTTTGGCTGGATCGAAAGCATATGTTTTAGACATTATGGTTGGAATCCAGTCTTTGAATAAGTCTTGATTTCGTCGTTGTGTTGATATGGAGGAGGTATCTTGAGACGTCAGCAACTATATTCGGTTTTATATATGTTTGAGGTCTCCGGACTTAAGAATACTAAGGACCCGAGAGGCAAGGAGTCTTGCCTTTTAGTAAATAGTGGTCCATGATAGAAGAGGGACTTTATGAAGGTCGTTAGTTGGTCGTCCAATCAAGGACGATAAAATGCGAGCTAGCCAATCGTCGACCTTGATCAAACCCCACTCTCAACGCTAGGCTCGAATCCTTTTGCCTGCCAAGTATCAGTTAATTCCGAGTAGCATATCAGTCCAAAAAGAAGATTATCCTATGCTAAGTAAAATATTCTATGTTTATTAAATACCAGTAAAGGAAGGCCACTGTCTCGCTGACCTACCACCACGTGTTAGCCGATTATCAGGCTGGACCTTTTTGCAGAAAGCTACTGGTCGATAGCTTGGTAACTAAGGTAACTCCCAGTGGACAGTATACGTCTGCGGCTGGGATAATAGTCTAACACTACCTAGGTAGGTAGTCTTGGTTCCATTCCCAGCACTTTCTAGCCAGATCAGATATCCTGACAAGTTCAATCAAATCACTTGAAAAGCCACTGCGAGTGAAAAAGCTGCGCTGAACCCCAGCATATAAGAAGGAACGTGATAATCGTCCATTTTCAATTTGTAGTTTACACACAAATAAAAATATACTTAGGATGAGAGGCAATCGGCATAGTTTGACCCCGCGTTCTATCATGGCGGTTAAGAACTTAAGGTTCAATAGTTTATACAGATCGCAGATCTAGATGCAAAGACTTCAGAAGCCCAAGACGTCTGTATGGATGTCTATAATTCAAGTTGTGGCGATATTCTTTTCCTCTGGTTCTCAACTCCTTTCAGCAACAGCTAACATATTTCATACCCTCTCTCCAACATCCAAGATGGCTATCGTTGATATGAATACTATTCTTGATTCTCCAATGAAGTTGCCGGTCAAGGTTAAAGAAGTATGTAGTAAGGAATCTCTGTCAAGGCTTTTATTCACTCACAGTCTGCAGATGCTAGGCGATAACCCCTCGCCCCTCCGATGAGATCAGAGGTAAGAATTGCTGGTATCAATGCACCGTCCAAAACGCGACTCAATTTGAAATGCGTCTTGAGAATAGCTACCTCGAGGCTGGAAAGTACCTGGAGGCGCCTAAGTCAGGACGTCCCTACGGACAAATGTCGCTCACTGCATGTATCAGTTCGGAGCATCTACTGGCCTATGGCTCTCGGAACATTTAGACCAAGCTCGTCGATTTGACTTTCCTGTCATAAGTAACCCCGGAAAGAAAACGTCACCAGAGCCTACCGCTTGTCAGGGACTTGATGCTCCTTCTACGGGAGGGTTCAAGGCTGGTGTCGTGGAATCGAATTCTGCAAAAACAGGCCTTGAGAATGCTACTAGGAAAGGGAGGAGCATAAACTCGAGATTTCGGTTTATGGGAAAGGACAGCGATGGAGATGATCGGGTGATTGAGTTCCATGTTGTGGCATATCCTGGGATGGAGATGAAAGTTATCGTTACGCAGCTCATTGTGAATAGCAACGACGATTGAGGGACTCCAATTTGTTTGAAGTATGTATTCTTACATATAATAACAGTTTTGTTTTTATAAATCGTTGAAATATAGAGCCCTCATTGATTTTTATGCAAACTGCGGAATCTGGAGTCAGCCTTGGCAGCCACTTGGCACTTGGGGCTGTCTATTGAGGCTGTGTACACACCATCAGCTCAGCTCACTGGGAGCCTCGTTTCAACAAAAAGACGTAACTCCTCATTCTAAATACTCTCTTGTCTCGTTCACCCTGATATTTTCACCGCTTTCTTGACTGGAACCAAATATTGGGTATTTAACGATGGATCCGCTGTCCATCGCGAGCTCGGTGGTAAGCAGCGCTCCCACTATATCTAATCACGGGAAGCTAATCTATAGGTGGGATTAACCGCGACATGTCTCTCAACCTGTAAAAAGCTCCACGATCTCGCTGGAGAGTACCAAGACGTTCCGGCCGTCATCCCCATGATATGTTCTGAGTCAACGATTATCAGCATCGGTCTATCGGAACTTCAGATGAAGATCCTTCGAAGAGACGACCTTGCACAAGCTTGGGCGTCAAAAACAGAAATATGGGCGGCTTTTGAGACAGCGCTCACTGGTTGCATGGTCGTCTTCAGCTGTTTGGAAGCAGAAACACGAGGCCTTCGGTCTAAGAACCCGGGAGTCTGGGCTAAGATCAAGTTCATCTGGAACCAAGACCGCCTCAAGGAGCTGCTGGGTGCTCTCAGAGCGCAGCAGTCATCAATAACATTTCTTTTGAATCTCCTGGAACTGTAAGTGTAGTTATTCTTCACCTTCCCCTCCGTACTAACATAAACAGTGAGACTTTATCCAATATCCAGAAAGACATCCGGAAGAATGCACCGACGATAAAGGCAGCTGCTTCCGAAGCCCAGTCTCTCCGATCCTTCAACCCGAGCGTCAAAATGGAGGCAGAGTCAATTTTCGATCACGATGCTGCCAATCTCAGTTTATTCCACCTGGAGGCCGTCTCCGGAAATGCACCTTCTGAGCTCGATTTCGAGTTCGACAATATCGTCATAAACAGCCAGGCATACAGGCGCGTCTTTATTAAAGCTCAGTCTGAAAGTCAACCACCGCAAGTTGAAGAAGTTGCCACGGTCAAAGCGGTGGACAAAGGTCGAGTACAATCCCAGAAGACCGCCACATCTCTTGTGACTTTATCACGAGAGAAGGCAATTTCTTATGCAAAGGATCTAGTGCGGCCATCCTTTCGGAAGCAAGAGTCTGGCAACTGGACAGACTTGCAAATAATCCGGCCTGTTCTGCTGGCTAGCACAACTACTTGCTACGGCTGTCTCCGTAGCATTGCAAAGGATCATATGAGAGCATTAGGAGGGACATGGCATGTCGGATGTTTAAAATGCTATGTAAGTACTACAATTGGACTGTCCCATATGTCTGAGATTATAACAGCAATTTCAGGACTGTGGGGTTCCTCTCGAAAGCGGGTATCACCTATTGCAAGAAGGAAACGGCATCCCACCAAAACCGCTATGTAGGGATGACTACAGTCGCCGACAGGATGTTCAGTGCTTCAAGTGCCTGCAGCCCATAATAGGTGACTTCGTAACAGCCCTTGGTCGTCGGTATCATGCAAACCACTTCACGTGCGACCGATGCGAAATCGTTTTCGCCAAGGATAGTGATTATCAACAGCAGAATGGTGTTATTTACTGCATGCTACATTTCTGCCGAGAAGTTGCATTTTACTGCCATGGCTGCAAATTTCCACTCATGGGAAATTACTGCGAAAAGCAGGGCGACGAAAGCAAATGGCACACCTGTTGTTTAGAGCTTTTGTCGTGGGGGTTGGAGCTCCCAGTATCAACCAACGGCCGCCGATATCTTGACTCTATTCAGGACCAATCCCTGAGTGGTCTCAGTAAATTCTACTCGCAACTACACGATACCCGCGCTAACGCGATCTATGTTTGTGGATCGAGCTACTTAAAGGAATTTCGAGACTCAGTTACTGAATATTTCAGCCTGACGAGAGGAGGCTCGAGGGCAGAGACCTATGAAGCCTTCAAAATCATACTTTCTATGTTGTCCTGTCTTTTCATCGCTGCTTCAAAGGCCACCACCATCACAGATCGTAAGAACGCTTTGTCACAGGAATGGCTAATGCTAATGACTTTCGTGTAGGTGCTGGCGAGTACGCAATTATGAGATTTTCGTTCCATTCGTTGAAATACTTCGTGCGTAATGAACAGCGCTTAAAGGCATCTCCCGAAGCTGTCGGACAAGGCGTATCAGACCTACTTTTGCCCCTATTACGCTTGTCTTTTGAGGTATATCTACGAAGCAAGGATGCCTCATGGGACGCTAAAGATCCCCAGCTTGACGAATTTGTCAACAACCTCAAAGCATCACGTTCTTTCCAACTGGACGATTGTTACAGCCACTTCGCTCCTGAAACTCTTGCAGAACGCTGGAAATGTGCAAAATGTCCTGATCTCATTGCCGGACATGGATTTTGTGAGCGTTCGTCTCCCTATCGGAAACTGCATGCGCGCTGTTACTCAAAGATTACCTGTGATCATGAAACATTGGAGGGCTGTGCAGCCGATGGTGTCTTGGAGTGCGACAATTGCAGGTGGAAGAATAACTTTGATAGGATTCCTTATGAGGATTGTGCGTTACATCAAATATGGCAAAGATGGTATTACTGGTATGTGCGACCAGATCAGAGAGACTGAAATGCGGGAGAGCAACGTTGTGTGTTGAGAGAGCTGAAGATCGTGCCTCTCCGATATGGAGTAGGCATCAGTCCGGTCATGACAAGGATTTTGCGAACATAACCAAGGTCAACTAAAAGCTTTATACATGATGGGTATTGACGTAACACCATCCGTAACTTGAACGAGAGTTCCTCTATTTTGTCCAGGTGAGCTGCGTCTCCGCACAAGTTCTGCCGAGATCAGCCCACTGCAAAGAGCTCCATTTCTCCGGATTCTCAGAAGCCTCGACAAAATGCTTCATCGCCAGAACAGTTTGCAACGCCCACTTCTCCGGACTAACCCTTCCAACACCTGTTGCCAATGGAGTCATAAGAACACTCTCAATCCGATCAAGTTCAGACGCATCGCGATTATGGTTGTCGATCGCACAGAGCAAACTCCAGATACACTCATAAATAACCTCCTTATCCCATCTCACCTCAGCAGGCATCCGCATGGTCGGACAAAGCGCAACACGACGTGTCCCATAGACATTCCGTGATCTTGCTTCAAAATCCTTTGGGATTTCGACCAAAGTACATGTCCCGGGCGGTGCGAAACCACGCCACGTCTTGTACAGCTGAGCTTGGGCAACGCCAGTGAGAGCATGGTAATCATCGCGGGGTGAGAACTGTCGAGAAATAGCGTCGTCAAAGGCGCCGTCAAGACGACCATAGGAGTTGGCGGGCGAGACGACGGTGTCGAATTTGACTTTTCCTGAGAGTTGGGATAAAGCGCAATTGTGAATCTCGATTGAGACGGAGTCGGGCAGCTTGCGGCTCTTGCGGGCAACGTTAAAGGCATCGCTGAATTGTTCTTCCATGCACAGAAGGTGGATGTGGGGAATGTGAGGGGTTTTGGCGGTCATGCTGAAAGATGGTGCTTGCCCAGTGAAGAAGAATGACTCAGGAAAGCTAGTTACTGAACAGTAAGAAAGTGATCATGTAGCAAGTATTTGCAAATCTTACCGTGTTTAGGATCACATGTTGCAGAAGCGGGGAACGTTAAGGACCATAAATTTCCCGACACGGTAACAGTAGGCCTGGCGTTTTCTGAATGAGACGAGAGACGCTTGAAGTATACCTAGTTAAATTGGATGTGCGTAAGACCTATAATCGAGGGACGAAAGTATGAGTGTATCTCGGTTACTCTAAGGAGCTCGCAATGCCACCTTTCTGCCAAGGATACGAAAACAATAGATTCCACTATATCTCTGTACATTTAATGTTTCAAAAGAACTCTGAATAGTAAAGCTTCGTATCGCATTTCCGCATATCCTCCCTACAGTTAATGTTCACATCACGCGCCTCACACACGCATTTCCGCATGCTTACTTCCCCTTTGTACCGGTATTCCAAACAACTTTACCACTCCCCTCTTCCATCAACACAAGATTACCATCATCCTGCAACACCAGCATGCGCTTCACAGGCCCGCCACCTGCAACCATGGTCTGCGTACTCCAAAAAGCTCTGTTCCCACCCCAGCCCTGTTTGTAGGCCACTAGGTTCCCATCGGGTTGCATGATAAGTCTATCCGGGTGGTCACTTGAGTCCCAGGTTTGTGACACCCATATGGCCTCGTTTTGCGACGGGCGGATGATGTCCGGCTTGCGGAACCGGTACAGCACTATATTGCAGTCGCCCTGAAGGATGAACTCATATGCACCGTTGGATGAGCGCAGACGTTGGTTTACACAAAGCTTCTGGCCAGTGGTAATCCGATCGCCAACGGGCTGAGGCAGGGTCCAGAGAATCTCTCCTCCCTGGACATTTGTCTCCATAACTTGCACGACAGCAAGACCGTCATCACGCATACAGAAACCAACTATGCGACCTGGCCCACTCTTCTGACCGGGGCCTTCACGCCAGATCTGCGAGGTGGTGTCTTTCAGCTCCAGGTAGCCGTCCGTGGTAAAGGAGAGCATAGTAGAGTTTGTTCGGGTTCCTTGGTCTCCGCGGGGGTTCCAAGCAAAATTGACGGTAGGCTTATAGCCACTGACCGTTGCGATGATCATCTCACCAGCTTTATTGAAACTGAAGCTGTATTTACCATTTGTTGAGGTGATACTCTGGCCGAGGAGCACCCCTTGACCGGTTAGGAGAGCGTTGGTGTCCTTATTTGGCAGTACGGGTAACTATAATTGCAAGCACTTGCGTAAGCAAATCTTCCCAATTTCCTGTACATCAGCATTTAGGGTCAATCATCTTCTGCACATACCGATGTTCCAGTACTCCATTGTCGATTGGTCTTACCCGAGTAGTCGTATGGGTCTGCAGCCTCGGACAGAATGGCAAGGTTTCCGTCGTTACTGACACGGAGAACTTGGTCGGCACCCCATTCTCGGTCTCTCTGTGGCGACCAAGAGACCTGAGCTCCAGCGCCGTAGAGATTTAGCTGACGCGGCACTAGGCCGAAGCACAGTCGTGTAATTGAGTTCAAAGTCGTGGATGTTGTCCACAACACTAATCTTTCCGCATTGGAAGCGGCCTTCCAGGATAGGACAAAGTTACCATCCGTCTGTAGTGTGGCAGAGACGGCGCTGTTGGAGGACAAAAGTGATTGCCCTTTGGCGAGGAACTCTCCTGGCCGGAGAATATCTCCTGGTTGCTTGCACGGCGTAAGCTAGATGGGATATACGAGTCAGTTTTCGTGCTCGAACTTGAGAGCCACGTAAGAGTAAATAGGAGTGCGACTCACATCAACCGGCTCCCAAGGCTGGACCAAACCCCCTTTGGTAGCCCATATAATTGTCCCATCCGATACAATCACAGCCGCACCATCATCTCGCATAATAAGAGACCCATGGCCCCCTCCAAGCCTCCTACGCGTTCCTGACGTCCACGTAGCGTACTCTCGATCCACGACCAAGTTGTCATCATCCAGCATCTGTACAGTACGTGGCTTGTAAAACGGCGAGGTATCGATGGCCCAAATCGGCTTGCTCCCATCATATATTACAAAGTTGCCATCGCCCTGGAAAACGAGCACAAATCTCCCGTTCGGCGACACGAGCCGGTCGCCCGCGTAGAGGACTTCACCCACCTGCAAACGATCTTTTTGAGACGGTGGCCAGAGCGCTTTTGTTCCCGTCGTCCATAAGATTGATTTGCCATCACTTTCGTAAATCTGAGCCCTTCCGTCTTCTTGCAGCACGAGACTTGCGCCTGCGTTGGAGGGCTTGGTATCCGTATTACTTGCCCAACGAACCACTTGGACGGACACGTCGTCCGGCGCCATTACCTGTAGCTGGAGATTTCCACTTTCAAGCATCATGACTCTCTGCCTTTGGGCGTCTGAGCTGGAGCACGGTGTGTTGCTGGACCACAGTTGCTTCGTGTTTGTCCCCAGGATCTGGAGCAAGACAAAACTGCCATCAGGCTGAAGCACGAAACGTAGCTTGCCGTTCGCCGCCACCAAGTAGTCACCAACTCTCAGCCACTCACCAGGGCCTAGCATGTTCTTAGGAGCTAGCTTTTGACCTGTTCGCCACGGCGCCGTCAGACGTGATCCTGTCAGACTGACATCAAGCACGGCACGAACATGCACAAAGACGGTCGCGCGAGGGATAATGGTGTTGTTGTTTCCAGCCAGAGACGTGCCTAGGAGATTTGGATCGACCTTTTTGGCCCATTTGGTAATGGTGGCCGGCACAACCGACTCGCGACTGAGCTCAATGCCAGGACTCCTCTCCTCAGGGTTTTGAGATAGACTAGCTACTACCTCCCACTGTAGCTTTCCAATGTCTGTATATCTACCCACGATAGTTTTAACTGCGTCAGCCGGCAGCCCTGCAGTCCAGTCTGCCTGGAGAGTGGTCCCATCAGCCACCGACACGGTGGGATCCGTAGTGAGGGAGAAGTCGGACTTGAGATGAGTCTGCCAAGTCGCGTCATTGACAATCACCACATTAACAGGCGTCCAGATGGAGGATACAAATGTAGTTAACGTAGGACTATTAGTGCCGAGGGAATCTGTGTAAGACATGCGCGCCCAGGCGTAGACCTCCTTGGCACCAACCAGATCGGGGCGTATCACATCGATGGGCTTGCCGCCTTCGATTTGGCCATCTGCGATAGACAAGCGGTTTGGAACAGCTCCCGTGGTGTCATCATTACTAGGCGGAGTATTGGTTGCTGTCAGGACAAGATCCCAGGCAATTTTGGTCGCCGTAGCTCCGGATACAAACACTGTGGGCTTCGAGGTGGAAAGGTTGCTCAGACGTAGCTTGCCATCCTTCGCCAAGAACTGTGCGTCGGGTTTCTTGGCCAGGTTGAGGTTCTGGCGGATCTGCGCTTCAGCACGTGCGATCTGGGCTGGAGCGTTCTTTAAAGCTCCCTGGTAACCCGACTGAAGCTTGGCATAGCCAGCCAGCTTAGCCAGGTCGGCCGGAGTTGGGGACTTGATAGTCCTTAGCACCTCAATGGCTCTGTCTAGTAACAATAGCGTCTCCTCTGCTACAGCTGTGAACTCACTCACCGCAGCAAAGATCTCTCCGAAGGCTGCGACAGCGGCTACAATGGCAACAGCCTCAATAACAACCTGGACGACTCGCTTAAGCTTCTCAAACCAGCTTTCCGGCTCGTCATGTGGCTGCGGCTTTCCTTCAGGCTTGGGGCTCTTGTCATCTGGTGGCAGATTGGTTTCCACAGCAGGCCAAATTTCGGGTGGAGTAATCCTGCGGCAAAGCAACGCAGCAATGACCTTCTTGGAGAGATTCTTGAGTGTCATGACGCCAAATAGCTTCGCCGCGTCCTGCTTATTCGTCAAGATCTGCTCACCCAACCTTTCTAAGCTTGAATTCGTCTTGAGAAAGGTGCAAATGGTATCCAAAAGCCCATTCAGCGTAAACACATTGGGCTTCAGTTCTACTTCAAGGTTAGCTGGCAGCTTGAAGGAGACGTCAAGCGCAGTGCTGTTCAAAATCGATAAGTGGAATTTGCCGCCTATCAGCACAGTAAGCGCAGAATTCTTGACGCCGCCCATGCTCAAATCCCACGTGAATCGGGTTTTGACGACCTTGTCGAAGAGCTTGCCGACTAGCTTCTCACACTGTGTGTCAACTTTGTTCGAGGCTAAGCGCAGAGCCTCTTCAATGTCAATATCCAGGTTCTTCTCGAGATGTAGACCATTGAAGGAGAAGCGGCCTTTCTCGTATCGAATTGTGAGCTCAAATGGACCCTTGATCTCTGTATCACCGAGGGGTATGGAGTTGCTGTAGCTGGCTTTACCAATCCATACTCCTGAACTTTGTTGGAGCGAAAGCCCGAAGCCATCATGGTTTAGGATTCTCATGCCAGACGCCATCTCGAACTTTTTCTCTGCTGGTACCTATTGGCGGAAAGGGGGAGCAAGAGTCATTCAAGGTTGAAAATAGTAGAGTGAAAGAAGAAAGAATTGATATGGAAGAAACTCACCTGTTTTCCACTGACCATCCTCCCACTCAAGGACGACACCTGCACACGCGGCCCAGAACTGTTGACTCCCTTGGTAAACACGCAGAAGCCAAAGTCAATATCACCGTTATAAGACCCGCTAATAATGACACCGTTCTTGCTCAAGCCCACATTGACGACAAAGGGTTTCTCGAATAGCTCAAGATCAGCATCTATGTTGAATCCCGCCTTCAACATCAGCGATACGGCATGCTCAACCTTATCAGAGCTGCCATCTAATTGAACACTCTGATCTTTACCATCTGCGCTCTTGAGGTAATAGATGCGAGCTGACTTGAGCTTGATATCGTCAAACTCAGTGGGCCACGAAACCCCTCCAGTAGACTTCTCGTTCAAGAGATCGCTATAGACTCGGCTGATTGGGACTTCATTGAACACGGATAGGACCAAAGCTCGTGGTGACGCTCCGATAAACACGACCTGTCCGATAACTGACAACCCGAAAACATCAACCGTCCCATGTATCACGCAGTGGAAAACCCTCTTGGTAGATGGGGCAGTTCCAGTATTAGGGGCAAATATGGTTCCCCTCAGTTTGGAGACCTTCAAAGACACGCCAAACATTTCGGGGAATGCAAGGGTTTGAGGCTCCGTGGTACTCGCCGAACCAGTACTTGGGCTATTCTTGCTGTTGTCCTCTGGCTTTACGGAGGGGATAGGCCCGGTTACAGGCGGAGGCGGTGGGAAGTAAAGTGAACTCGTACCGATGGGCTTAAGAGGTAACGTGACAGGGTCTGCAGGCGTGGCTGGTGACACTGTGTTGCCACTATTCATGCTGGTTGCAGCACTAACGACTGTCGGAAAGGATGCTTGCGACTGTACGGCCGGCGTCGAAACCTCAAACCCTGTCTCTCCTTCCTTGGTCCAGGACTCGGCGAGGAATTGGTATCTGTGTGTCTCGTCGAAATGGAAGATTAAAAGACCCTGCAATTGGATCTTGTGCTGTGTCCCACCAATGTAGGATCCACGAGCGTACTGCAGGACAAAAGATCCTTCAAACATTCGGAAGTCGGAGACGGTGACCATGTATGCTGCAGGGGTCCCCTCTGGGGGGATCAATGCTTCAAAGGTCAATTTCGGCTGTTTTCCTACTTCGCCATCAAAACTGAGAGATAGCATCTTGCTCAAGATAGTGTGGTCGTCAAGTAAGATACGAGCTTGGAAACGAGCGCCCTTGAGAACCAAAGGATTGTCTTTGGCCGTTGTCCCTGACACAGCTGTGGATCCAGGACTCGGAGAAGGATTACTCTTGGAGACATCCGCAGCTGAATCTTCTAGTTTCGTTTTGGCATCAGCCAAAGCGGTGCTCGCTGGAGGCTCTTTACTTCCGACAGTTGGAGGAAAGACGCGGTTGATTAAGTCAAGCTGAGCTTGCATATCAGTGGCTGAGATGTCATCAGATGATATCTGAGCTGAAATCCCTACGTTGTCAAAGGATAACCAGTTGCTACCAAGCTCATTCTCGTTGGCCAAGGAAGGCCATAAGGCTGTGATACTGTGGAGTGAGACGCATAATAGGTAGCCGAAAGTCCCTTTTCCTGTTGACTTGCCGGTTTTTGTGTCATTTTGGGCTGGATAGTGACGGATCCACAAGAGTGCCTGTCCGATACTCTCGATGCGGCCAGCGATGAACATGTTTCTCCGCCCGAAGTCCACTAGAAGCTTCGCAAAGGCATTGCCTGAAGCTAAAGACATATCCGGCCTTGTGATCCCGGGTGCGAGTGATTTCCAAACTCCTACTTGACCCCCGACAGCATCGATGAGATCCGATATCTGATTCTGTAGCGGGGGGTTTGTCTGTCCAGTCACAGATCCTGTCGGTGAAATTGCCACTAACCTTTGGAGCTCAGCCGTCAACAAGCCGTTCATATCAGAGCCAGAGGCCACATGTAGAACTGCTCCAGCTGTTGTGGAAGTAAGGGACTTAAGCACGAGTGAGCCGTAGACAGTGGCCTCGACTGACTTGTTGATTGGGCCCAACTGCTTGATGATCCGCCCTCCGATTCCAGTCAGCTTAAGTTGCAAGTCCCCAAATGATCCAATGACTTTATCCAGATTCTCGTTCCCTCCATACACCTCGAACCTATCACCAGAGGTATACGCCATACCAACAAGTGTCATAGCAAGAGGCGATGGAAGCTCGACGGTGGGCGGAATGCTGATTTGGTTTGGCCCAAGATACTGGTTCACTATGGAGTCGAACGTAAGAAGTTTGTCTGGTTCCGCCTTAAAATCCTTCATTCTCAGATTGCCGATGTATTGATGTTTCCAGCCGCTGCCTTGTTGAGTGGCCGTGTACCGAAGTCCCACGATCAGATCTTTGGGTAGCCTCAAGTACGCCCAGATACTACCCATGAACGGATTCACAGTTCTCATCCGATCGTATTCAAGCTTGAGGGAAAGGCCCTCCAAGGTAACATTAGGAACATCGGGCAGTGGGTACTTCTCCTGGGACTGAACCACAATAGTCAAGGAGTCAATCTGAACGCTGCCTGAAGACTTAGGGTTGTTGTTCTTTGCTAAGAAGGACACCTTTCCAGAAGCATGTATGATATTGAGTTTCAGGAAGCTGATGTTTGGGGCATTTGGAGGTAGTTGTGTGTTTGGAAGCTTGTTGGGCCATTTGAAGAGGGTCACGAGGCTCGGTAGCGTCAAACTTCCATCGGTGTCTTGTGTGAGAGGCATGATAACAACAGATATAGTGGTAGTTGCTCCGGTAGCCCAGGTAGCGAGTAGGTTGATAGACGCATTTACGCCTTTGCCAACCGTCGTACCTCTGACTGTGAGGAGGTTCTCGGTCGCACTGACGACTTTGTTGTCATTTGACGGACTTACCTGCCCAGCGGCCAAATAACTTACTTCCAGTTCGTTTACTTTGACCTGGTCGACGATAATGTTTTCCTGGTTGACCAGAGAAATGGAAAACGAAGTGGGCTTGAAACCATTCGCGCTGAAGGAGACTGCAGCTTCAGTAACTCCAAGCCCACCTACCATGTCTAGAAGCTGATTGGAACCCATGTCCGGCAATATGAACTTAATCAAGTCACTGACTGTTCGTGGCTTAACAGTAGATAAGGTTGCTGAGAGAGTCTTGCTGTAGGCATCGTAAGTCACAGATGCTATAAAATTGCGATCCGTCGTGGTAGCCTCCACAGCAACGGCCACGAAGCGTTGGGACAGCTTCGTCTTCTCATCAAGTACGGTGTCCCATTTGAACTTGACGTTGGCATCACACATCGAGATGCGGGCTATATCCAGATCAAGCAAGCTCAACTCGAGTGTTCCACCTGATACCACGATTGACGTGTCCTGTCTTTCAAGGTCAAGACTAATACGGTCCAAACTAACACTGGCGGCAGCGTTGGCGAGCTGTGTAAATGGAAGCTGCTCTAGTTCCAGGGATTGCACGTCAATTGAGTTGAGAACATCTCCAATCTTCAACCCTTCTGGTGCTATGATCTCGATGTAGCCTAATATTTTAAAGCGTTTAGTATTGCGCGTTTCTCACTAGAACGATACTTTTCAGACGTACCAGGAATATTGACTTGGGGTAAAATCAAATCCGCCTTGAGTCGCTTCTTATCAACACCAAGCACAGCATGGAGACGACCCTCCCATGTGTTGTCACAATACTCCAGAGCAACCTCAGCAGTGATCAAGTGGATCTTCTTATAGATTGGGAGATCCTGCACTGTTACACTTAGTGTAAAGTCACCAAGAGTGAATGGGCTAATAACGCCCGCTGACTTTTGACTCTGCTCCAAGCTGATACGAAAGGATTTGAGATGCAATTTCTCCAGCGCACCCAACATTGGAAGAGTTTCGGTAAGTGTCGCGATTTCCTTGCTGTAACCGACTGCCTGGGCGAGCTGAGGCACCGTTACGCCATTGTCGGAACCCGAGATAGATACATGGTAATCATATGCAGATGTTCCTGCAATTGGTTCCGCTGCCAGACTAGCAGCCACTGTATAGTGCTGTCCTGGCTGTTGCGTTCCCGTAGGTGAGGAGGCAGTAAAGTTCACTTCAAAATTAATAACAACTGCCCAGGCACGGAGGCTTGCCTCAAGGGGGTTCCTAATCTCCACATATGCCGTTGTGTCAAAAGACGTTTTTCCATCAGCCTTGCGAACAAGTTGACCAATAGAAGAGGGAAGCAAGCCTTGCCAGTCGCTCAGAGATGTAGCCGCAAAGATACTTGCCACCTTGTACTTTGCAATTCGAGGTACCGGCTGGCTCACAATAAACCCGATCCCACTATACTTGAGCTTGGATAAGGGAGATGAGGAAAACGGGAGTGATTTCTTTTGACTGAATTCGTTCAACTCTAACCCTCCAGCACCTTGTTTGGTAGACTTCCATAGTTGTGAAATGTTAGGAAGCGGCTCATCTGCTTTCTGAGCTGTAAACTTCCATGACACGGCAGTGGCGGTCGGCGATTCGATGGGTGGCGCTTTGGTCATGTCAACTTCGAAGTTGAGCAGTAGGTTAGAGATCGCGACGCCACCTGTCAGTACGATTGTCTCTCCCGGCATCCCACCGTTCTTAAGAGTAACTTTGACATCCTCAAGCTTAACTGGGGCATTTGTTACGCTGATTGCCTCCTTGATAGCATCTATCAATATCGCTGAGCTAGGAAATAGCTTGGCCTCTTTGACAACGAAATCGCCAATGGGCGATGGCAAGACAAACGCTGTAGAACGGTTCACATCTACGAGCTGCTGCAGGAAACGGCGATGAATCATGATCTCGGGTAGGCGATCCATCAAGAAATCAGTCATTTCTTGAGGTGAGCGGTTGGTGAGGAAGGCCAGGAGCTTCGGCAAAGCCAGTGTCTTCCAATCTGTGGCCATTGGAGGGCTGGAATTTTTGCATATCGTGTCCAGGGCCACTTTGAGACTGCAAGACTGTAGGGAGGTGTCTGATGGCAATACTGTGTGTTTGAAACCGATTGACATTGTGCCATCACCCCCGAGCATGAGATCATTGGTGACAGAGATCCCATTTCCTTGTGGCCAGTCAATACGCACGAGGCCTTCCTTGACACTCAACGCAACATCATTGATCTTGACAGCAGCATTCGTTGGGGCTATAAACGCAATGTTGGCTCCGCGGACTAAGGTGCTATAGCCTGTCGTATCGAATGTCACAGTGATAGCTTCAGGGCGAATCTTTGCGCTGAATATGGCCGTCTCAAGAGAATGCTTCATTTTGAGCTGAGCCAAGTTTCGAGAACCAAGCAGAACAGTCATGGTATGGAGAACAGTCCATGGTTGGGGAGGTGTGTCGTAAAGGATTGACGCAACTTCGCAGAATGCCTGGAGAGATGATGTCTGAGGTCCTAGCCTCACCTGAGGTTGCCCTGATGACTCGATGGAGGCGGGCGGATCAGTATGGACAGTGACAGCTTCAGGCCTTATAGGAGCTTTAGAAGCATTCAGAGTAGCTTTCAGTTTAGTGGATGGCACCTTCAGTGAATTCTGAGTCTCGAGAGCAGGGCGAATCGTGTTCAACTGTGAATCTGCCAGAAGTGAACGGGAACCCAAACCAGCTTGCACGAAATTGCTAGGTATAATGAGTGGTGGTGAAAGAGATTGTGTAAAAGAGAAGAGCAACGGCTCAACATGGAATAAATTTGGCTGGCTTTCCAGTGTTTCGTACTGGGCCTTGGTAAGGAATACTAGATCGAAAGTAGCAGGGTCGAAGGTATGTGACTGCGAGACATCTGGCAGGAATGTGTTTGGCTTATCTGAGTAAAGGCACAGATAACATCTTGAGCCATGTAGCAAGAAAGAAAAGGAATAGCCACTCTTTGGATCGCCATGAACCCAGAATGTGTACGGTTCCCCATCGTAACCTATAGGGCAAATATGGATTGCGGCATGATCGCTGTCGAAGTTAAGTGGGTTGTCTGTTTCCCAGCTCTCTTGGACCCTTTGTAGTTGCGGCTGCTGAGACGGAACGACCCGCGGCTCATTGGGCATGTTGCTCAAGTCAAGCGTCAGATGATTCCACCTATCATTCTTGCACTGGATAATGTAGAATGCACCACCGCCAGGGCGTTTTGGTAGGACGGTTTTGTCGGTCTCAAGAGCTTTGTACAGGCTATCCAAACCATCCACTCCGGCGGATATGGACACTGGGATGGAGCGTTGCAGGTAATCCCTCTCGCTTGCGGTGCCCTTGAAAGCATTGCCGCCATCAATAGACATATACACGCCATGTGCAAGACATCTTATGGCTAGGAATCCATTGGCTCCAACGGTGGCTTCTACCAGAGCTTGTGCTTCGTCATCGGTTTTCTTTGAGGCTCTGTAGGCCCAGTATATCAGTCCGTAGATTGGCTCCGTGGATAATGCAAAGCCGCTAGTGACAAAGAGGCAGCGATGCTGCTCACGTGAAGCCACCACAAGCGCCAGGCCAGCAATTACTGAGGGACTAGGATGCCCGTGACTGCCATTAGCGCTAACGACATATGTCTGCGAATCGAAACGATTATAGAAGTCCATCACACGACGAAGCGAGTCCGCATTGGTGTAATAAGCGAGCCAGTACTTCGTAGGCATATTGGTACCTTGCCAGCACCAGAGTGACCAGTAATCCGAAGGTACAAGATGCCCTTGTGCTGTGTCGTAGTTGAAGAAAGCGTTTACGGCGCGGAGATTGTGCGATCTACCTAGAGGGGTATCAGGGGCAGTTGTTCTGTCATTAGGGGATCAGTTGTTAACCTCAGAGTACGCTCCCTCCACGGTGTGATCCCATATTGCGTCATGAAGCATGATTTGACTGACGCCGAGATGCCAGCCGGGTGGATCTAATGGTGGCCTTTGAGAGTCCAGGCAGGAGGCGTGAAGCAAGAACTCAGCGTCTCGTGCTCGGAGACTGCCAAGCCATTGGCAACAATCATAATCTGTTGCTTGATCATTTGCATTGCTTTGTTGTAACACCGCAGTCAAGCTTCTTTTCAGTCCTTCATCAAGGAGCTTACAAGCAGCTTTGAGAGTTTCCTGTCTCTCCGGAGTTAAAGCTGCAGGACAGAAGAATGACAACCTATTTGACGGAATGTGGCCGTCCTGTAACTCGTAGTCGCTCCCCCAGGCATGTTCGGCAAGCTCGCGCATCGAGCATTCAATGGCAACGGCGTGGTCCGTGAGATTAAGATGTTGAGCATCTCCAATCAAGTTTCCTCTACCATCTTTCCCAACAAGCTGCGAGTTTCGCAGACTGCCATGATGTTGGATCTTGTACACTTCCATCGTTGTTGGAGTAAGATGCTTCGCAATGCGATAGCCAACATTGTCACCGGTAGCGGCAATGCAACCCTGTGTCAGATTCGGATCGGTCCACATGACGAGACTGCTGAGGTTGGTGTTCGACTCATCCAGATCGGCCACTTTAGGGATCAACCGAAGAAGCTCTCGGGGGTATCTTCCAGTTCCATCAGCCGCTGCCTCCAGGTCGACCAGGTTGTCCACGAGTTTAGTTTTCTTTTTCCCATCATCTCGCGAAAAAATCAACAAGTCATTAAGTTTGGGGTATCCAATTTGAATTCCTTGATCTCCAAGAGGATTATTATCCGCAGCGTTTAGTCTTTCCTTAAACTTCTTAGGACTGAGAACCTCTTTAAAGGTATCTAAAGCTAGCGAATTTCTTTTCTTGTCCAGAGTGGACGACTTCAACTCTCTAGCTCGCGGCAGAATAAAATCTCCATTAAACAACATGTCCGGCGGTGGATTCGGAAGAGCTTTGGGATCCTGATAAACTGAAGGCAGTGAAGTCTTGAACAACTTCAGAATACCCTCATAATGATCATCATCGGTGTGTGAGTTAATGATGGCCGAGGGGCGGAGGGGGCCATCACCATAGATTGACTTGACACTCGAGATGAAATACTTTGAATACGGAGCCGCGCCACCTTGGAATGAAGCGTTTGAAGGACCACCATCTAGGATGACAAATCTCCTCTCGCGCCGATTTGGGTCGTCCCGACTCGGTACGGTAAGCTCAAGTACCAGCGCGTCTCCACGGCCAGCGTAAATAACGTGAAGCTTAGGGCTAGTCGTGTCGACCATGGTGATCTTTTCGGCAAGAAAGGATGATGTATAGATAATTTCTTTTAAAAGGTTGTCTAGATAGGGCGCCTTCGGGGTACAAATGATTGTTTACTCGAGTAAGAAGCCTTAAAGAAGACCCTCTGGCTTCAGAACAGCAGGGTGGAGTGAATATATGCCCAAATTATTGTACCAGACCTCGAATGGAGGTACGTGTTCCTGGACATCAGCTTATTCCTTGTGGCGTGTCTGGTAATCATGGTCCAGACTATTCGGCAAGTTCTGAGACATACCGAAGTAGTTAGCTCATTTGCTGTCTCACTTCTCAGCTAGCCACCTTTTTGCCACGCTATGCCTGTGCACACTCCGCGATAGATAATCTTTTGTAGTGTCTGGGCCTGCAGTTTGCATTCAAAGGCTCGTCTTGGAGAACCAACTATATTCAGCTACCGCATTTCCTAACTTGCGGTGACATGACACCTTGTGATAGTTACGCACTCGCTCTTTGGATACATCATACCACAAAGAAATACAACAGATGCGAGCATTTCACTGCATGTCCAACCCCAACCCGTCGATAGTTTTTCAGTCTATTGATGCGGCGGGGGTCAATAGTGGTAACGTTAAGGCAGCAAAATAAGTCAATTGGTTGACGCTTTCATCAGCTGCAGCCACAAATTTATGTCACAAATTTCAGCGCGTACTTACACAATCTACGTGGACAATAATGAGCCATGGCTTCAGTCACATTCCTGACAGGAACATCAGACCCTGATGTTTGCCACTGAAAGCTTTGAACCTTTCATGTCATGGAATGTCTTCATGTACGGCTATCCCTCTTAATCCAATATTATGTTCTAACTACCGATGAGATGAACCTGTCGGTGCTTATCTTACCGTGCTCTCCTTTATTTGGTCAAGTCTATCGGCATCGAAAAACACCCGAGCACCATTATATGTGAATTCGGATTATCTGGAAGAGGAAGAAGTATTATACTTTCAATGGGTGAATGGCGTTACATTCCTGCCCAGTTGGGTGTGTTATTTGCAATTGGGACTAGTGGTCTACAGCTTAAATCAGAACAGAGAACTTATTCACATTCTTTCTTTAACTTTTGACGTAGCATCACGGCTGAATCCAAGCGAGCCCTCGTCAACTCGATGCTTGTAGATAGCAGTACTTAGTAGTTATATTGAAGGCTTGCCAAGTATTTCCTTACGTCAGAAGCAGTGGCTCTGGGCTAGACTTCAAAATATCCTCCCAATCAGGTCGGTTCCCGCCCAAGACATTCTGAATCTGGCGATAAATCCACAGCTCCTCCAACACTTCTAGAGCTCGCAAAATGTTGCGAAACATTCGCTTGTCATACGACACTTGCAGTCTCGCTCGAACGAATTCCATTTGATCAGTCCTTCCAACTTCTCCTCCAACAATAAATAGAGGAAACAGGAGCGAGGACTCAGAAACGTCGTTTTCGGGTACCTGCCCAAGACAATCCAAGTATCCTCCGCGGTCGCCTTAAGCTTAGCATTCAAAGTGTTCAATGACATCCCGTAGGCGAGGGAGAAATTGGTGTCTACTTCAAGTTGGCGGCGCATCTTTCAGTAAAGATAGATAAGCGCAGCGCCGCGGTAGGCATAGGCTGCTGCCTGAAGTGTTGGCGGAGTTCCAGCAGGACATGTCCAGCTTTCAATATCATGCTGGACGCCGAGGTAATTCCTTGACGGGTGGATGCCTACCTCAGCATCGTTCGTGCTAAAGCTCAAACAGGTTGTTTGACCTATGTAGACAAGAATTTTCGAAGCAACACCCAAGTACGTGTCGAACTCGTATGTTATATCCCTGAGATAGTCGGGACAGAGCAGAGGTTTCGTTCCCAACATGACACTACCGATGATATCATGGTACGCGAAGTTGCGCAGAATCCATCGCCCTTCTGATGTCAACCTCAATGCCTGAGCTCCCTTGACAAGCGACCCATCAGCTTGGCTTTGAGCACAGTCAATTAGATGTCTGGCGCCAACGAGGTGATTATACCAGCTCTGATGACTTCCAAAACACACTTCAGAAGTTAACAGGATAAGACAAGCGGATAATGCGGTTTCAGTTTGTTCTGGCCGACTGATAGTCGTTGATAGTTCACATAAGGCCCTAGACCTTGCTGCGAGGGATACTGTAGTGTAGCTTGGGTCTGAATGTGACATGTGGCCGGATGAGTATGCGATGAGTGCCTCGGCTAGTGCTGATGATTCCATAGTCAAAGGGAGAAATTCTTAAAGCCTTAGCATAACAGAAACCAGGGTAGGGCCAGACACGACGAACCAGATAAAAATGATTTATTGTTTTTACTTATAGTCAAGAGTTCCGAGAGGACTCTGATGTAATCGTTCATTGCCTGGCGTCTCTTGGGAGAGTTCAGGTTCAGTGGTAATGGAGCTAGCTGTGTAGTCAGAGTCGGCTGATACTGAGTTGAATGCGGCTGATCGCCAATACGCGGAACGATCCGACGAATGGGATCTCGAACACATTCCAAGTCCAGTCGACTACATGTTCCGCAAGTCGGAAACGTATTCTCTGTGCATTTCTTACGTCTGCGTTGGTGGTGAGCATGTCTGGAAGGATATTTGTTGCAATACATAATTGCCTATAGCGACAGGTCAAGCAGCCTGTCTTGTCATGCTTTGATCCTTTCCTCTTCTTTGGCTTATCTCCCTCCATCGTCTGTAAATATCAAGTTGGAGGTGTCTGATTGACGCCATCGAAGAAATGGAGCGGCGAGGGTCGGAAGAATGTGCACCCGTGGAGGGGAGCTTACGGTGATTCGTTAGTCGTCACTGTAAGGCCTTCATCCATCTACATCAACCAAGAGCTCGACATGTCGGGCATTACAGCGCAATTACAAGACTTGTGATCCAATTACAGATCTAGTTGCACTCAAGTTAACAATAAGTCAATTCTATTTATTCCCCAAGACAGAGCTAATACGCCAAGCATCTATGGAATCTGAATAACAACCTTTCCGGTATGCGTAGAGCTCCAAAGGTGATCATACGCCTCCCTAGCATTTTCAAACAAAAACACACGGTCAATGACCGGTCGAATCTTGTTGGCTTCAAAACAGTCCAACATATCCTGCAACTGCTCCCTTGATCCTACCACAACACCTCGAACAATACAGAGACGGTCCAGCGCGAGGAAAGCAGCATCAGGACCTCGAAGGTCTTTGCCCGCACCCAGCGGATCAGGATTAGTGATGTGTCCGATGCAGTGAATCTGGCCATTGAATCCAATCGCATCAAAAGAAGCTTGGAGTGTCAAGGTCCCTCCGATCTCAATGATGTGATCGACACCCTTGCCATTTGTGATTCTCATAGCTTCTGCAGCCCAGTCAGGAGTCTTGCTATAGTTTATCCCATACGTTGCACCAAGCTCTTTCGCTTTGGCCAGTTTGTTATCAGATGACGACGTCACGATGGTCCTGGCTCCAGCAGCGTGTGCGATCTGCAGCGCAAACGTGGAAACTCCTCCGGTACCTTGCAGAAGAACGGTCTGGCCAGGCCGTAAAGGAGTTAGTCCATAAAGGGCGTTCCAAGCCGTCAGAGCGGCACATGGGAGACAAGAAGCCTCTTCGAAGGATAGGTAGTCTGGAATCTTGACGACGCCTGTCTGTGGGAAGATGAAGTACTCCCCGAGAAGGCCTTGCGCTTCGCCGCCCAACTGGGTCAAGCCAACATCTCGGGTGAGACGACCCGCGATGTGCTCTTGTGTGAAGTTGGCGACTACACGATCACCCACTTTCCACTCAGTCACACCGTCCCCAATCGCTTCGACGATGCCTTTTGAAACTCGTTAGTTGATAACGTGGGGATTTGTTCCAGTGGTCACTTACCTGCACCATCACTTCCAGGAACAAGGGCGTCGGGACCGGGAAACGGATAAGTGCCGATGGCTACAATACCGTCTCTCCAGTTCGAAGAGACAGCTTTGATGCGGACCAAGATCTGGCCAAGCTGAGGTGACTCTTTTGGAACAGTTCTCAATTGCAGGGAGTCGAAGCCTTTCTTCTCTGGTAGCCAATACTGTTTGAATGTAGTGGAATACATGGTTGAAGAGAAACAAGGTTAGAAATGGGAGTATAATATCGAAATGTCGTAGTGAAAATACGAAAGTCACTCAACATATCACAATGCCAATCTTCCTTTTATATATTCTACGTATTGATCTCCATGATTTATCTGATCTCATTAGTCCCTCTTGGGGACGGATGGTAATGGGATGTTCTAACATGGAACTTTGTTTTAGCGGTATGTACGGCGTATTTGGCGTGTTCAGCGTAAATAGCGTGATTGGCAGTTGATGACGTTTTAGCTGCGTATTGGGTTAGTTGGCTTCCTAAGCTGGAAACAAGTGATATGTAGCAGTGGATGAAATGGCCATAGATAACTGCAGTTATGAACAGTTCTTGCACTAAAGATTATGGAAGTCGAACCGTAGCCTTTGCTCATCGGCCGATCGTAGAGTCTTCGTTGTGGCTTATGGCTAAGTTGCGCGTTCTCTGATTCGTAGTCGGAAAGAGGATGTCGAGTCACACTCCTGAGGGATCGGCAGCTCTTGGCTTCTTGTATTCGTGCTTGTGGACGAAATTGTGGTTACATGGCCTGTCAGAGTCGGTCTCGGTTTCGGTCTCGGTGTCGATCATGCCCCACGAGCTTAATGAATATCACGACTAAGTATAGATCCACCACACAAACAGCATATGAAACAAATCAATTTAATCTAGGCACTCAAATCTAAGGCCGTTAATACGCCGCCAACATGGCTATAGTGCTTCGAGGCAATGCAAGATAGGGGACGTTCTAAGCCCAGACAGCTATACGCGTATTCGCAGCTGTGAGACCGCTTACTCCTTTCAGCAGAGCCTGTGGCTATCATCATGCCTTCTTGTGTTACAACAGAATGTTAAATCCAATCGGGTTGTTCTTATTACGCCGTAGTTGTGTCGATCATGACGCAGGGGCCCGTCGGTATTAAACAACTTCCCGAGACTGAATGTATTTTCGGATCTTGGCCGCGTGTTCGCGCCAGTCGCTGTCGTACCTTTCAGTATTTATACTCACGCCTCGCTACTCAAGTTTATGGGAGTGCCCAGAAATATCCATATCTACTAACATCGAAGAACGAATCTCTAAACAACTATCACCTAACCCATCTTTTTTAACCACTTTAGTCTCAAGTCTTCACGATGGGTAACGCGCAATCACTCCTCGATCTTGTAGCCAACCGATGGCCACTACTTGTCACTGCATTACTTGCCTGCTTTATGGCCGCCGTCGCTCCCAGAGTCGTTAACTTACTGCGACTATGGACCATCCCCACCATCGGTGAGGAGCTTGGTAACACGGAGAAGCGCAGACAGGCGTACTTGGGAGGAGCCAGGAAGTTGTACTCAGCAGGGTATCAGAAGGTAACAAAGCCCGTTCACTCGAGATGAAAACACAGCTCACAACCTTTCAGTTCAAGGATGGCGTTTTCCTGATAACGACATCGCGAAGTATGTATCTGCTGCCCAGTATCACAAGTCCTATCGAAGCTAATGTCTCTAGCTTCTCCGACCATCGTCATCTCACCTGACTTTCTCCCCGAGCTTAAGAAGCTTCCTGATTCTGCTTTAAGCATGGAAGCTGCCGTTGATGAGGTTCGTATACTTGTTTGGCACCTTGACTTCCTCATCTAATAATGTCAATAGTCGATGGAAACCAAATACACCAAGATCGAGACATCAGTACCCATCATTGCACATACTATCAAAGGAGAATTGACTCCATCTTTATGTAAGTTCAAAAGAAAATCTGATTGGCAGATGCTTCCAATAGTTGGAGCCTGCGAGAAGTATAGAACCACTCTAACAATACCAAGCCCGACTGAGTTTGATCATCGCAAGTGAGGTCAGAGACTCAATGAATTTGAACATGCCACCATGCGATGACTGGACAGAAGTCAACATTCATCACGCTCTCCTTCGTATCGTCGGCATGGTATCAGGTCGCATGTTCATTGGCCCCGAATTGTGTCGCTCCGAGCAATATCTCGACGCAGCCATCAACTACACCATGGAAGTCATGGGCGCCCAGCGTGCCGTTCAAAACATGCGCCCTTGGTTACGACCTTTCCGGGCCCAAAGCCTCCCCGAGGTAAAGAAACTGTACCAGCGGATTGCAGAAGCTGAAGTCTTCCTGGAGCCGGTGGTAAAGCGTAGAACCGACGCAATGAATGATCCATCATATGAGAAGCCGGATGATTTCTTGCAGTGGCTCATTGACGGAAAAGACAGGTTTCCTGATAAGAATAGCCAGAATCTTGCCAAGGTGCAACTGGGTCTCACTTTTGCCGCCGTTCACACTACGACACTGACAGCAACAAATGCGTAAGTCGTTTCATGCTGCAGAATTAGTATGTTGCTAAAGCCGGACAGATTCTATGATTTGGCAGCCTTGCCTGACCTGCAGACTGAGCTTCGTGAAGAGGCCCGTGAAGCATTGTCGCAGAGCGGCGGCCAGTTCACGAGCAACGCCCTGCAATCCATGAAGAAGATGGACAGTTTCCTCAAGGAGACACTTCGGGTCCATCCTGCAACCATGGGTAAATCATACCCTGATAGTCTCAGCAGGCAAACTCACTAACAAATTTCTTATAGCCTCCTTCCAGCGCAAGGTCCTCAAACCATTTACCCTATCCAACGGCCAGGTCATCCCAGCCGGAGTGACAATAGAGATCCCTGCTGTTGCGGTCAGCTCCGACTCCAACGTCTTCCCACACGCCGAGAAATTCGACCCACTGAGGTTCTACAGACTTCGCACTGAGGCCAAAGACGGCGGGTCAGTTGAAAAAGCAGCAAACAACCAATTTGTCAGTGTGAACCAGAGCAGCTTGACCTTTGGGTATGGTCGACATGCATGCCCTGGAAGGTTCTTCGCCGCAAACGAGATCAAGATGATTCTGGCCCATGCATTGCTGCAATATGATGTCAAGAACTTCGGCGATGCTACTGAACGATACCCTAACATGGAGTTTGCTCATATGGTATGTTGATGGATGAGTAGTAGTAGTGCTAAGTACGTGTACTAATTAAGGTTGCAGTCTATTCCGGATCCTTCCAAGAAACTCATGTTTAAATCGATTGAGGTGTGAGAGACTTTTCTTCTTTGACGCGGGTTCTACCCTCAAGTCTGCCTTAAGTTCCGCAACTAGGTGTTCAAACCAGAAGATTTCCAAATTCCAAGCCGGAGACGGCTTATACTTGAACAGAGGAAAACTTCTGTCTCTTCTTAAAACGTCCCACAAAAAGTCAGTTCTAGATAGAAAGGCTTCGGGTATTTCGCTCATATCTATGACATGTTCAGCTTGGAGGACTTTGTTGATGGCGAATGTCCACGGGATGCATTTTTCGAACCAGTGAATATTCGATGAGCTTTCTGGAACCCGAGCTGTTGTTACCACAACTTGGATTGGAACTTCCGCGGCTACTGTCGCTCCGGATAAATAACCGAGCTGGCGTAACTGGACAGTATACTTTGAAGGTCAGCACAAGTTTTCAACTCTCTCCAGCTATGTGATAAATCATACCTCAGACATGGTGGCGTAAACCGGGTGCCCTCCAATTGCTGACGAGTCCTGGTCTATCGGCTCATGATCCTCAGAGCCTATTTGTGTGACTTTGCCGCTGAGTGTCAGATTCCCTGCAATAGCCTCTAAAACAACCAATGGATTATCAAAGCTACGGTGTTTGAATCTCGTTCCATGAGCTAGATGTAAATGGACAACAACTCGCTTCCAGAATTCGTGCTGCCCTCCAATAGCTTCAAGCTTCCTCTGGGTAAATATGATGGAATTGTGAATTAGATCCCAGCGCCGTATAAAGTCTTCATCGTAAGCGCGTATTTGCACGACTAAAATGAATTGCGTCTGCCGTGGCTGAGCAAATAGTGTGGCTCTCAATGTATAATTCTGAGCTCCAAACTCATTTGGCGGGCAAGTAATGAAGCTGAACCTCGAATGTGTGAATTCTTTTCGTTCTAGGGTGGAGGACTGAGGAATACGAGCAAGGATCCTGTCGGGTACTGGTATATCAACAACCACGTTGCCTCTAAACCTTTCGATATGGGACCCTTCTTGACTTGGAAAGTCTTTTGTCTTGGACGTAGCTGTGAAATCATCTTCATCTCCTCTTGCAATCGTATACGACATCAATTGTTGAGGCCATCGATGAGAAGTCGAGCTGAGGGAATTCGATTGCTGAGGAGCAGGTATCGATGGCAGCGGCTGACCTCGGTCACTCTCCACCCGGATATAGTTCAACGGTGCCGATGGATAACTCTCTTGGGGCCAGGATGGCATCTTACCCTTCTTGACTTCGTTCAAAATACCGATGACAAACTCCTGATTCCCTCTGATCGCGTCATTTGATAGTCCTCTGCCCTGGAGATAGCTGCCATAGTGCTTACGCCATAGAGGATCAAAAGCATCTAGCAGCGCAAATTCAGAAGCCGTGGGGTTCTTTTGTACTCGCGTCGGCGAAGGTGCAACTTTGGTTTGCGTTTCTTCGTTTCTAGAATCCAATGATGGGGAGCTCGAACCAGGTACCTCGAGATCACTGCCGAGTGCAACTTCTTTGTCGATGGAGTATTTGGGATAAGAAGATGCGGGACCGGGTCCCTTTGGGCGATGAGGAATATTCTCCCTTGTCGTTTTCGGCCATTGCCAATTTCCGTTAGGGCGAGAATATGGATGCACGGGTGGATAATAATAAGTGCTGCTTTCGTGGGCATCTCCTGGATTTGATGAGTCTAGCGACTCACGAACTACCAATACAACGGTATCTTGAGATCTTGTAATCAGTTCATTGTCCCTGGGAAATCCCTGTGAACTTTCATCGTGCTCATCTACAATAGACAGAGTCCTAGAGCTAATGTCATCACTATAGGGCACATCTGCGTCCAAGGTCGTCTCGGTATACGTCGCCATATCCTCGAGGAACTTCTGGAGAATATAATCATTCGGGGCAGCAGCGGTATCGGGCAACCGAGCTTGAAGCTGCTCAATCTGCAGTAGAATCAAAGCAGTGTCGTCTTTGATCGCAGCTGTATCTTCGCGGATTTCCGTCGTATCAGTCTTGATCTCTTTCGTCAGAGATATAGATAGCATGTCGAGGGCCAATTCCAAGGCGGATTTGTGAGCTTCCAAGCTGGACCTCAGCTTCTCCATGTCGCCTTGGCCATTAATCGCCCAAGCAGCTCTGCTCTTAATCCGTCCATCTCCATACTTTTTTATACACGTTTCGACCTCGAGAACCACGGAGCCGCAGTTTGTGACGATTGCCGATACATGGTGCTGGATCGTGGGTGGGAAGGGCTTCGTGTCATCTTTGGCGTCTTCCTTGATGAGCTCAAGGACTGTTTGGAGCGAATGAAGCTCGCGCGATACCCTGTCTAAGTCGCCGCGGGCCTCTCGACAGCTGCGCACGAAAGTATTGATCGATATACTCAGGCTTCCGATCGCCGAGATGAGGCCAGCGCAGCCGCTGATGATAGATAGAGGGTCCATTTGAAGAAGCTGAAGAAGCCAAGTTTGGTGCGGGGAGGACATTTCAGCTGCTGTCAGTTGAGACTTGCAGTCAGCCTTGTGCATCGCATCCTGGTAAATGGCTGAATCGGAGGGCGTCTATTGGGTGACTGTTTTCAAGCCAGGATCTACGAGCGCTTACCAAAAAGGCGCCTAAAATAGTAAAGATAAATTGTGATGCTGTGCGGTAAAACAAAAAAAAGCTAATGTCTAAATCGTGAGCTAGATACATTATCTGCAGCTGAGACCTATAGCCCCGAGCTTATAGCTACCACATAGGACTCAGTACCTATCTGCACTCTATCTGATTCGAAGCACCAGCTTCTCCAGATCGAGGCTCATCCTTCGGCACGAGTTCGATCGCCGAGTCTCTCGTATGCGGTTGAAGATTATCAGGATATCTCAAATAGAAGGCCACCATGACCAAAAGCATCAAAACCGAGTCAAATACAAAAGTCGGCCATTCCTTTTGCTGCAAATATCCCTCCTTATCCATGGCGAACTCGACGACTCTAAAGATATTTCGAACTAAAATGAGAGCTGACGTGAAGTAAAGCATATTCAGGTATGCCTCCCAACGGACGGCGACCGGGATGCTAGTATGCCTCAAATGAACCCTGAACCGTCGATGAAATACGACGCAGCAAGCTACAAACGCAAGGAATAGCAGGATCTGTGCGATAAGGCCGGTAATAACGATGATGTTTCCGATATGAACAAGATCCGCATTCGCAAGCAATCCGCCGCCGTTCCCCTGGATATTGAACGTGAGAAAATCTCCAAGGACAAAAAGTCGAGTCGTCCAGCGAACAGAGATGAGAGAACAGCTTTCTCCACCGATAGCCCGGACTAAACGAGAATAAACCATATATAGCGTCGCGGCGAAGAATACGGGTGGGAGCAGGAGAAAGAGGGCTTGCATGATGTTAAGAGGGAGAGAGTCGGTGGCGTTGTAGCATAGAGCTCGGAAGAAGTAGCCCAGTACTTCGCCTATTGATAGGTCAGAGGGACAAAAACACTTGGGGAAAGGGAAAACCTTACAGACACCGCCGAGGAAGAATGGAAGACAGAAACGTGTTTTTGACTTGTGCATTTTGTACCCAACGGCTGCCGTTGCGAGGGCGAAAAGGATGGTGAAGATGATTGATCCGACGAGACTGGGGACATATTGCCAGAGGTAAACTTCACCCAGATACTTCTTTAATTGAGGCATTTCAAAAAGTAGAGAAATACACAAAATCTTGAGAAGGATTATCCTTGTTAAGAAAAAGAAGTTTGAACGAAGGCGAAAGTGATGCGCTGTGCTTGTACGTAATAGAAGGCTCTTCGTCTAAGATCGAAGTACTTACGGAAAAGAAGTCAAGAACTGAACATACAGGAGTTCAAAATACCCCAACGTTTAATATATACAATCTAGTCCATGTCCAGTTACGTTCAAACCCCTGATTCTACGTGCAAATCCTTCGCTTACACGCGTGTTACGTACAGGTCTTGCGTAGCAACAAGCCCCAATCGTCAAAATTACCCTGAAGCTGGAGATAAGATCGGGTCGTTTAAGCCCGAACACGCGTGTTAGCTAAGCATCTGACAGGGGCTGCGAGCGAGACCTTACCAAGGGCGGACTAGCTTGCTCTATTTAGGCTTTGGGCTTGCCAGGATTCTCTGTCGATCACTTCGCTTACTGCTTGCAAATCCTTGATGATGAATTCTTGTCTCGGCTCATTAATCTCACATCTGATTCCAGACTTCTGGGCAGTAGTACATTTGGCATTTATGTTTCTCAAATTGATCTGAAGATCAATCCATGTACAACTCAGCATGCTTCGTCGCAGTCATAAAAAGTCCAAGAAGGGATGTGTACAATGGTATGTTGCATTAACATCAAGCTTCATAAGCATGGGATATGAACTGACACAGTCTGACTAGCAAGCGACGTCATGTAAAAGTACGAATTTCCATTGCCCAATGCATGAGTACTTAAGCTTGATATCCCGCATTGACTCCCATGATCATATGACTAACACGCGTGTTCAGTGCGACGAAGGCCGCCCAACATGTCTCCTCTGCAAAATGTCCAATCGAGACTGCAGCTTCGCTTCCGACCCGCAACAGCCCCAAGACACAAACTCATTAACATCAGACCCGTCGTCTCGTGAAGGATCACTCCTCAGTCCTGACACCAACCTCAGATCAACCAGCGCAACATCCCTCTCCGACAGCCATGAGTCGTCTTTCGATAGCGTCGTCAACATGGAGCACATGGAGCTCTTTATCCATGGGATAACAAACAAAGACTTATTTAGCCTCGGTGATAGATTTGAACATTCTCAAGAGACCCTTAATATCTGTCTTGAGGAGAGCGTCAAGGCACCGTATCTCTTACATCAAGTGCTGGCGTTTTCTGCACGTCATCTAGCTGCTATTCATCCCGAGCGTTCAGCAAGGTACCTGGATCAAGCTGTCAAGTTACAGACGCGAGCTGTATCCCTGTTCAATTCTACGAGACGGGAGGTCAATTCGTCGAATTGTCTCCCTATTCTCTTGTTCTCGGTTACCCTTGGCCATCACCTCCTCGCCGACGCCTTGGCTACCCGAACTTCAGATGGTCTTGATGGCTTTCTCACGCATTATGTTCAATGTGTCGAGATGAATCGGGGCTTATATCGCTTGACTCTTTCAGCATGGCCTTTACTCCTCAACACGGAGCTCGAGCCAGTTCTGTCGTGGAGTAGTCAACAATCCTCCAAAGACCCCGTGGGGAGCCACTGCGAACCCATAGTCCAGCTTATCAAAGACTCAACTGCTTTGTCAAATGAGGAAAAAGAAGTCTGCCGTGAGGCAATACAGTACCTCCAACTTGGTTTCGATGGCATCGAAGAGGACGTTGCTAGTCGATATCGCATGATATTCCAATGGACGATGCTAGCATCACCCGAGTTGACAAGCTTGTTAGCTACAAAACGACCCGAAGCTCTGATTTTGCTGGGTTATTACGCCTTGTTATTGCACCACGGACGGAAGCTCTGGCAGGTTGGAGATACAGGGGTATATTTACTCGGTCTCATCTCGGACTATCTTGCGCCAGAGTGGCATATTTGGCTTGAGTACCCGCGACGAATGACGCGACAAAAGTGAAGCCGTTTATTCATTCTAATAGAAGCTGGTCTAGTAGTATTGAGTTATTACCGTAGTTCCATCAAAGTGCCATGCCCCCCCAAGCTTGCAGATCTCCACATACGACACCATACCTCAACAGGAAGATCTCCACAAACCTCAAAACTAAAAAAATGCCAATACGAGAAAAAAGAATGAGGCACACCGGATTTGAACCGATAACCTTCAGGAATCTCCGTGCTAAGTAGCTGGAATCTGACGCGCTACCGTTGCGCCAGCGCCCCATTGTGTGTTGAAGCTCGAGTTTGCAAACAGCCCCTTGAGCGTGAGCCGTCTGTGACTGTCAGTAAGAAAACAGAGAACACGACTCAGGTAAGATAATAATGTAATTAATAGACTTCTACACTAGTCGCTATTTAACTTACTATACTAATATTGTTCTAACTATAGCTTAAACTAAGCTATTAAGAAAAAGTTTTATAACTATTATAAACCCATTATAGGCTTACTATAAGTCCCACTTAAATTGACCTAGAATTACTGATATTCTATGATCTCACTGCTGATTTAACCTCTCGGCCACAAGTCTCAACTGCAGTCTATTGATAAAGGAAATATACCGCTTGCAGCTTGCATTTAGTCCCTAACTAATAAGGTCCAACTCAACGCTTGTGTCTTCAAATGACTCCTAAAAGGGCTTGTCACCCCTGTCGAGAGCCCATCTCACCAGATAGTCACGATCAAGCGCGATCCTAGGTATCCAATATACATCGTTGGGCTGCTGTCCCACCAAGAGCACGAACCACTGGAAAAGATACTCGGCCAGTGTGGACCGTCCATTCTCTTCAACGAAGCATGCGTTGCAGCAAGCTTTGTCAAAGATCTCTTGCGTAAGTCTTCGTCCGTCCCATGTCCGGCGTCCCAAGTCAGGCTCCTAGGCCCGATCCCCACGTATTTCCATACCGAATCTGAACGCTCTTAACTCCTGCCATTTCGCACATCGAGGACATCGAGCCATCCATAAAGTCCAAGGTGTTGGGATGACTTGAAGAAAAGATAGGACTGGCCGCCCTTGCTGCATGGTATCCAGGATGCCAGGGAAATATCGATCGACGGGGGATCTGATGAGATGATATTCAATGGAAATGATGGGGAACCTTTCGGTCCCAAACATGCCATGATTTCTGGCGATGGTGGCGAGGTCGAAAAAACCGTCCCTGAAGAGACACTCGTTGCACTTTCGATGGTGTCGGCTAGTGCCACGCGCGCGGTTCAGCACCTCTTGGTTCAACACGAGGCCCCAAAAACGCTCTTCTAAGAAGCCAAACAAATTTTGTATGCTTCTGCCTCCATCAGCTGGGAGTGGCGTCGGTGTTGCCATCATCGCACGCACTGGCTCCCAAGAAGTAATGATCTTGGCGGCAGGGCACTTGGGCCTGGGCTTTCGCCAGATCACCCAGGCCAGGAATTTGTTCTGAAAATGGTAATAAGGGAGAAGTTGCACGCATCCGGCACAGGCCCATCGCGAGCGCGTTGCCAAGAAGGCGCTGCCGCGCCAGACGGGTCTGCCAAATAAGCTCCTGAAGGGTAGGGGAGGGCCTCCATATTTCACACGGCACTCAAGAGCCAGGAGGTGTTCGATGTACTGTTGTTTCTGGGGTTGAATGATCCTGCGGAATGGCTTGTCAATGAAACGGAGCGAGAACAAGCCGATTGGGTCCACTAAACGAGCGATCATTTCTTTCAACTCTGGTGGAAGAGTTTTTAGCGATGGTGGAAGAGGGTCTGGCGATGCTTCACTCGGCGGCTCGTATAGATTCAACGCTATAAAAGCGAATGCAATAAGTAGCCATGTTGAAGAATACATGTTGGTCAGCAGATAGAAGAATGATGATGATGAAAGAATGTGAGTTTAGCAGTTGCAGCGATGGATCAGTTGACATAGCTTCGCACCTACCGAAGCAGCGAAGGTGCAATGCAGGGACTTTTGGATCACAAGGCAAGAGCAGTTTGAACAGATTTAGGATGCCTTAGGATGCCTCAGGTACGGTACCCGTACCCAAGTAAGTTTATGATGAACTTTGTGAGCTCTTAGACGAGAAATTGATGTAGTCATTATCTTATGTCTCCTAAAGTTCTAATGCCCAGAACTTGTCGTACATCCTATCGATCCACAAGACTGATGTAGTCATCATCCTAACTTCCAAGTCTTCCGAACTCAAACCATCGCACCACCGCTTCATGCTATACGGTCTCGCCGCAAATGAAAAGTGCCTCTTATTCGCTTTTTGTACAACCGGCCTTGCAAGCTGAGTGTGACATACTTCACACGCGCTGCCGCTTCTATAAAATGGGGCCCTAGTGCAACGCCCCGCGCTTAAATATTGGCACCAACACACTGCACGTGTGGACTAAAATCAGGGGTCAACGTCTAGAACACAGCCAAAGTCCTCACCAGTGGTTTGCAATTGGTGGCGGTTTCTTTTTCAGCTGAATGCATTGACCCAATCAGCCTCGAGTGCCCCGGATATGCTTAGTTTTAAACTGGCGGTCGAGACCGCACGGGATCGGTAGGGCGACGACCCCTCGTAACAGCGGCTGAAAAGATCAGGTCAATATTTAGGGGTTGGCGAATAGAAATGATTGAGTAGCGAATAATTGAGGCTTAGTGAGTTTGAGGAGTGCCTGGGCTGAGGAGCCGCTCATTGGACGGCATGAGACTTGAGTGCAGTATAAGAACTACCGGTATGTCGCGCCTAGGCTTGAAGCAATGCTGAGACGTTACGATACTTGGAATAATTCTTTACAAAATGCTGCCATTAACTACCGTCTCACTGGCCCTCGGCCTTCTCACAGCTGTCCAAGCCTCCAACCCCGTCTTTGGCGCGTACCAAACAGACTCATGCGACGCCTGTCTTGACCAAACCTACGAAAGCTGTCCAGGCGACTACAAGACCCGATCTTACGCAACATGCATGTGCGCAGGCGATGGCAGCGCAAACTTCGTCTCCTGCCTGTCGTCCTGCGATCCTAATAAGAATGAGCCAGCGATTGCTAGTTCGACTTACTACGGATACTGTGTCCTCTTCTTCAAGGAGCTTTGCGATGGCGCTCAGCAGTTCTTGTCGGAGGATATTTATAATAAACAGTGTTCAAAGGAAGCGATTGAAGCGGGTGGGATTGGGGCAAAGGATGGTGATGATGACTCTGAAGAGAGGTGAGTTATATCGCGGGGAAGGGGGCAGAAATTTGAAGTGCTAATGATTTAGTAGTGAGCCGAGCAAGACGAAAGATTCTTCTTCTGAGGAGACGGATGAAGCCAATGAGAGTGAGACTACCAAGACAAGTGGTAGCGCTCAATCGACATCGACTTCTGGGCCTTTGGCTACCATGGTGCCAGCTTGGGCTATCGTGGCTGGAATGGGGTTACAGTTAATGAATGTATGAGTGCAAGTGCATACTTTATGGTCGGTTCAGGTGCAGAGAGCCGATTGTTTTGATCGTCAATGTACCAAGAATAGAAAATATGCTTTATCAGCGTATTCTGTAAATAGTCCGTTATTTGGCACCTCACCGACTCCCGCAGCACAAAAAGACTTTATTTTTGCATTCCCTTTGCTTTGGTGAAACATCTCGCTTTTTCTGATCCCTTAGTGGCTCACAATAATGGCTTGGCTTGGTGAGTGTCCCAAGCCTCACGGCCTTGGCATGTCAGCATTGCTGACTACAATCGCAGCGGACATGCCCGCGGAGCTCCATGGCTGCCGCTTCGACGAGTAATTCCCATTGACATTACGCGGTCGCCTCAATGGAACTGACGCGGCTGCGAGGCTATGAGGTCCATGGTGGGAATCGCCAAGATGAAGAGATCTTCGGCGACGGCAATGAAGGACGTTGAGAGTTGGTCTAAGCCACCGTTGAGCTGTGTATAAAGAGTCGAGCTATCGACTTGAAAGTGGAAATGATCTAGCAGGACAACCGAAACAACAGCTTTGCTTACAACATCTACATCATGATTCTCAATCACATCAAACTCGCCCTCGGTGCCGTTCTGGCCACTGGCTCCGGAACTCTTGCGACCAAACCCGACGTCTACGACTATGTCATCATCGGCTCTGGTCCAGGAGGAGGCTCTCTTGCGTAGGTCCAAGCAAGAACTCAACACATAATTCCCATGCTGACAGGTATCAGCGCCAATCTAGCTAGAGAGGGTCACTCCGTCTTCCTCATCGAAGCGGGAGGGGACAATCACACAAGTATTCTTCAACAGCTGCCAGCTCTGTAAGTTCAAAGCCTCACAAGTGCATGCTGTTACTGACGGTCTAAGGGCTCGAACTGCTGCCGAGACTCCCGGCCACTCTTGGCAGTTCTTTGTCAACCACTACGAGGACTTTGACGCGGCTCGGCGGGATCCCAAGTATACTTATATCCAGACCAATGGTTCTTACTACGTTGGCCTTGATCCACCCGAGGGTGCTAGACCGTAAGCATTAGTACTCCTGCCCGTTGAGCTTTTACTAATAACAGGATTGCAGTGCCGGTTTATACTATCCTCGCGGCTCAACCCTCGGCGGCAGTGCGCAAGTCAACGCCATGAACTTTGCCTGGTGTCCCGATAATGAGTGGGACTACATCGCCAATCTCACGGGCGATTCTTCCTGGGGCCATGAGCATATGCGTCGACATCTGATGAATCTCGAGAACTGCACCTATGTCCCTGAGGGTACTCCTGGTCATGGCTTTGATGGATACCTGGTGGTAAGAACTAACCGTCTTCCCTTTACGATGCATGATACTAAGGCGTTATCTATAGAACGATCAGAGTAACGCCACGGTCAACATCGGATCCCCCAATGTCGCCAACTTCTTCTCCCAAATGTTTCGCCAGACCGAAGGTATTGATGTTGAAGATCCCGGCGAGATGACTGAGCTTCTTCTCCGCGACATCAACGGCCCTAACCCACGTCGCTACGAAAACGGCCGCATGTACAGCACTCCCGTGGCAATCGATCCCAGCACAGCTGCCAGAAGCGGTGCGGGTATTTACATCAACCAGGTCGTTGATGCCGGACACCCATTGACACTCAGCTTCCACTCTTTGGCGACACGCGTTCTTACTAAACAGGGGCGCAACAAGAAGCCACGCGCTTATGGTGTGGAGTATATGGTTGGTGAGGGTTTGTACTCTGCTGATGGGCGATATGATCCTGAGCAGACTGGGGAGATTCGGGAGGTCTATGCTAAACATGAGGTCATTGTTTCTGGCGGTGCTTTCAACACTCCACAGATTCTCATGCTGAGTGGTATCGGGCCTCGTGAGGAGCTGGAAGCGTGGGATATTCCTGTTGTTGTCGACCTCCCTGCTGTCGTGAGTACCTTCATCGTCCTTCAAGTTCTTGATGCTGACCACTTGACCAGGGCTCTAACTTGCACGACAACTACGAAGTCCCTGTTCAAATCCGCGGTGAAGAGAATTGGCTTATCCCCAGAGAGTCTCCATGCACTGGTACCTTCGATGACGAAGATCCCTGCTTCGTTCTCTGGCGAGACGACGCATCAGGACCATACGCATCACGCGACAGTAGTTACGGCGCCGTCTGGCGAAGCAGTCAAAGCTGGGATAACGACTCAGACCTCATGTTTCTCAGCAGTCCAGGCCTTTCAGGATTGGTAGGCTTCTACCCAGGTTACTCGACCGGCGAGAGAGCAGGCAACGATCCCGCAGAGTGGATGCACGCCGTCGTCAAGATGCAGACCAGCAACAGCGCCGGCACCGTTCGACTCAACTCATCAGACCCTCGTATCCGACCTAATATCAACTTCAACTATTTCACCGAATCAGCTGAGCGTGATCTCGACGCTATTGTTGAAGGAATTGAGATGCTCAGAAGGGCGTTTGATGCGACTGGTGTTCCGTATACCCAGCTCAGTCCTGATCCTGAGAACTTGAGACAGAGTATCCAGGACTTGGCTTTCAGTCATCATGCTTCATCGACTTGCGCTATTGGAGCTGATGGCGATGAGAACTCTTGTGTTGACTCGAGGTTTCGCGTGCGTGGTGTTGATAACCTACGCGTTGTCGACGCGTCTGTTTTTCCTCGAAGTCCTGGCGGTATGCCTAATGGACCGACTTGGACTATTTCCCGCAAGGCTTTTGAGACTCTTTTAGAGGACAACCATTAAGCTGATATCCGGTGATGTTTAGATCACTGAGAGTTGTGATTGGAACTGAGTATGGAAACCGTAGAGAGAGGTGGAGGGCAAACACGTCCGAAATTCGAGTCTGAGACATTGCATCAGCACAGGGAAATTCGAGTATCTTCTACCAAATTGTTACTTTTTGTTTTTGTTTCAACCCATTACATACAGTATACGTTAGATAGTCAATCTGTATTCACATTCAATCGCCGCATAAAGGAGAAACAATTATAGAGTCCAGGGTATGAAATTGCTGATAACTCTATTCAGCCCCAATAGCCTATCACAGCGCCCAACCCTTCAATAGTGGCCCACCACCTGACCAATAAAAAAGACCCGCCTCACACTGTCAGATTAAGACAGAAAAAAAAAAAAGATGACAGCAAAACTTTGATTCAAGTCCTGTCCTGTTCCATCGGAGTCCTCGGATGTGCAACGATACAGGGCTTCAAGTCCCCCTTCTGGAAGAACCAGTCACACCAGCTGCCATCCTATTTCGCAATCGTCGCATGCCTTAGTGCGCCATCTTCAACAAGGTTGTTAGTGCTGACTACTCACGGGCGGCCGAAATTGCCTCAACTTGCGGGGAAGACGGAGCATCCTACGACGAATCAACGTAAGTTCACGTCCCAGAAACACAAAAAGGTGAGGCCCATGTCTGATGTACATCTTCACTTACAAGATATGGGCGTTTCATATACCTACCTACGTATTACCAAGCTATGACTAACACTTTCGATCCTCATTAGATAACAGGCTGTACTGCTGTAGGCCATGCGGTCTAAGCATCAGATATTCATCACCGTCCCTATCCCGAGCCGCGTGCCGCCGGAAATCGTCCTCGCTCACATCCAGACCTACACGCCCATGCTAGCCAACAACGATGTAATCATGAGCTTCAAAGAGACCACGCCCAACATGGAGCTCGTAAGCAAGGACCCATTCTTCGGCACGCCCAACAGCAGCGTCAGAACCTTCTCGTCCAGCGAGAGACTCATGCTGGCGCCCGGTCTCACGAGGGACAGGAGCTGGCCCGTGACGTGTCTGAGTATACCGAATGGTATTCGCTGTAGAGCTGATGCCAAGGCTGGTGTCACTGTGAGGACGGAGTGGATCGTGAGGCCAAGGCAGGACTTTGGGAGTAGTCCGAGTACTACTAGCAGTCCGGGGACGCTGGTGGAGGAGTGGGAGCTGTATGAGGAGGTTATCATTGAGGCGAATAGTCTGCTTATGCCGTTTGTTGCGAGGACTGCGGATGAGGTTCATAGAGGGATTTGTCAGAAGGTTGTGGATGAGGTTGTGAACAAATACTTAGCCAATGGTACTCATTGATGATTTAATAACAGATACCTATTCATTTATTGATCAAAGCTACCGTCACCCGCTTGTGGTCTCACAGTGACTTGAAGTCATTCCTCAGAGTGGGTGTGAACAACTAGTTAAAGCTTAAGCATCCTTCAACCGCAACTCACCTGAGGCTCATCTCACTTATGCACCAGTAATACGAGTTCTCGTATACCTGCACTCCACTCAGATACTATTCTCGTCTCCACTCTCACGCAACACCACGATGGAGAAACCTGTGAAGTCTTTGCGAAGGGACGAGACATCAAAAACACCGCGTAATTGGTTTAGTGGTAAAATTCTCCGTTGCCATCCGAGCAGCGTCGGGGAGCCCAGGGTTCGATTCCCTGATTACGCATTCATTCGACGCTTCAAGGCGTCTTCTTTTTGTTGCTTTTGCTTGTCCGTTCTCATGGTTGCGATGTTGAGAGTTCCGGCCACTACACACCAAACTTCACGAGAAGGAACGCCCAAAGCGATGTATACTAAAATAAGTAAAGATGTACTTTTGTAAATGATGATACTACTTATGTAATCTCATTTTAAATGAATTAGGATAAGCTTGTAGCCAGTAAAGCAGATGGTCTTGATGAAAAGGTCCTCATGCCGGCAAGGCTACGTTCAGCCAATCGCGACAGAGCTGACCTGACCAGAACTCCCCACGCAAAATCTCCATCTATATCTTCATTTCTCTCATGTCTGTAAATCAAACCCTCTCATACATGATGACTGCTACGGGTATGATGGCATCATCACGGTAAACCACCGTCTCCGGGTACATAACTTGCCCTCCGTCTCTTAATACAGCAGCTTCAACCTACAACCTGTAGTTCAGTATATTTGCGGAAGTTATTCAAGCTCAAGGATGACTCACGCTGTCGTAACCATGGTCCGGTGCAATCCGATTTGGGCACGCAGAAAACATCCTTTGAGGTCTGTTGCTAATGACTTCACATACGATCATGGCACGAGGCCGAGATTCCGGATCAAGACTATGGGTGTAGTGGTCTGCTTCTTGAAAGGTGTCAGAAATAGTCTAGTGTTGACTGTTTCAACAACTTACTGGACGATACCTGTGTGGTATATATACCACGACCAAACATACCCGGAACTTCAGTCGTGGTCAGTAAAACGACCGTTTCAGTCGAAGCAATATCAGTCCATCTTACCTGACTTTCTGACTTTGAAGGATTTCCTCATGATTCCACAAAAGTTGCAATGTGGCATGTTGCACCACTGCATCCTGCGACCACCCCGTTCTTCCCCAGCGTTACAGGCTCGAGTTGTGCCATGATACAAGACCATGCACCGGTCGACTGACCTTCCTCCATACCGGTGAAACCTTCTGCCTCTGTGTGATGCAAGTAACTCATGATAGGGAGCAATGAAGACTTTCCGGACGACAGCTGCCTTGTCGGGGTGTTTCCAGTTACTGTTGAAGTAGCCGACATCTAGACAAGGTTAGTTGTATACCTGCAAAACACCATCTGGGCGGTCCTTACGGTCGTGGAACATAGGGTCATCTATACTGAGAGGGTACATATGCTGCTCCTGATGTCAGAAATTAATGCAAGATGTGGAGTGGCTTTCTTACAGGAGGCATGTTAGTGTAGTATATATTTGTAAAGGGTGAGTATCAAGTATATAAAACTCAGAGGTAGATGTGCGTGGTTGATGAACGAGGTATATGTCCTGGTTGATATATACAAGTCGAAATATGAGAATATTGTCTGAATTTGTCGGATAATTGAGAGATGAGATGAAGACGTCGTATTTATGATCGCCGAGTGATGGTGAATAAATGAGCTAGGCTTGCTTTGTGTCGCGTGAATATCGAAAGACCGATGAAGCAATATCAGTTAAGAGCCGTGCTACACCAGATGTCAGTGAAAACGGGACCTAGGTTCCTGATGCGCAATCAAGAAGAAATCAACGGAAATTTAATAGGCTACCGCGGACAATCACGGTCTTCAATGAAAATCTGTTGACAGATGTTGGAAAGATGTTAATCAGTGTTACCCTAATTGTCAGCTGCCATGCATCTAGCAAGCAGAGGCTTGAGTGTAGCGAGAAGTTTGATGAATAAGATGGGGCCACAAGGAACAAGACGTAAGGCGAGAATCGATTTTACGGAGAGTTGCTTGAGAGTATGGAGGTTCGTAGCGCCCGGTATATCAGTTGGAAAGTGGGCGATAGCAGCGAGTTGGGACGAAACGAAGAGACGAACGAGACCGGTATGGGGTGGATTTCAGGGACTCTTCAAGTCTTATCTTAGTTCTTGGTAACGACTAGGAGATTTGGGAACGCTTGCAGAGATGGAAATGCCTCGCTCGGCGGGCAGGGGCACAGTTTATATAGTAACTGCCATGAAGCGCGCATCACAGACTGCACAGTGACATGCAGAACTGAAACAGAGTCAAGCTAACTTATGAGTGAGTAACTGGAGCCTCCGACTTGCACTTTCAATATCTCGTTAGGTAAAAGCAATTTGATGGGAAGCTAACGTCAATGCCACCTTCGATGGTCAGATTCAGTCTTCAAATTTCATCAGGCATCGGTTAAGTGTAAGGTAGCCAAAGTCTGTAATATCTACCGTAACGGACGAATTTGTGTGAATCTTGGTTCACACACATGCTAGAGGCAGACATCCGTCAATACGTAAGGTACGTAGGTACTTAGGCTGTGAAGGTTTCGGGTGCACCTGCTCATATGAGACGGCTATATTGAGTTGAAAGACATGGCAGCTGCTGCTTCCAAGGCTCGACTCACTTGCACCTGCTCAGAGTTTGCAAGAATCAGGACAGAGAGAGACAGGAAAGAAACCCGAGAAAGTCAAGATTTCTTCCCTCCAACAAACACTCAACAAGACATCATCATCGCTCATCTCAACACTACAAACCATCAACATCATTCAGCAGCATTCAGCACTCATCTCGAATATGAATAAAAGAAAAGGGGTGTTCGGTCAGTATACTACTTGGCCAGACGACGACGACGACGGCGGCGGCGATGGCGATGACGAAGCCAAGAAGCCTGTCAAACGTCCACGGGGAAATGAAAACACGGAAAACCCGACAGACCCCGTCCCCGATGTCCCAGATGAACAGCCCTCCGAGGATTTAAATGATGAGGAACAGCCAGAGGTAGAGATTCCGGAGAGAGAAGACACTATAACTGACCCGGGAGACCCCGGTACGGATGAAACAATCGAGGAGGAGACTGTCGGGAATGCACCTGACGCGCCAGAGGCAGAGGGTTCAGAGGGAGAAGACACTATAACTGACCCGGGAGACCCCAATACGAATGCAACAACCGAGGAGCAGCCTATCGAGAATGCACCTGGTCCTAGCTCATCGCAGGCAGGGTCAGGGGCCCAGAACACTGGAAGTGGTCAGGGTAGCCTCAGATGTAACAGAAAAGGATGTTCAAGGCTGCGGGCCCCGCGTCACGTGCAGTGCGACCGATGCCTGATAACTGGTAGAGTGCGCCAAAGGTAATCAGAGACGATTCGTACCTTCAACACCGAATTAAATTCAGCCTAACTAACCTGTTGAGCAGGATAAATAGGCGGCAGTGTACCGGCTGTGGCGAGAGCATGAGTACTCCGGGTTTATGTGAGAATTGTAGCGCTAATGGAATCCCTCCGGGCCAGTTGAAGAGGAGGAGGAGATAGGTGAATAATACTTCAGAGAGAGTTTGCATTTGCTTCGTGTGGCCTCGAATCAGTGGCATCCCAAGGCGAAAGAGTGTTTTAGTGAATAAGACGTATACCAATATTGTAAGAGAATGTTTAAATCATCGCAAATCCTCCGTTCTTGACTTGAATCTGCTCGGAGACCCCGAATTGTCGAATGGCACATCGAACTCTGAGGTGCTGAACTAATGAATGTCCTGGTACTACCAACCCGATCCTCTCAGACCCCTTTCCCTCAGGCCTCTTCCCCATAGAGCCATTCATCGTGTGCCAAACACTCCATATCTCTTAAGGCGGACCACACTTCCAGCTCCTGTAGTGAGGCTTCTTGGTAGTCTTGAAAGCAAAGTTGTCCGCTCCCTTAAGACTGACAAAACTTCCCTTGCAGTTGGCCTCAGTGTAAACCTTGCAGTCGAAGCAGCTGACAAGGGACTTAGTGTCGTCAGAGTAGACATCAAAGTTCTTGATGTTGGTAGGGAGACTGTAACATTTTCCTGGTTTGCCGACGCCAGTGAAGGACTTGCCGGGCTTGATCTTGAGCTTGATGAGATCAATGCCTGGGTTGCAGTGATCAGTGCGGGCTTCGAGGGTGGTGTCTTCTTCAATGGCCATGGCACTGGCGCTGAGGCTGAGGGTGGTGATGGTGATGAGGGAGAAGAGATGCATTTTGATCGGGTTGGGCTGCTGAGAAGATGGATGTGATGTTTTGCTTGTTGATGATGATATTCTATCAACAAAGCAGGCAAACGCTCGATTATTTATGCTATTTCCAAGAAACCCTTTGGAAATGACTTTGTCGTATATCCAGACCTTGTTCATGAGCAATATCTCATCATTTCATGCCCACATGCAACCAAGTCTAAGAATAGTTACCAAATTCCGCCCTCCAACGGTGAAAAACGACCTTTAGCTTCCAACGTGTACTCAATAAATCCACGGTTTTCAGAGCCATAAGTCTCCGTGTAAAAGTGCTGCGAGCTTATTTAGAATCTATTGTATTACATTTCTCACGTCAACTATTAATAGTGACGCGCCTCCGTCGAAAAGCGCAGAGATATTGTGGCAGCCACGCAGCCACGCTGTCACAACCACTACCCCGAAGGATCGCTGCATCGAATCAGCAAGCGAGAAAAAAGTGTTTCCCAAATTCTGGCTGTAGTTCTAATAATTCTAAAGGGTAGTATCTATTCTGGGATGAGGTCCTAGATCAGTTTAATCTTGCTAGCAGCTCTTCAGAATGTCACTAAGAGATATTGATAGGAAGACCACAGAAAAGAGCCGTATCAAACCTCAATGCAAGATCAACCAAAGTCCTCTTCGCCCTTACTAGTCCTATATGTCTTAGACTGCCAGCCAAGGCGCATTCGCGACAGCACCCGCAGTAGCTACCTTTGAGTTCCGGATCAGCCTCCGATACTCCTCAATCTTGGAGATTCCAACCATGATCAGCTCCTCTTCCACTTCTGGAGCGAGGCCACTCTTCCAGAGACAAATCGTTCCATTGACCTGATGATCATCAATGGTAACTGACATCACAAGATCCCTCTCGTCCCTAAGCTCCCAAGAAGCTTTGCCGTGTACAACCATTCCCGTTGGTTTCCAATGTAGTTCTCCCAGGCCACCACTAGCAGTGTACTTTCCATCAGCCCCCTTCATGGTAATGGTGCGACTCTGCTGTGAGAATTTAACCTCCGTCTTGGGAGGGATACTGTGGAAGTCGATCATAGCGATCTCCGCGTTCTGACTCGGAGACTTGACGTAGCATTTATCACCCCAAATTTCCATAATAGCTCGCCGTTCGACTTCGTAGCGAGGTGTTTTGTCACCCTTGACACCCAGGATTCGGCGGTGTCCGACAAGAGCGGTGTAGTGCATCTCCAGCGCGGGCTTTTCCGCGCTGCGTCGGGGATCGGGAGCTGCGTCCTCGCGAATAATGAACTTTTCAAGCCAGGAGGGGGCCATCTTGGATATTGAGAGTATAATTGTGTAGAGGGATCTAAAATGTTGGTGTTCAGGAGTGGGCATGTCTTGATCCAAGCGTCGCTTTAAGCTGAGAGCGAGAACCCATGTAGTTTGAATGAACCCTTAAATCTGACAGCAAAAGCCTAACTGAACAGGGTTTAGCCATTTTAATTACAGTGTAGTCTTACGTACTAAAATTTCATGTCATGTAGAAGGATGAGACTTTATCCGTAGACAGGCTATCCTCTTTGCATGATTTCCGCATCGTGCAGGGGATTGATTGGTATGACTTACTGAACAACTGAGAGAAATTCGTAATAATAACATGGGTGTCAAGCGCACAGAGTGGAGGTCTTTGTGAAGAAGAACACAAGAAATGAATAATTCCTTAATGACAGCTTTGTTCTTTGTACTTGTTAGAACGGAATCTGAACCTCCATAAGGTAACACGATGATCTCAAGGACAAACGAACATTATGTATCTGGTCGGCAGTACATAGAAGAAAGGTATTATGGCCATGATAGGGCGTAGATCTGGTATAAAATGTGAAATTCTCGCCGACACTTGAGTCTTGAATAAGATCATAGCATCCTTGATCAGCTTGTCCAACAGAACCACCAGTCGATATTACTTACGGTCTTTCTGCAGTTTATTCCAAACTGAACGAAACCAGATCATCATGCCCTCCAGAAATGATTGGGATCAGACAGGGCAGGGTAGACGCTTTCGGCCCAAACCTTTCGACTTTGGTTTTATCTTGAACCCCATTACTCGCGTCGCCAGCAATCTAGCTAATTCGATTGACAGTATATCTCCCGCAGACGAAACAGCCAGCCAATCCACGACCGCAACTCAAGATTCTCCCCTGGCCAATAAGCCTATCTTATGCTGCAGAGGAGCATGCCGTAATCCAGTCCGAGGTAATCGCAAGCATTGCGGCGATTGCCTAGATAAAATGTCGGCCCAACAGCGAGCTCGGATCGAGAAGCGCCGTAATCAGGGTATCAAAGATCCTACTACTGGTGAGACAATTAAGCTATGCGCCAGGTGTTGTGTACCCCCTGATAAGTACTTCTGTAGCCCTTGCGCCAAGAGACACTCAGTTTCCAGCAAGAACAAGTACCGCGGACGGCGTGGGAAGGGCCTATGCACAAAATGCGCCGTGAAACTGGACAGAGATGGACACGTTTGCAGGACGTGCTATAGGAAAGTCCTGATCGATGCAAGAAGATACTACCAGAAGGAGAAGAATAAGCAGGATAAGCAGCATTCTGCTGAGGCGATTGAGGGCACTAAGACATGTAGAAAGTAGATCATAGAACTAGAGATATCAGTCCTTAGATTTGAAGATAACATCATATTGTAACCACTCTTAACCGAATCTGTTTATTTCCTTATTGCTTAAAATCTATTAGTCCAGCTATTTGCGACGTGAGTTCCACTCCCGATCAAAGTTTGTCAACGCCCTCTGCGCCGTAGGCACGCAATCTAGAGCCTTGATAGAAACCCGAGGTGGTAAGCTCAACATGTACAATACCGACTGCGCTAAATCCTCTCCGACCAGCGGCTCATATCCTGCAACAAAGTCATCCATAGCACTCTGATCATACTGAACCCGTTGAAGATGGAAATGCGTCTGGACAACACCTGGCCGAAGAACTAAAACCCTAATGTCTGATCCGGCAGTTTCCATTCGCAGGCTGTTGGAGAAGCCCTCTAGGAACGCTTTTGATGCGTGATAGACTGCTTCGCCATTGAAGGGCGGACACTCGAGACCTGTGACGGATGAAACGTTTATGATGGTTCCTTTCTTTCGTTCCCACATTGAGTGGTTGAGGACTGCGTGGGTAGTGAATATGACGCCGTTGATATTGGTGTTTGACATCTGGGCGACTTGATCGATGGGGATTTCCCAAAACCGTCCGGGGGCGCCGAGTGCAAGACCAGCCTGGAAGATTATGAGTATTCAGAAGCCAGCGTCACAGAGGCGTCGCTCGCTCACATTGTTCATCAGGATGTCAATCTGGCCAAGCTCAGATACGGCCGATTTTACGGCTTTCTCAATGTCGGGTTGGTTCTGAATATCGACAGGGTAGACTCCAACTTTGATCTCAGGGAATTTGGAAGTGATCTTGTCTCGAACTGCCTCAAGCTTATCCTACATGGAAAGGACTCATCAGTGAGTGGCCTACGCCTTCTTCGATCGAACCGTACCTTGCTTCGAGATACCAGGGCAACGTTCACTCCATGCTCAGCCAGAGCCAACGCAATGGCTTCGCCAATGCCCATAGAGGCTCCGGTCTATCTACACAGTCAGCATCTCCAAGACCAAAGGTAAATGACTACGAACGATGAAAGCGGTTTGTCCCTTCAAGGCCTCCATGCTGTTCCTCGTTGTGGCAGTGAGAGCCGGGTTGATGCACATTATGGAGAGAGGTATATACTGCGGTATTTATGTCTTTGAACTGAAGGGTCTGTTCACAGCTGATAAATCAACATTGCCTTCTTGCTCTTGTAGTCGAAACAAGGTCCATAGTGACGTCGACGATGACTAATGGAGGATAGTCCCAACTCGTATAGAATCCGAGTACTCGGACAGCACCTTGTTTAGAATCTACAGCTACACTATAGTAGATAGGAAAGTTTTGAATATTACAAACAGGAAACTGCTTTCATTTTGCTCGCGCTTGTCCCTTTTCACGATATCAGCTTGTGCAGACTTGGTGATGGAACTCATGATGCCGAGATGTCATGGAAGCGGGGTAACTCAAGAACGGTGTGAATATGAGGGGGTTCTCATGCCAACAGAGTCCAGCTACAAGATGTCTTCAAATGAATAATAAGAGAGATCTAAAACTATACAGTGTCTTTTAGCACGACCGTCATTCTTCGCTATTCCCATCCGATGAAAAAGCCTCCGGATACAGCTCAACCATCTTCTCATACGCCCCCCGCGTCTTCCCCTTGAGATCCCATCTAGCCTCCTCATTGACCGTTTCAGAGACCTCTTTTAGTTTCAAAGCCCATAGCTTCCAGTTCTCCGCATCCAAGTCATTACTCCTCTCTGGTGAAGCTATCTTTGCGTCCTGTACAAACGCTTCGCCGGCGAGAAAGACGTAGTTCGCAACCGCAAGAATCTGTGCTTGTCTGACTGGATGCTTTGTATAGTCGCCATCGGTATGTGTCTTGAAGGCTCTTGTGAAGTCATATGATAGCCATAGGGGTCCATAGTCCCCAAGGAGATTTGCTTGGAATAGCTTGGCGATGAGAGCCGCTGTGCTGAGCCATCTGTCTATGGCCTCATCTACAGCGGGTCCTTCGCGATCCAAGCGTCCTGCGTCGACTTTGTAAAGTGTTAGTATGAATATATTGGAAGTCGGGGAAAGTAAAATTGTGTACCGTGACAGGCGTTCCACCTCTCCACTGCGGCTCCTTGAATTCCCCAGCTCCAACAGACAAAACGAGGATTCTACAGAATGGTCAGTGTGTCCTGGTTATCTGCTAAGATATCTGTATCATACCTTCTCGTCAAAGCTATCCGCAGCGTTCTTAGCGATACCAATCAGGAAACGAGATAGCATATCTTGCTTTGGATCTGTGAAAGGAATTTTGGCGACTAATTCGAACACAATGTCCGCGATGCTGTTCAGCGTTCCCCCTGCATCGTATTCTGGGGGCTCCCTCCCGCCGAAATCCTCTCCAGAAAATCCAGCGACATAGTAGTCATAAAACTTCTGAATGGCTTCAGAGACAGCTTTGTCTGGATTCTCTTCTGAGAGCAGCATATCGCGAACAATTTTGTAGTAGATGGCTTCAGAGTCGATCTCATCTTCTTCCTCTTCCTCCTCTTCTATCATTTTCTCAACGTGCTTGAGCCACTTGGGGCTATCTGAAGAGTTAGCTTGGTCGGTCATCGTAGTAAGTGAGGGGCTGTTGATGGATTAAGAGGCGGTGGTGTTTCTGGTGCTGTGACCGAGTGAAATAAAAAGAGGATGGTTCAGTGATGAAGAGAAGCGATCAATATTCTTTCTGAATCATATGGGCAATGCCGTTAGGCAGTTTGTGAGGCTGAGTCGGTGGTCTCATTGAGGTCTTTTGGTTAGCCGCCGAGGTTTGGTGTGCCTTGGCATCGCCCAATCACAATCGTGGCACTGCAAACGCGCGGTTATTCTTAACTGAAACAAGGACAGGGCCTACTCGGTATCTCGGCAGATAACAATGAAGAACTTTTGTAGGCATAACCTCATATCATAAATTTGAACAACCAACAGGTAAACAGTTTTGTTTGTTGCTATTATAACATTGTACACCTTCATAGTGGCGCGTTCTCGGTTGTTGCGGTGAGAAGAGTAACCGCCATGCCTGATCATTAAGATCACATGAGGCTCCATTTGACTGAGGTTTTCTAGATTACCTGCTTCGCTCATTTACAATTGAGCTCGCTCCATAATTCTGGGCGATGAGAACATATCTAGATATCACATGTCAAAATGACAATAATGCCAGGCTTAAGCGCGCGTAACATCAACGAACCGCCACGTAACCTTGACACATCCGTAGAAGCGCTCGCAGGAACCCCCAGGGGTCTTGACAGGGGATAAACCACCATGGGTCTTGACATTGGGCCTCTATCTACGGAGTCTGTCTCAGGTGTTATGCATGTTGGTTCTAAGTTTCCTAAATTACGCCTCGCTTCGCCGAATAATCAGCAGATAATGGTCTCCGACTTTGGCCAACAACTTCAAGGACTTTCCGTTTCTAAGATCGCTTGATCATGTAGTTATATAAACCGGCGGCCTCCTTTCACAGAGATGAGCAACTCTTCACATCATTTTCTACCACACAATTCCCCAAAGCCATCGCCGGTCGATTGGCCACTGTTTGCTGGACCCAGAAGTCTTTGAATTTCTTTTGTTTGACTGTTCTTCTGACAGCATCACTTTGTTTCGTCATTTCCATCGTCTTTCCTACCACTACTCAATAATATCTTCGTTCTTGAAGTCCATCATCCATCATGAGTCGCTTCTTTGGACTTGGCAGTAAGAAGGAGCCGAGACGAAGTACTGATGAGGACATGAGCAAAATGGTATGTTAGCTAACGATCGCAGAGTCCAAACTCCCTTTATGTTTGATTCCGTGCTATATCTCTACCCCAATGTTGTCTCACATATTGACCGCCGATCTGCAGCAATACTACACTCCCCGCGGCAGCATACCCGCTACAGTTGTAGAAGAACAAGTCCGCCAACTCCCAATCGACCCAAACGACGACAGCACCAACGGTCCTTACCCTCATGTCTACCTGAACCATGAGCCTACCAGCAAAGCGCCAGATAAGACAATCTTCCAGAAGTTCGAGCAGAGGAACCGTCCTGGCGACGTAAACCTGCACGAAGTCCCTGTAAACTGTCGCATGGATTTGAACAAAAAGTCCGCCCCTTTCGCAAAAGTCCAGAGGCGCGAGGAAAGACCCCACGAGCCTCGTGACAGAGGACGCATCGTGCAGAATGAACTCAACACCCCTGGTCCTTTTCGAGGCGTTGTCACTGTTGATAGGCACACGGGCCAATCTCATGGTGTTGCTGGTGTTATGTATCATCCTCAAGGAAACAGGCTGGCTTTTCAGAGGGCACAGATGGAGCCGCTGGATCGTGAGGGGAGGCAGTATATGCGTCGGTTTGCGGATGATGCTGCTGACCCTCACCGTGTGACGACTTGGCCTCCAAGGGATGAAGACAGTGAAGATCTTACGACCTATGAGAATCGGTATAAACAGGTGAGGAAGACTCGACCGCCGCAGCAGACAAAGACTACTGGGAAGCAAAAGGTCCAAGGACAGTGAATCAATTCCCGGTGGGTTGATTTCTGGATATCGGCTTGGTGTAGATATCGCGTAGCATAATTGGCAATGTATTGGTTATTGGCTCTGGGACTCTTAAACTTAACCGTATTGCTGTGGCTTGATCCTATCAACTTTGAAAGGATAGCTTGCCCTCCATTACGACCAGATATGTCACTTTGTTGTTGTTTTTATACTCATACGGGGCCGCCTCTTAAACTATCTCAATCTTCTGAAAATCCACCTTCTGGGCGACCTCGCCATACATCACGCCATGTACATAAGCCTCCCCGACCAAAACCGACCCTTGCGCCCCCTTTCGCAGCACAAACGGCACATGCGCCCCAGCAATCAAGCTCACAACATCTCCAACTTCCGTCCGCGCTGGACCAAGTCCCAAATATCCCGTCTCCGTTACAAAAAGAACCCTATCAGTCCCGGCATCATCCACCGCAATCGCGAAGATATCTCCCTCCTCTGAATTAGGTTTATGCTTAGACAGAAGATCATGCTTAGCCTCAGAAGCAGAGTTCGATATGCGAGCTAGATAATTTGCAAAGTGATCGCTGCATGCATCAGGTGCAGGATGGGTGGTAAGCCAGATATTTGTCAGAAGGGTTCGCCACAGTGCCTCCGGGACGGTTGATGAGGGTTGAGGTGGATAAGCTATGTCGGCGAGACGAGTTCTCCCTGGATACCACGACCGCAGGGTCTTGTAGAATGCCTTCTCATCCTCTTTCTTCTTAGGCAGGGGAGCAAGCTTGGTGATTCTATCCAAGATGTGAGCGCTCACTGACAACGTTCTTCCGTTTCCAGAGAGGGAGTGCCCGCCCTGTACACTAGACGCTGCATGAAAGGCTCGCCAACTGTGATCATACAGAGCCCTACCCCGAGCCTTTTGAGCCTTCATCTCCTTCAAAAACAGTGGTTCAGTCGCAACGGCGCTCGCCATCTTCGGGACCCAGCTTGGATAACCCACTCCCTTCCCAGACCAATCTGGCTGGAGAGCATCGTCAAAGAGGTCTTCTTCCAGGGGCGCCCAATCTGGTTCCTTTTTAGGAAATCGCTTCTTTGCCTTATGTCTATCTAGCAGTTTGTTGCCGATTGGCTTCTTCGACTTGAACTGGTAAGACTCTCGTGGAAGAGGATGGTTGACCAAAGATAGGATGAGAAGACCCGCGTCACCATTGACAAGACGTTGCGCTATATCGAGGTAGAAGTCGCCCATGTTTCGGTTGCTATAGTCTGGTTTGAGAGGTGTCTGCCCCAGAGTCGCCGGGTCAGTTATACCGAGAAATGCCCAGACCTTGTCACGCGGATCGCCAGCCATCCTAGTCCCTCCGAGCATCGTCACATCAAGAAGATGAAGCTTGTGCGCAGACTTCTTCAGTTCAAAGATCGAAGGCTGAAAGGTAACCCAATAAGGTACCATTTTGGGCGACAGGTGATTCGCAACAAAGTAGGTCCAGTCCATCGCCTTCTTCAACTCTGACGCCGGAACTTCCTCGCCATTGTAATAGAAGGCGTATTCCTTGGCGAGGATGAACTCCTGGACAGTCCAAACTCGACTCCACCAACTTTCCGAGACCATCCGGAGGAGACTGAGCCATGATATAAGCTCTGATCCCGTCGAAGTTGCATCGAAGAATTCTTTTGCGGTTGTGTACTTCTTCCCGTGGAATTGGATATCGGCTCTGTTTGGGTCTTCTGGGAATGCCGGCCACGCTTTAAGAATACTCATTGCTGCTGTTCGTTCCGTATGCTTCCTACCGAGCCATATAAAGACCTTCTCAGCTGCACTGTAGATTTCATCCATGCGAGCTACTTGAACAGTCTTTTCAGCGGGATCATCTTGATTGATACACACAGCGTCAGTCCAGATAGGTCTGCCGTTGAGGTATTTGTGTAGGCCAATCAGGGCAGCGTGCAGATTGGCTTTGATGGGAGCCAGTTTGTTGTTAATCGCTATATCGACTGTATCAGCATGACTAAAGTGAGGAACCTCAAGCTCAGTCTTGCGAAAGTCACGACCGCGATTCCACATCGGTCCGAAATCGACCCAGACGTAAGAGAGGCAGACATAAGGCGGTATCTCGGATGCGGAATAAGTGTTCATAGTCAGAGAAAGGACGGACTCCTTGACGTCCACCTGGACTAGGCGTATTCCCTTTGTGTCTTTAAGAGGCGAGTGAACCAACTTCTCTGTCGGCAACTCCTATTTGAAGTTCAATTGACCGCGATCTTAGGACCAGGATGTAATGCCTTACTGGAGCTTTGCTAGATGATCCTTGAAGACTCGAAAAGAAACCACTTAATCTCTCTTGACCGGACTGAAAGGCTGCTTTGTAGCCTGCTTTAACCCCCTCAGCTGTTGAGTAATCCACTGCCCATTTGGCCAGCGCTACGAAAGCATCGCTGCTGTTGTCAGCTTTGAACTTGGGGTCGCGAGGGATCCGAGCTTCAAATGGTATATCCATGTTAAGTTGAGAAGGATCAAGGTAATTGAGGCTCTGTCGAGTAAGTTTGTGAAAGATGATCATTCCTAGGAGGCATTGAATCTCACGGCTTACTCTCTGGTGATCTCCTCAGCTGTGACGTAATTGTGCTTCCTTCACTTGAGCGAATGGGGGCGATGAGTGTTGTTTCACAAATGATTTCATTTTTATCCGTTGCCAACATTTTCATTGCATCTTTTGATAGGTAGGTAGTGACAAGACAAATGAAAGCTGTACATTGGCTTATACTCTTGTCTCAACTGTTGCCAAGATCTATCGGGCCGTCGGTGCAGGTATAGAGCTTAAGTTACTTACTCGTGGGGCCTGTAGCGGCGCAGTACCACTAAAGATGAACCCTGAATACCCGTCCCAATCCTCAGAACTTAACCTGGAGTGATAATGGATTCCACTCCAACTTCAGCCCGTCCATCTAATTTTTATTCGCCCATAGAGATAATGGAAGTCTTCAGGCTAGATTAAGATCGTAACCAGGTTCGTTACCTTTTTGCCCACAATATAGAATTTTCATAACATCCTTAGAATGAGAACTAGTTCCCGACCATGTCAAGTTCCGCTCATGGCTTCGGTGTTCTCAATAAGTAAAGCTTCAAGATAAGCTTCTGACGGACTAGACTCACGTGTCACAACTGTCGCTCCAACGGTCAGTGTAACCATCAACGGGAAAGTCCATAAGTTCAAGATACCCTCATGTTTTATCCACGTTCCAAGATACGTCCTCAGTTCTGGCTAAACATGTCATCTTATCTCCGCAATACTAGACCCAGTTCATAACCTTGTCTCAGCCAATGACATCTCCACGTGCGCTCCAATTAAACCGTGTAATTTCCAACCTCACAACCATCCTCCATCAACTAAACCACCTTCCTCATCAGTATATATAATGACGACGCTCTCCTGGTTCCGCTGCAGAGGGAGACTGCTCGCTCTCACAGCAGTTTTCTCCTTCGGTACTTTTTTCGTTTTGAGACAATACGCGGATATGGCGTCACTACCAAAAAGCTCGTTACTTGGCCTCCTTGCGGCTGCGCCGGTACTGGGAAACGACCCTAATATGAAGTGGTATCCTCCGAGTTCTAGTCAGGTTAATGATCTTGATAAGGTGTTGGATGGGAAGGGCACTTGGGGGTTTATTTATGAGTCGTCGCATACCCCGGATGATAAGTATGGGACGTATAATTGGTGTAACATGCCTCATGCGAGGAAGAGGGAGTATAAGAAAGCTCCGAAGGATTATGAGCTGCAGTATGTTGAAGTGGTAAGTAACTTCTTCAGTGGGGAAGGTATGCTGTGACTGACGTTCACCAGATTCAAAGACATCACAAGCGTACTCCTTACGCTGCAAACGCATTTCCCGTGGAGCCATACCAATGGAACTGCGATAACCAAGGCCTATACTATTTCGGCCGCCAATTCACTGAATCCCCCAAACCCAACGCCCAAGGCTATTGGAAAGGCTTCACCTCCGAAATCAACCCCTTCATCCCTTCCGGATGGATCGGATCCTGCCAATTTCCTCAAATCACAGCTGAAGGTCTCGATGATTCTTGGGTCCATGGAAAGGATCTCTATGAAGTCTACCACGATCTTTTGAAATTCATTCCAGGCCGCAAGGAAGATTGGCGTAGTAAAGTCATGTTCAGAGTTACCAACAACCAGATTACGAGTCAGGTTGCTGGTATGTTCATCAACGGCATGTATCAGACCACCGAATCCGTCCCGCTGCTTATCCAACAAGCGGGCGTGGATAGTCTTGAGCCGCAGTACAAGTGCAGCGTTGGAAGCCAGTTGACGAGCGCTATCAAATCTTCTTCTAACAAGAACTGGCAAGCGCATCTTGATAGGACAAAGGATCTTTACAAAACGCTCGACGACATCTCTGGTGTGCCATCTAACGATGTTGGTTTCCATGAGAGCTTCGATCACTACTACGATAACCTTTCCGCTCGCCAATGCCACAAGAAACCTTTCCCATGCAAACTAGTCAACAGGAAGAACTCAACTACCTGCGTTGACCAAACACTCGCTGACAAGGTCTATCGTCTCGGTCAATGGGAATATTCCCAAATGTATCGCGACGCACCCGAGTCCCTTGCCGCATCTGCTACTTCGTGGGGCGTCTGGATCGCCGAGCTAGCGAGCCACTTCCGCGCCGTCATAGCCGGCAAGCAAGATCTCTTGTATCTTCACAACTTTGCGCACGATGGCTCTATCAGTCGATTGTTGAGTATTCTTCAGATCGATGTGATGGTTTGGCCGGGTATGGGAAGTGAAGTTGTTTTTGAGCTGTACAAGAAGGAGGAGTACTTTGTGAGGGTTCTTTGGAGTGGCAAGACGTTGAAGTCTTCGCATCCGGATCTGGGCAAGATGGAAATGGTGCCAGTGAGGACTCTTCTGAAGTATTTTGATGGGCTGACAGGGAAGGATGCTAGTCTTGTCAAGGGACGATGCTCCGGGGATGTTCCTCTGTGAATTGCCACCTGTGGTTTACTTGATGTTAGAGTTTAATATCATTGGCCAGCTTACATAGATACGTTGCTAGGCAGACAGTTACACGGGTATTCTGAATAACAAAAACATCCGACAAGGTGGTACAGCTTTCAACAATTGGTTGCTAGTTTCCAAACACAGTCTAGCAGCCTGCTGTAGGCCTTGCTGGGCCAATCAAAGCTTAATATTCCTTTAACCAAACTTTTAACCACTCACGTTCTTATCAACCCATGCTTTAACTTACAGTCACCTCTCTGCCTCTCTCTAAACCGCAAGACATACTCCAAGTCTAGCCTATTCTTCAGATTCACCTCCTAGCTCTCAGATCATGCCATCAGCCTAACGAAGCCGAAAATGCCTTACTGTCCTCCTTGCGACAGGCACTTCCGCCTAGAGAACTCCCTAGACCAACACATCCGAGCCGTACACTCTCACACCTACTGTTGGCGCTGTGAAAGACACTTCGCCCACGGACGTGCAAAGCAGCAGCACCTTGAGGACTCTGCACGACATTATATTTGTACTCAGTGCTATCATGAGCCCGACTTCGATTCACAAGATGATCTGACGGATCATCTGATAGAAGAACACCATGCTTGTCTTTCATGCGACGAATACTTTTCCGACGAGGAAGACCTTCTGGAGCATGATGTGGATGTTCATGATAAATGCCGAACCTGCGGTCGGTTCTTCAGCTCGCGATCGAACCTGATCAACGTTAGTTCTTCTCAACTATTGTCTTATCATTCTCATCTCATACTGAAACTTTCATAGCACCGCAAGGTTCATGCCGCGAGAAACGTTGAATGTCTTGGATGTTCAAGGATGTTCATTTCTTATTCAGCCATGATGCTCCATCTCGAGGCCAACACTTGCGAGACGGGGTCTGACGAACATGACATTAGACAGTTAGTCTGGGACTACTACGAGATCTATAGACCCTGGAATCGTGATCATGACGATGACCTTGGTTGTGATAGCTGCGCAGCGTATTTCAACAAACTGAGCGCGTTGCTGCAGCACGTCGAAAGTGAGAGCTGTTGCGAACATATCTCGAACTACGACGGACTTTTCGAGTATATACGGCGATGCATTTAGTACGGCGCACGTTGTCTTATTACGGTACGCGATTGTGCTTTATCTTGACGCCCATAGTTGCCTGTTAGTCTGCCGAAATGGCAGGACTGTATCACTGCCAGACAGGATGGATTTCTGACATCGTCTATCAAGCTATGTATAGTAGCGACTCGATATCACCAAATCCCATCGGCCTTCTTCCACATGGGGAGAGAGACAGCTGTGCCGAGTAGTCTCGAATTACAATGTCCTTCTGGAGTATATCCGGCAAAGCTTTCGTCATGTTTACTTCGTTCTAGGAGCTATTAGTCTTTCGGCTGATGGAGGATAATGAAACTCTGGGCATTTGATAAATAAAACCTCATATCTCAGGGCATCTGATCCCGTGATAGTGTACGAATATCTCAGTCCTTTTTCGACTATGCGGTAGTCGAGCTTGAAGTGACTTTCTTCACTGTAAACTAAGACCTGTCCAGTCAAAGACTTTGACCAAATCCTTCCATGACCCTACGAGTGAATTTCAGCAAGTCTGACGCCACCACCAGGCTTTCAAGAAGCAGATACGCGTTGCAAGCCATAAAAGGTAGACGATCCACGACTCGTCCTTTTATTTCTTGTCACTTCTTTAAACCTCAGCGTAATACGCATAACAAACATCATCGCTTCTCCCCCCGAACGGATGTTGTCTCCGTATGAACCTGTCCAATGGGAAGGGAAATATACCCAACCACGCCCTGAACACCCAGCTCGTGACGCCTTACAAATCATCAAGGACGCCCTGAAAAGTGATGGGGATGAAATCATAAAAGCTGTCAAACAGGACAAGGCCTTGAAGGGCGGTCCCGCAAGGTGCACTTCTACTTAGTTAGGCACTGGGTAAGCGGTGAGCCTTATTACAAGAGGTGCGACATAGCGTTTGAGGACCATGAGGATCTAGCATTACATAAGTCCCACTGGCACTGGGAGGAGATGATATGCAAGGTCTGCGACATGGGCTTCACGACTAAAAAGATGCAAAACGTAGTAAGTTCTTGTTTCTCTAGGTTAATGTTAGATAGTCTACTGATACGACGCTCCGTAGTATTTACACAACTGGCCCAGGTGGGACCATAACATAATCAGGTGCATAGGTTACGTGAAAAGTTTCGCTACGCACTCGCAAATAATGCAGCATCTTAAGGATGAAGAGTGCTGGTCAGGCTTGACATCTGCCATGCTCAATGCTATCTTATCCTTGTACTGCCGCGCGTTAGATCACTTTTCCAAGCACAACATCAACAAGAAGTGCCCTACATGCCATGAGGAGTTCAGCAAGATATCCTCCATATTCAGCCACTTCGAAGACCGGGCGTACTCTTTGAGGGACTGGCAGAACGAAACACGACTGGTCAACTTCCTCAACTTTGCAAAAAAAAGCGAGGCATGAGATTGAAGATTTAGTGCCGCGCTGCCGTGGCTGCGCACGTAATTTCAGTTCACACCATGCTCTCAATACCCACTTACACGAGAAGCACCAGGATACTTTCTGCTGGAGCTGTATAACGCACATTGATAATTGGGAGGTCAGACAGGTCCATATTCTGGAGGAGACCTGGATACCAGGCAGAATATATGTGTGCGACTATTGTCAAGAGGTCTTCGAAACGGAACTGGCTTACAACGATCACGCTCGGGATAGCCACACAGCCTGCTGACCTTGTCGACTCGTGTTCAAAACAAAGGAGGAGTTGGCAGAGCATGAATATGTTGATAACAAGGCATGCCCTTTCTGCTTCGAGTTTTACAGACCTCTCAAATCTCCATGCGGTGAGTATATTCTGTTGATCACTATATGACGTCGCTAAACAAGCCTTCCAGCATCGCCTAGTTTGTGAGGCCAAGACGGGTCTGGTAGCGGACATAGTGAAAGAGAAAGAGGAAGATGATGAAGAAGTCCCTTTACTAGTGGCAGTGGATCGGATCATAGCAGGTCTGTCATTAGTCACCCTCGAGGTAGATTTGCCTGGACCTGGATCCTTGTGAAATCCTACTCATAATCGGCGTTTGATGAGCGCTTCCCTGTAGCGGTTCGAGAGTGGGAGCTACCGGCTACCGCACAATGCTCTCAAGCAGTGAGTGATTAATTCTTCTGTCATCTATAGAACTTTGTCAGGATAGCTGAAATTTACACAATGATTTACACTTGATTACATGTGCAGGGGGACGAAACTTTTGCCGAATGAGTTCATATCCAAGAGTCCAGAAAGTTCTTGGGCGGGGCCGGAGGTTCGTTCCAGGGAAGGGCAGTACCCCGCCCCGCCTGACGCGCCCTGGAACAAATTGCTTTTTGGGGGCCCAGCCCAACCAAGCCCTGAAACTCAATGGACAAGACGCGTTTGTTGTGTCCCTCTACTCGCCATATTGTTATAACACTCTGGTGATACCGGAGTAAGCTGATGAGAAACGCGGCTCTCTACATCTTGAATTTTTTTAACTCCCGATTTCCAGCTCTTGCAAGTCTTCTGAGTGCAATGGCGCGCGCACACCCCCGTGTCAAGGTTGAGGACCCGGCCGCCTATCGCGTAGCCCACAAGCAGCTTTTCAGCTACAGTGCGCCCGGCACTGCTGCTCAACATCACCAACACCCAAACGACCTCAACTCTTCTGAACCCAATGGTCATATTCCGCGAGAATTCCAATTTTCAGACCATGGAGAAGACGCTTCTGGTGCCATTGGGGCCCAGAACATCGAGCGCACCTTTGCAATGGTGGAAGAACAAATGTTCATGCTCACAGCATGCTGGACTCTTCACTGCATGCCTTGTCGAATCCTCTTCAAAGACGCCAAGGAGCAAGCAGCGCATAACTCCAAATGGCATTGGGATAACTTCCTATGTTTCGCGTGCGACATAGGATTTGAGACTGCCAAAGATCTCAAAGAGGTCAGTCATAGTCGTCCATCGTTCAACTTGATGAGTAACCCGATTTCTGTTCCAGCACTTATATTCGCATGATCCGCATCCAATTCAGTGCCCAGCATGCGACCACAGATGCATCTCATACTCTCAGATGATATATCATCTTGAGGGAAACCGATGCAAGTCACGCTTCAATTCCGCGTTCTTCGCAAGAGCACTATCCAAGCACTGTCACACAAACGGTCAGACTGGGCTGAACACGACTTGTCCAGGTTGCGACGTCGATTGAGACTCTGTCCCTTCTCTTCCGCCACATGGAATCGAGACTCTGCGTCTTGAGGAACTGGCAACAAGCAACAGGCCTGATGCATCTTCTCTTCACTTTGAAGCAAGAAATCGACGTGGCCAACAGGACTTGCGACATGTGCAAAAGACTGTTTGACTCTGAAGCTAGTCTTTTCGATCACTTGCGACATCAGCATGAGAATACCGTTTGCCGATCATGTGATAGGGTCTTTCGCGACTCGGAGGAATGGCATAAACATATCATCTCACGCACGCCGATCAAAGTTCGGGCTTCCGTCTGCGCCATTTGTGAGCCCTCGATTGCTTTTGACATGGAAAAGAATTACAATGATCATATGTGGCACTTTCACAACAAGTGCAAGCCCTGTGGACTGAACTTTGACAATAAGCAGGACCGGTTGGTTCACGGGGCTGTGGTTCATCATAGATGCCCTGACTGTTTCCAGTTCTTCATGAGTCCGAACGACCTTTGCAAGGTGAGTATTCGACGCTCCGGTTTGAATCTTCTAACATAATTGGCAGCACTACAAGGAGTTTCACGGGATCAACCCTCTTACTATGGCCAAACCAACCTTGCCAACGGTACCCGTGAAGAAAGAGTTTCCAACGGTCACTCCTCCAACAGCTCCTCCTATTCCGACCGCCGTTACCCAAGTTAAATCGGAGGTAAGCCCAGAAACTCCTGTGGAAATAACTGCTTCTCCAAAGGAGGTCAAACCTTGTGTGAAAAACCAGGGCCGTCGGATAAAGTGTGCGACAGCTCAAGCGTCGGTTGTATTTGAGACATATCCGCCGAGAAGCGCTGTAGCAAAGGCCATTCCCAAGAAGAAGAAGATCGGTACGAGTCAAAGTTTGATTACCAGTTTTTTCGGTTCCAAGGCACGAGCGGCTGGTTTGTAAGAAGAGCTGGGAAAGGGGTTAGCTAGGATAGTTGGAAACGATAGCAGTTGGTAAAGAGACTTAAATTCCGAGCGCTTTTGATGATCTTGACCCAACTCCTACAATCACGGGTCTCCTAATGCATTGCCTAAGCTCTGACACCAATAAAGAATGCATAGAGATCTCTGCGGGGTTAAGAGAAGCGCGATCTGATAAATGTTGCCTGAGGTATCGGTTGATTGTCTTGTTGACAATTGTATTGCGCAAGGCAGGAGCACCCAACCCAACCACAGACTACCATCACAAACATCCCCAACAGAAAAAAAACCTCCATTTATTTGCAGCGCTCACAAAAGGATCGCTGATCTCCGCGCAAACTCCATCTTCTCCCTGTGACACTCAAACAACGCCTGCCGAAACCACTGAGGCTACAACTGCATCACCTCCTGCCATAATGGGGCGTGCGCGCAAGCGCCCCAAGCTCGAAGAGGGAGAGGTTTCATCTTCTGATGATGATTACATTATCGTCGACGCGCGCGTCAAGAAAGGGCGCGAGTCTCCCAAAGTTATCCTTGATCATCGCCGTCATCTCTCAACTTCAAAACCAAACACGGCCTCTCATCCCTTCTGCAGCGAATGTTGCAGATATTTCCAAAGCGATGCGGAAAAAGAGCGACACTACTCCAAATGGCATTGCGGCAACCTATGCCACGCATGCGATGAAGGGTTCCCGACAAAGTCAGAGCTACACCAAGTGAGTTCATTCTCCTGGACAGGTAGTCTTTCTGATCTGACCGATCTTCTTAGCATAAAGCTAGCCATGCTAACACCCCGATCTGCTGCGTCGGCTGCGAGAAACGATTCAAATGTTATTCAGCAATGATGGATCACCTTGAGCACGGCTCATGCGAATCAGCTTGCAATCGTCTACTCGTCCAAAGCGCCGTAGGGATCTACTGCAAGGGCTTTCAACAATCGTCATGTCGGAATATCGACCTGCAATGCCCAACTTGTGACAAGAAATTCGCTCGCATGGGTACGCTCCTGAAACATTTCGAAAACAGATCATGCACTTTACGAAACTGGATCGAAGAATCAGGCTGGATAGACTTCCTCGCCGCTCTCAAACGATCCATAGCGGAGAAAAAGCCGTCTACTTTCCAGTGCAATATCTGCCGAAAGAAATTCGACCAAGAAGTTGCGCTTGGCATGCATCAGAGAGAGAAACATGACAACACATACTGCTGTGCTTGTGAGACATACTTTGCCAACCCAGCCAAGAAGCAGAAACACATCATCTCTATCTCTGGCACTTCTGGGAAGCCTGGGACGTTTTTCTGCGACCTGTGTGATCCAAAAGTACGTTTGGGAACGGAAAAGGAGCTGTGTGACCACTTGTGGCTTGACCACATGGTGTGTGGTCCTTGTGGGCAGGTGTTTGAGACCGCTGAGCTTAAGAAAAAGCACGATGCGAAGGCTCACAATAGGTGTACTGTTTGTTACCGGTTCTTCGTGTCGATTGCGGAACTCAAACAGGTGAGTACTCTGGTCTTTATACTACTGCCAACGTTTGCTAATTGGTTTCATAGCACCGTGAGACCCATAAAGTCGAGCCCCGTGTCATCGAGCCCCCTGTTGTCGAACCCTCTATTATCGAACCATCTATTGTACATCCACTACCAGTAAAACCAGAGCCGATTCCCAGCCTTCAGCGCGCATCTAAACAACTATACCGGTGAAGATGGAAATTCTCAAGGCGTTGCATATTGAGAGGGTACTATTGACAGAATGAGTACCCATGAAAACAAAAACTATCCCTGCGAGAAGAGTTACACCGACGAGATGTTCCAGAAACATCCGCCCAGACCAGCCCCTGCGCCTGCGCCTGAGAATAGTAAGACTCAGTCGCTGATCACAGGCCTTTTAAGTCGCAAGTTATAGGAAGGTGGAGCAAACGATAGGGAGGTCATGATGCGAAGTGAAGCGTTATATTGAAGGAGGATTTAGAACATATTGAGGTCTCAAGTTCGGAGCATCACTCATATCTCATGTATGACAGAGCATTCAATACACATTACTACAAAGGTTAATCGTCAGTTTCGTTAGCTAATGATTAGGCTCACGCCACATCAAAGAACTGCATATGATATGATATGCGGGGGATGCAGGCCAGCACGTGATCCAAGAGCCACTTATCATGTTTTCTGTTGGTTCACTCGTTCCCAAACTCACCAACAACATGAGTAACTTTCAATTCGAGTATGAACCATCAGCTGAAGACTTCTGCGTCTCAAAACAAGCCTACCTAGCCGCTCACCCCGAAGCCCAGTTTGGCTACCTCGCAACAAGTGCTCTCGTTCTAGACACAAGCATCGTTTCTGAACCGCGCATCCTCCTGCTTCAGCGCGCCGCAAGCGATGACGACCCCAACATGTGGGAGCCTCCTGGTGGTGCATGCGATGATGGCGATGAGAGTGTTCTGAGCGCTGCTGCGCGGGAGCTTAGGGAGGAGGCGGGACTTGAGGCGAAGTGGATTGGGGGCCCTGTTGGTGAACCGCATTTCTTTACCCTTGATGATGGGAAGAGAGTCTGCCAGTTCAATTTCCTGGTCAAGGTGGATCTGAGCTCTCAAGACGTGAAGTTATCCCCTAATGAACATCAGCGATTTGTTTGGGCTTCGGAAAGTGACGTTAGGGAGAGGAAGGCGGGTGATATCGAGCTGGACTTTACGAGGGATGAGGTTCAACAAACAGTACTTGCAGCATTTCAGTACGCAAAGGATAAAAATCAGAGATAATATCGGAAATAAAACTAGCGTATTCTTACTACACGAGACTGAAAACCTCCTGTTTGACTTCGCCTCGAGCCAAAATATCCATCGCCTCACCTTTCATCAACCCATGAACATAGCACTCACCCACCAGTAGATACCTCTCCCCAACGCGGCGCAAGCAAAATGGAACTTTACAGCCGAATAGAATACAAACTATGTCGCCGGCTTCCAACACTGATGGCCCTAATACATAATATCCCTTCTTACTTCGTGCAAATACTCGTCCATCTGACGCAGAAGTTGCCCATCGACTCCATTTATCGTGCTCCTTTTCATTCTGTATGTTTTCTGCTTCTTTCAAAATATCATCTGATACTGCAAAACTACCGAACGCTTCCGCTATGAACTTTGCTGCCATTTGCAACCATACCTGTTTTGGGACAGAATCATATTGTTTGCATTCGTGGCCTGTTGCTTGAACACACCCGTTGCTGAGCGTCTGCATCAGCGCAAAGAAAGCAGAATGTCCATTCCAGTACTTGTCAACAAGGTTGAAGCTTGTATTTCGGCATATATCCCGCCAGAGGTGTTCTACCAGGCTGGCCTTTCCATAAAAGTCGCTCGAAAGCATTGGCCTGGAACATTGCTCAATAGTATCAATACTGATGCCATGTATCTGTAGAATCCTGTCATTCTCGAGGAGTTTCATCTTGACGGTAGAGTTACCATGAGCTCGGTGGGGACATATTGGCTCAGCTAGGATGATTCCCTCCGACCATCTCCAGTCGGGAACCCATGAAGGCAGCTTCATACTTTTTACATCATCGTGACGAGAAGGTAGACTGTTCTTAGGATGCTGCACCGCCGAAAGAGTAATGCACGCCGCCTCCGGGCGATCTCGCAGTATCCTTACAGCGATGTTGATGTAAGTCTCTTCAACAGACAGTGTATAGTCTGCCACGATTGATATCGGCCCACAGCCTAGAGGTGGAAGCGACCGAGTTGAGAAGTGACTCAGAAAAGCAAACACCCGATCCCTCTGATCAGTGAACTGCAAGTGGCGGGATCGTTGTAGCTCGTATATGAAGTTGTATCGATTGGCGTGGTGCGTTGTCTTGTCGGGTGGTATAAATCGTCGGTGGAGGAATGATATATCCGAAGTAGTGATGCCGAGTGTGCTGCGGAGTTGATGATAGCCTTTGAGCTTCTGACATACGCTGGCTATAGTATTCCAGTCGATGCTGTGATTGCCCCAGATCATGGTGGCTGGAGTTTCTGTTCCAATCTCTTGTACAACCCAACCTCTCTTAAACTAAAGGAACTGTCAACAATCATCCTCCCCAACGTCGTGGTCTAGTATCACTTACCCATGGACGGCTTGTTAAAGCCTGCAGTACCTTATCATGCTGCCGTATTTGCCTCTCCAGGTTCTTTGTTATGAAGTGATGGGGTTGCGAGTCATCAGCGCTCAGAGCTTCATCAAGCTTATGAATCAAATCGAAAGCCGACTCTGCTTCCTTGTTGGTGTCTAAGCCAAGCCATACCCGGATCCTAGTCGCGTTTTCATAAATCCTGCCCATTGAATGGACTTGATTACTTCTCTCGTCAAGATCATCTTGATTGATGCAGCATTGATCAGCCCAAACTCGCCTCTTCTGATCCGGAAGTCGCATCTGGAGCAATGCTGCAAAGATGGAACCTCCTCTAAGTGGCAGCAGAGCATCCTGGTTATTTTCACGAATGATGATCTCATGTGGTCTGTCAGATGGACCTGGATCTGCCCAGACGTATGACAGTGCTTCGTAGTCTTTGAGAGTATTGACGTGAGCTTCTTCCAAAGTTCCCCGCAGTGGACTTTCAGATTGACCAGGCTCTAAAGAGAGGATCCGGACTGTACCAAGGCTTCTTAGAGGGGGGTACTGGTAATGGGGTAGAGCGGCTGAAGAGGACAGGGTTGTTTCGACTGTAGGCTTGCCAGAGCAAATGATTCCTCTCTGTTGGTCCATAGTGGAGTAATGTGATAAGACAAACCAACAGCCAAGCTAGTGCCATGGATTCGGGTCCAGGAGCATATTTAGCTTCCTAAACGAAATACACCCGCCCAGCCCACTACATCATCACCCTTGTCGGTATGACAATGTTTCTGCCTGATATGCATTCTGCAGAGACCTCTGTTTAGAACTTGATACGTAGAATTTCTGGTCATGTATGAGGCATTTACCGCTCGATGCCAAGCTGCGTGCTACCGCCGTGTGTGACATAAGCGCTGGCCTCCCGCGCTTTCAGCCGCATTTCAACCTCAATAGGAACACACAAGATGACTGTAGCACCCAGGAGTGCAACATGATATCCAATCAGATAAAGCTGAAGGATTCATCTAGGATTAGTGGTGTACTGTAATTTAAGGCTGCGCGTTTAGAAAGTTGGGGGCCGTTGAGGAAAAAGCCCGAGAGCCGAGCCTCGTTTTATTATCCCGACCTCTAGGCTTTGCAGAGGTATAAAGAGGCTGATCACTTGGTGATAAACGTTCTTGTTCATTCTAAAAATCCCATCATTCTCATATTTCTGATCTCTCTGCGAAACAAATTATCTCTCACATTCTTATCATCGCGCCAGCTTTCTCCATCATGAGCGGCTATCATGGCTATGGTTCATACAACCAGGATGACTCGGATGACCAGCAAGACGCCTATAGCCACACTAGCTCAGATGAGCAAGGTGGCTTAGCAAACCCTTATGGCCAAGACGGCCACGATGAGGATTCCAGCAACCACAACGCTGCATATCTCCAGAAAGTTGAAGAATGCCTTGCATACTACGGTGATCCCGACACACAAGCAGCATACCAAAACGTTGCGCACGAAGCTAGGGATACACTACAGGATCTTCTTAGAGAGACTGGCACCAAAGGAGTAGTGACTTGCAGAACCAAAGCTTATGACTCGCTCGAGACTAAGCTCAGGGGCATGGCGAGTGACGCCGATTTCACTCACTTCGCGCTAAACAACGACATCTTTCAACACAGTGATATGGGTGACCTTGCTGCTGTTCGGATCGGCTTATACCTACCGCAAGATGTAATCAACACGGCAAAGGAGTGCCAGCAGCGGTTCCCCGTCGCGCATCTCTTTGGGACCGTTGGCAGCGGGAGAGATGCTCCACAGGTAGATAGATTTAATCTCGAGGGTCATTCAAGAGGGCCATGGCGGTCGCAGGATCAATATGGGTCTGACGAGTACTGGCAACATTCAGGATACAAGTCTTGGCAGATGGTTGTCGAGTGGGAGGGAGGACTACGAGTCGAGATACAGATTGGAACGGTTGTCTCACAAGCCTGGGCTGAAGTTCAGCACAACATCATTTACAAGAGGCCAGACGACATCATGTCGACTCCAACCATGAAACGGATGATCGATGCAATCAATGGTTTGGCCATCACCACGGAGATCATTCTCAGTGAACTCGAACGAAACGTCGAGACAGCAAAGCAAGAGGAAAGACTGCGACGCGACACAGAGAAACAATACGACAGCCAACCCATCACAGAGATCGACGACTTCTTTTCATGGTTCGAAGTAGCGTATTGGTACAAGATGCCTCAAGCCTTGGCTCTGCGCTGGGAACCTGATGCCATCTCTGTTCAGCGGCTTGTTGAGTTTTGCTCGAATCCCCGAAGACGATGGGGTCTTGCTCCTGAGATGGGTTCCTACCGTGGTATGGATTTCAAGAGGATGATTGAGGATAATAACTTGTTGCAGACTAATCCTTTGAGCAATGATAGGTGTGATATCGCTTATCTGCTGTTGTGTCAGATCATGGATGATCTTGGGATTCGGGAGGAGTTTGATGCCAAGGAGGAGGAGAGTCGGTACTGGGATTCTGTGCCTCATCAGCCTGGTTGGAGTCGTTGAAACAGATGTACTTCTGCTTGGTGATACGTTTTCCTACTATAAATGTCTGTATTGAAACCCCCGTTGGACCTTGATTTATCATACCGCTCAGCGCCCAGATATGGCGATATCTGGACATCTCGCAGATTTTATCAGGAACTCACGACAGGAGAATAATGAAACTGTATCAAGGTATATTTACACCTCGTATGCAAAGTAGCAAAAGGTATCTCGAGAATGTGTCCCGCTTACCTCAGTGCACTGCGTCCATTGATGGGGCAGTGCTGCTCTGAGATGGTCAGCGAACGCTCAGCCTATTTCAGAGTGCCAAGTGACCTTGAGGTGAACTAAGGAGTATGCATAAAACCTCGTTCCTGACTAGCAGGCTCGTAGAGTAAATTGATCGCCCTAATCATGCATAGCCTCAACGTTTTTCGGTGATAACAGACCCGTAGAAACCGATACGAGGCGCTGTACTCGATGACATGCCGCCAAGGCACACTATCGGCACATGGCGTTCGCACTTTTGGACAGAAGGGTCTCACAGCCTCAAATCAGTAGTGGGTGTATTTCAGCTGACAGGACTGTACCAACCATACACATATAGTTAAGTATGTACCAATCTCCAAGTAGGGACGTGGCCCCCAAAAGTCTGCCACATTTTATATAGTAGCCCCCAAGAGGCTTTCCCACCTATGTCATACTTATTGGCTGGACAGGCAGAAGTGCATTTCAACTGTGTTGGTGGATTTCTAATATGGCTGTCAGACTTGAGCTTGGGCAGAGGGAGCCCGTTATGCCTTGCACCGCCATCGACATTGTAGAATAAACTGAGAGTGGCGAAAAGGGAGATGACTTCCACAGCCTGATTTCTGTTTCGTTTTATTTAAACCGTACTTTATCTGCATGGGGTCCAGGTTTTCTATTGTAATTAGTATCCCAACCCCATTATCTTCTTGTCCCTCGTTCAATACACTTTATCGGCTCCATAAACAACAGCCGTTAAACTCTCGTTGATATCAAACTATATCTGTTCCTTTATAATGGCGATTTACTCCCATTTTCCTGGACAACAGGCCCGCCAGCGAAAGGAGAAACAAAGCTCGCCCAAACTCCTATTCGTTGCGTTTGATGGTACGGAAATTGGCTCAACTAAGGCTCCCAAAAGCACAATAATGACTAACTCCGAACAGGGACGTGGCACGGTAGCGTCAAAAGCTCAAAGGAGACTGTGGTTTCCAGCCTACCCGATCTCATCTCGAAGGGCGAGCACATTCGGAAGATTCGTGTCAACGGAGTAGGCACTGATGGTTTGACAGACAAGATTCTCGGTGGTACGTCTTAATACCAGGTTGCCTCTTGCTCTTTCATATTCTTATTTACCTGTTGAAGGTCTTGGTGGTTGGGGTACACGTCGGAATGTCATCACAGCCTATAGTAAGCTTCCGAGTTTTAGCCATGGGACAGTTCCGTGAGATAGGCTCACATTTTCTAGGGAACATCGCCGATGATTACAACAAAGGTGATAGGATCATCTTTTGTGGCTACTCTCGAGGTAAATTGGCTTACTCCTTTCTTCCGGGTTTAGATGTTGACTGATAATCATGTTTAGGGGCATGGGCGGCTCGTTATCTTGCAATGATAATTGACTGTCTAGGTCTTGTTCGCGATGGCGACACGGAGTTCTTCAAGCGCTTGTATGACGTATGTAAGAAAGATCCATATCTTGCCGAGGCCAACAAGGATGAGTTACGACTCAATTACAACTGTAAGTATTAGCTCCTTCCCTTTCACAGTGGCTGTTGACAAGTTCAAGTTTGGGATGACATTCAAATCGATGCACTTTGCTGTTTTGATACTGTTGGTTCGCTGGGCATCCCACTGTTTGGTATTGCAAAGCCACTATCCTATCTTCACCGAAGCAAGTATAAAACCAAGGTCATAGACCATGTTCGAAATAGTAAGTTCTGCATAATTTGACTCAATACCGGATACTACTGAGGCTTAATGCAGATGTGAAATATTCCTTCCATGCTCTGGCGCTACACGAGACTAGAAGTCCTTATAGTCCAACTTACATGTGCGGACACAACGTCCACCAGGTCTTCTTCCTAGGCGATCATGGTAACATGGGTAAGCTTGGACAACAAGAAGGCCTTGTGCATGCCCCTCTCGCTTGGATGGTTCAACAACTATCTTCCCACCTGAGTGTTTCCTTCGATGAAGATAAACTCAAAAAGCGCTTCCCAAGCTACACCTCTGAACGGCAAACTGAGGCGATGTCTCGACAAGCTACCCATGACACCACTCACGAAGCCATGATGAAGCATGCCTGGTGCTGCCCGAGCGGTTCTATCCCTGGAGCCGGAGCCGGCAGGCTAGTCATCATGGGTAGAAAAGATCGGAACCCAGGAATGGTTCTCAACTACTGCGACACCGATTGTACTGATTCCAGTACAGGCGAATCAGCTCAGCATGAAACTACTTCAGCTCATGCCCAGATACATATTGGCGCTCGTGGAAGACAAGAATGTGGCTTTACCGATGCAGTGCCAGGGTATGTTGGCGTTCAGCCTATGGATCCGAAGCAAGTGTTTTTCTGGAAGAGAAAAGCGACGGATGAGCTGGAAGTTGAGTCTGCGGATATCATTCAGGAGGCAAAGGTTGGATACTTGGAGGCGAGGCTCTTGGGACTTCCTGCGGCGGCAGCTAGTCATCCGGAATGCTGTGGCCTGAACCAGATACGAGAAGAGGATGTTGATGCTGAAGTCTCAGCTGAGAATGAAGATACATGGGACTCAAATTTGAAGCAAGGTACGCGGGTTAGGGTCAAGAACTGGTTTGAAAGACGATTAGGTGTTGGCTTGATACGTCTAACTGCGATATGGTAACATGATGTTCATATTTGCACAAGGTGGCTTTGTATTAGTGTTTATTATATAGCCGGCAGAGTACTCAAGATCTACAAATACTCGACCAGTAGTCGCGCCAAAGTATTAAGTATTAAAATCCCCGAGCCAACAGAGGACATGATGAGTAGACAAACAAATTGCAATTTACATAAAACCATTATTGATTTACCTGTAGCTAGAGTTCGTAACGGCCCAGTGACCTACCCTGAACCTAAGCAGTCACCATCACAACGACGATTACGATCTTGACATAGGTAAGCTAGAGGTAGAGGAAGCAATGGTAACGTCATGTGCAGGGACTTTGGATAGGAATGGTAAACATAGTAAATATGATAATAAATTTTGGATTTATGCCGATGGCTTCGAATATGATTCGCAAAGGTTCAAATGTACTATAGATTTAGAGTTTCCGTCGGTGGCCAATCACATTTTACGCTTTTAACTTCATCCGATTCCTTTAATTGCTTTTGATACCCAGCCCCTTAGAAGCATCGCGTTATCTCAATTGACCTCGTCAACAACTTTCTCTCATCATCAAACAGACCAAACATTTCAGAATATCAAGCCATGTCCGAAGATAGTGCTGAACAACGTGAAGCGAAATTACCTACTTGCAATATCTGCAACAAATCCTTTACCCACAAAAATTCTCTCAGACAACATCGTGAACAGACCCAACATGCCTCCACAGATACAGACGGCGCTGAATCAGATCCCGGCGAGGAAGATCAAAAGCGACTCGGATGCACAATGTGTAATCGATATTCAACAGAGAGAAATGGCTACGGAAGCATATGCGGACCAAGCATGCCTCGAAATTGAAGGTTCTGAATGCTTCTGTTGTACCCGCTGAAGACGCAAAGCTAAGCCCTACGTCACAAAACCCAGCTGTGGATAGTAATGCCCCTATCAAACAAGAGGATCTGAAGCAGGAGGATCAAGATCAAGATTCTCTGCCGACTTTTTTTAGCTGTGCTGTTTGCGACAAGACCTTCAGTGGACAATTTGGACTTTACCAACATACGAAAGCAAAGCATAATCCGAACCCACAAGAGGGAAGGATTAATTGCAAATTGTGCAGAAAATCTTTCGTTGATGACAGTGCACTTCAGCAACATCACAGAGACACGCATAATCAAGTATGCACGCATTGCAAGAAAGTTTTCGCTACCAAAGGTGCACTTGAAGATCATAAGCGCCGCACCAGGCATCCAGACAGAACGACGGAGCCTGCAGGGAGACAAAACATGAGACAGAAAGAAAAGGCTCCTGAACCTTCGCCACAACGATATAAGTGCAATTTCTGCAATTCTAGCTTTCACCATTTCGATCTGCTCGAACAGCATGTCATACGCCATAACCTTTGGTCGGACGACGGGCCTGTTGTTGTATACAAGTGCGATTTTTGCCCTAAGACGTTTTACTCCTATGATGAGCTTGATGAACATATGAGAACCACCTATCGTTTCAATTCACCTAATCCATGGGATACTGATGGGCAGACTGATGAGGAGGAAGACTACGAGGAGGACTACGAGGATAGCGAGGAGGAGAGTGAGGAGGAGAGCGATGGAGAGGACTACGATGAGAGCAATGAGGATGAAGCTGAGGATAGCGACGAGGAGAATAATGAGGGGAGTTACAAGGAGAAAGACGAAGAGAGCAATGAGAGCAACGAAGAGAGCGACGAAGAATCCGTCCCGGATCTCGTTGAAAATACAGGCAAGAGATCCGGCGAGAAGCTCGCTGCAGAACTTCCTCCACCGCCATTCAAGTGCCAGGATTGTGACGAGGCGTTTTACTACACTGCTGCGCTTGGAGAGCATCAGGAAATGTTCGCTCATGGCCCTGTGGCAATAAGAGAAAACGAACGGGAGCCGGCTGCAGGACCTTCTGCACCTGAATTCAAGTGTAGGGACTGCGAGGAGGCCTTTCATCATTTCACTATGCTTCTTGAACATCAAGAAAAGGTCGGGCATGGCCCTTTCTTGAAATTAGTCGAGAAGCCAGTCGAGAAGCCGGCTGCAGCACCTGAATTCAAATGCAGGGACTGCGATGAGGCCTTTCATCATTTCACTGTGCTTCTTGAACATCAAGAAAAGGCCGGTCATGGCAGTTGGGCAGCGGGGAAGAACAAAGCGGTGGAGAAGCCAGTCGAGAAGCCAACGATAGAGGACAAGGCAGGAGATGTTAGCGTCTCAGTATACAAATGCACTGACTGTGGCAGGCTATATCGCGATGTCAACTCGATCCAGGCCCATTTGGCTTGGAACCATGGGCGTCGCTCCACAGACCCCAACAGATATCTCACAAAAGTGAGCCCCGAAGAGGCCGATGCTCCCGCCAAGAAGGTTACTTCAGGGTTCAGATGCAAGCCATGCAACCAACCTTTCCGTAACCAGTATCTACTCCCAAAACACTGGAGGAAAACGCACGAGGACGCCTGGTGGGCATTGTTCGATCAGGACAACATCTCGGATGAATCGCTATCATACTCGGACTTCCAGAACTTTGATAATTACGACGAAGACGACATGTTGGATGACCTCAGGCAGATAAACTCGTGGTCTTCCAAGAAGAAGAATATGATCCCCTGCATGACATGCTGGAAAAAGTTCAAAACCACTTCCCAGATGGTGGAGCACGTGGAGACGCGCGAATGCCACTCTTACATGGCTGCTCATTCTATCAAATGGGCTGTTCTCAGGAGTGATCAGAGCGTGGTATCGGGATGCTACTCTGATCGCAATCGCAAATTCCAGTGCCCCGACTGCGAAGCCCGTTTTGATTCTTTGAGTAGCTTGCTTCGTCATGCGGAGGGAAACAAGTGCCGTGCTGATGTTGCTCAGGGCTCGATCAAGGCTTTTATGACTGAGGTGAAGTGGCGTATGATAGAGGGTGAACTCTATTAAGCTGGTGTTTGGACTTTTGTATTCGCTTTCTCAAGGGTATTACGACTGTTTTCATATGTGATGACCTCTTTTCTTTCCCATTGAACTCTTTTAATCTTGTTAATAGGCATTTTTCTATCCGAACCAATGTCGGCGTAAGAGCAAACCTTGAACTTCCATGTATCAATATAGCCTCAGACGGGACGAAACTAAAACGAAAGTAGTTGTTTGTTTCCTTGTCGTCAGTTTTAGATTCGGTCTGAATGCTTCGTTTGGGTTCCATTTGATGTTATTTATAACGGTTGCTCCGTTGAAACGGTATACGTTAGATGGTGGCGTCGATTGGCCAATCAAACTGCACGCTTTATTCTTGATCCGCTTCCATTTCGTTGCTTTTGCAACCCCATTTCATGTCGTCGTCCACTGTATCCTTCTCCAATTCTCTAAACACGACGTGCGCGTCTCTTGTCCTTCAATAATTCTCCTCCTGTGACTATCCAAGATGGCTGATGATAACCCTGCAGATGCTTCATCTGCAAAGCCTGAGGCCAAGCCCGTCAATTGCAATATCTGCAACAAGTCGTTTCCCCACAAAGGCTCACTCAGGCGTCATCGGCAGAGCAAACATCCTGTCAAGAAAGAAGCAGACGCGACTCAGCCAGGACAAGACGGTGAAGCTGCTAGCACTTTTGATTGCGCGCTCTGCAAACAGTCATTTCCGCGTCAGTCCTCACTGACGCAGCATCAGCGGAGCAAGCATGGTCCCCGAAAGCCTGAAGTCCCAAATACTTCTGCCACGCAAACTCAAGCCCAAGCTGCGGAGACTCAGCCAGAAGCATCTCCTTCTGCCAAACAAGAAGGCGATAAAAGCCAAGGAAGTAAGGCCACTTGTTCAATCTGCAACACGTCTTTCAGTCATCGAGGTGCCCTGCACCAGCACAAGAGAACCAAGCATCGTACTGTGAAAACGGATGCCGATACTCCCACCAAGGAAGAAGACAAGACCCCAGATGCCGAACAAAAAACAATCAACTGTGATATTTGCGACAAGTCGTTCACCAGCCGAAATTCACTCCGAAGGCATCTAAAGAGCAAGCATACCTCAGATAAGAAAGGCAAGGGTCCAGGAAAGAGTTCTGCGCAAGGTGACAAGGCAGCTGGCTCCTCAAAGCAAGTGCATGCGACGCTGAAGGAGCGACATATTGCTGGATCTCAGAAGTTCAAATGCTTTTGTTGCAATGAGAACTTTCCTTCTGAGGATGCTCTTATGAAGCATCAAGCAGAGCAACGTCTCGAAGCCATGAAAAAGGTGATGGAGAATATGGCCATGGTTGCCTCTGGTATGAGAGTATCAAATGGGCAAGATGACTCGGATGAGGAGAGTGAGGCGCCAGAGCTCGTCGAAGAGACCGCTGCAGAAGAGAAGAAAGCCACAAACGTACATCAATGCACCCTTTGCGACAAGAGCTTCCGTTTCAAATCTGCTCTCGTGCAGCATGGACTCATCAAGCATGCAGCGGCGGACGATACTGTTGCAGAGAGTTCAGGCCAAGGAGCAAACGCAACTGCTGGAGGCAAGAAAGCAGAAGCCGTTGACGAGGATGATGAGGATAAGCCCTACTGTCAGACCTGCCAAAAGACATTCCGCCACGCTAAAGGACTTGCGGATCATAAACTCAACAAACATGGCATCGTCGATCCCGAACCATCCTCAAACTCAAAGCAAGGCGTACCTGAAAACCCAACTTTCAGGTGCAGACCTTGTAACAAGACCTTCCGTCTTGCGTCTGCACTTCGTCAGCATCAGCGAGACAGCCATCCCGAGATGCACAGACCGAGATACTCAGAGGATGAAATAATGAGACAATTACTGCGAATGGCAGTCCCGCCGTTTGGTGATGATGGCGATGATTATGAGGACGAGGATTATGAAGACTATGATGACGACGATGATCCTTTCTCATACCCTGGCCATAGAGGACACCCGTTTGACTTCCCGGCTGGTATTCAACCTGGCGATATATACGACTCAGACGATCTGGGTTATGGCTATCCTGGCTTTTCAGATGAGGATGATGACGACGATGAAGATGATTCCGACATCGACATGGAGAATGAACGAGGCCCCCCAACGCTCTGCACACACTGCAATGAGAATTTTCCGCAGATGTTACTGGTGGCACATCAATGGCATGTCCACGGTATCAGCCACCCAGCTCTCGTCGATGTTCAAGCCAAGATCGCAAAGGACGAATCCTACGGCCTCAAGCGCACCGTCTGCACGAGCTATCCTGATGCGAAGGAATTCCCCTTCTTCTTTGAAATCAAGTATTTACTAAGAGATTGCCAATTCAGCTGTGGGCAGTCCTTTGAAACTGGCACCGAACGCATGAACCATGAGCTGGAGGCTCATAATCGTTGCATCACATGTGAGGCCTACTTCCAGACCCGGCCCGCTCTCGAGGTAAGTAACCCTTTATACCCATGCATTATCACAGTATTGACTCAAACCCCTTTTAGAATCATCAGGCCAAATCCAAAGTCGTCGATACCGTCGTCAGAGATTTCGACCACTGGCTTGAATTCGCCGTCCCCGCACAAGTACACCACGAGAAGCAGAAAGCAAAAGCAGCTCGTAATCCCAACTCCGACAAAAACATCGGCTGCATCACCTGTGACCGCAAGTTCAACAAGGCATCTACAATGATGAAACATGTTGAGAATGGGAGATGTATCCCTGGCGTGAATCAGATGGATATATTTGTCCTCGGACAGAAATTCGCTGAGGTAGGAGCTCCCTGTATCAGGTTGGGAGGCTTCTTTTGCCCGATCTGTAACAGATCTTACATGGTGTTGAGTGAGCTTATTCGACATGCGGAGGGGGATGAGTGTAGTTTGAAGGTTCTGAATGGGCCGTTGCAGGAGTTGATTTCATTGCTGATGATGGAGTTTATGGATATGATTATGGGGCTGGGTGATGGGTCTGGAATACCAGGGTTTGAAGTATAAGATCATCTTTTGATATATGCGATGATTTGTCGATTTCTCTCGGGTACTGTAAATTCAAGTATACAGTTGTGACCATTGTACGTGCTGGAATCCCGCGTTTCAAGAATTAACAGACCGTTTAACTTGAATAACCTCCCATAATAAGCCCGGGTCATGAACAAGCTTGTTGTACACATACGGCATTCCTTTGGACTTACCCAGGCAATTTCAATATTCCGTGGTATTAGACGTATGACTTCAACAACACGTAGCATATGAGAAAGTCAAATATAGCTCAATACTGACGAGAAATGTACTGAAGAGCATTTGGAGAAGAAGGCACGACATGGGAAGATCACGAATCGTATAATTCGGGGGGAAAGGCCATGGTAGAGAGGCAATTCATACCACGTTCTTGGGCACTTCTCCTGGAAAGCGATTGTGAATCTTGTGTCTGGCGTTGACCAGCCGCAATTTTGGGGTGTAGGATGCGTGATATATAATGATTCCACAAGGCCACTTTGACCATCATGGCCGCTTCAGAGCTGTTAGGTCTCATGAAGTATCATGCTGAAGACAACGAAAAGGCTGCAAAGAAATGTACACCTTGGGGGTTTTGGGATAAGCTTGACATAGAAGACCAGAGACCCAGCGCCAGCAGCTACGTCTTCTTCAAGGCATAGCTATGCGGACTAAGGGATGGAAGACTAGATCGTAGCACAGGTAGTTGAACTGGTTGGTATAGGTTGATCTCTGACTTGGGTTCTGGCATCTCTAGAGCGGCAGTCCTATAGATGAGCTGGCCCACCTGAAAACTGATGGGCCTCAGCGGAGGCAGTAGGAGCGCGCGACTTATACCTTCAATGAACGACTTAAAATACGGGCTCCTCAAACACATGGAAGGCTAATTAGTGACAGCAACCAAATGCATGCATGGTTGCGGCACGGTAACTTATGAAGAACAACGTATTTGGTCTGGGAAATGACATTTGCTGATGAACGAAACAACATCGAACGGCGATGTTTTGTGCACCTTGGAAACGAGTCTGAAACGTACTCAAGACATTGAAACGTGAACGGTAAGTACAGTTGCAACTCGCAGAAACGTCGGGTGACGAGAATGCATGATGGGTGCTGACGAGGCCGACATGCGGTCGAATCAACCAATAACCGCGGGGCAGCAGTCTGGGGAAGCTTACCTTTTGGGACGCTTACCCGAAGATGACAAAGGTTCGATAGTCAATTGCCAAAGTTGGGCAGGCAGACCCATATAGCTTTCGCATATTGGCTGGCTAAAAGTGACTCGTGTGGCGTAGAGATGGAAATGGAATTGGTGCCGCCGTCCAGAGCGACCTCTGTGGGTTACATAACGACGCCCGGTGTCGTCACAAGGCAGACTTTCGCGTTGGACCGACCTTACATGCGTTGTGCGTCACCATGTAACAGCCGTTGCCTGCTGCTGCATAACCGGAAGGCTTATCAAGTGACAGGCCAGTCAATCTGAAGCATGTTCTGGAAGACTGTGACGACCTGCCCGCGATGACAGGTGGACTTCCCTTGGTGGTGGACCCTTTTGGCCAGGTCTGTCCACCCATCTGGGGCTGTCCATTTAGATCCCTGTCGCCCAGAGTGCTAACTGGAATATCGTCAGCAGCTGAACGAAGAACAGACGTATCGCAAAGATGACATGCTTGACGAAGCATCCGGGCATCTTCTGGTCATCTTCGCTAAAGCACGGGCATCACAGCCGACGGCAGGGAGGATGACAAGCCAAAATTAAGATAGTCGGCTCGAGATCTCATCTCAGGGGATGTCTCACTCCAGGTCTCAGATAACAGAGCATAATCATCGTCAATGGAATCTTGGGGACCATCCCGAACATTTCGGGCCCAATACCGGACCCCAAGTGCCGCTTGGTGTGCCGGATGTCTACGGGCGCCGATCTCGTGGTATCACGATGATGATGGCACACCAAAGAAAACAGAGGGACAATTCCATGGTCCATTTCCCAGGCGGAATAAGAGCGTCAGAGGTTCAATGCCCAACGACCGGCAGGGTATCATCAGAATCGAACCATGTTGACATGCGCCGTGACCGGGTGGTGGAGGGTATTCTGAGTGGAGGTCCGCCGTCTATGGCTGACAGCTTTCCAATCGCGAGAATCGACAACGGCCCGAACGCCGCAATTAATTTGAGAAGCAATCCTCCATTCCAACTTGTGACACAGTGCTCACTGCTTGAGACCTTCTGAATGTTCTGGCCAGTCTCGTTTACGTTTCGTGTGTAAGCTGAAGCGACTGCAAGATATCCATACGCAATTGAAACATGCTGCAGCGCCATGTTTCTTGTCACAGGTATTGCGGTCCATCGCAAAGATATGCGTGATATCTTGCTGCAACTGCCCACGTCCGTTGGTTACCCAAGCTCCATGCATGCTATTTAATGTTCAGCCGACGTCAAGTTGCCGACAACCATGTCATATCGGGTACACTCGCAGGTACGACTGTAACCCATAAACCGTAAGTTTGTAACCCAAACAATCCGCCCCTCAGACACAGTTGCTGCAAATTGCAGCTTAGAGGTGTGATTCAGGTGACTTTGGCTGGCGGTAATCCACAGCTCGAACCCATGGAATGAATCGGCGTTTAAGAGCACCCCGCTTAAACCCCCAGCACTGGTCAAGTCAAGACCGCAATCCCGGGAAAAGGGGTACGCTCAAATAAAGGTAATTTGCGTATCCACAATATCTAGATGATGGCTTGCTCGTTTGGAGATGTAAAAGACAATACCTCCGATTGATGTTGACTTTGAAGAAAGGGGAAGGAGAACGTGCCAAGATGTGGAAACACACGCTTTGATTGCAGAGGATACTGTAAGTGGGCTTTGGCAAGCTGTTGCGGTGCAACATCCATTGTTGATATTGCGTTAATGCGATTCATGTTTGGATATATCTGTACTGGTTATTGCCGATCCAAAACGTATCTGCTTTCTTTGCCAGTATAATCCACTGTTTTACCTGGAGCGCCAAGTTTAGAGGATGAGGTGCATCCCTAAGCGACCCGTCTTGGTTTATCTCCCATGCAAGTTTGCGCTGTTGTACCTGAACCGTGCTTCACGAGAGAGGTTTGTCATGTCTGTGTGCTTTTGATACACGCATGGAGCAGGCAAAGACCCTGGGCATCCCAGAAGATCGCGAAGCACTGAAGTGCTGGAAGCCCGCGGATGGCGCGATGAGCTTCGGCCGAGGTTTAGTGAGAGGCCGGGATAAACCTGCCCGGGGAAGGGTGCTGGATCAGTGTCGTTATCTCGGGGTCCAGTGATTTCCCGCTAGGGCCATAGTGCAATTGGGTTGAGTTGTTGCAGATTCCGGTAGAAACACATCAATGAGGTACTCTGTTTGAAGTTGATGATAACCTCATGTTTCGAGATCAGTGAATTCGCACAGTGTTTCTGTCTCCTCAGCTGCACTGGCAACCCACCCGTCGTGGACATCATCTGCTGGCATCGTGGAGCGTGGAGTTGCGTTGCTGGCAAAAGGGCCAAGAAACGAGAAATGGCACCCCCCACACGTCGTCATTTCACACTCCGTTATTAGCCCCGTTATCGAATCAAAAGAGGATTTGGTCCGGCGCCTGGGCGTTCAACGGACAACGGGCGACCAGCTCTAGCCTCTAGCCTCTAGCTTCTATGCCAGGGGATGTTGAAGACCAGTACTGCGCTGTACTGTAGTTTCTTTATTGACAGGCAAAGAAGTGCAATGGTAGGGGAAACACCGAAACAGAAGTGAGAGAAGAGATGTCAGCTTTGCTTTTTATCGGAATAATCGATCCGGTCACAGTATGCATGTCTCGTTTATACCCCGACATCGCAAAAAAACCCATGGATCGAGTGTTCTTTCGTGCTGGCAGGTAGGTACCTTACTGCACCGTGATTGCCTGTACCTCAGGTTCTGCCAAACGAGGTACAAGCAGTTCATGTACTCCGCCTTTTAGCCTGGCCGGGCTGTCATACAATGAACCGCCATGATTTGCATGCCGTAAAACAGCCGATACTTTGGTCTAAGTACTTGATTTACCCGCACCTCAGGCCTCAACTGACTGCACTGGCAACTGGCACCTGCCAACTACGAGCCCCCAAAAGTCACTCTCCGGCCTGTGCCCACTACGAAATGGCCCTGTTCCTTCCTGTCCAGTGAGTTTCCACTGTCCACTCCCCACGGCACGACGCTACTTCCTGATTTGATTGATTGATGGGCGACAGAAGCCAGGCTAGGCTTGCTCCTTCTCCTTTCCCGCTCGCTCGGCCCTGGTTTTTTTCTCCCCCCATTCAATTCTAACCCAACCTATCCCGTCACGCCCTGTCCAAGTCGACGAGTCGTTCATCATCTTAAACCACCACCACCTTTTTCCCTTTCCCTTCTCTCCCTCTTACCTTTACGTACCTCTTCCTATTTCTTCCTCCGCCTCGATTTTCCCGTCTGCCTTGCAGCGGCTTTGGTCTCGACAAGCGTTCTTCCGGTCCGTCGTGTTCAACTCGTCTCTCGTCTCGTCACCGACTTGCGATTTTTTTTTTTAATTCTTCGCACTTTTTCTCCGTCCCTCCGAGACCCTCGCGTGGTTTATTCCCGAGAATACGGCCCGTGGCGAGTAAACGTAAACCTTGCCTTGCGCTCACTTTCCCAACGAAGCGGCAAAAGGTCACCGACGAAGCTTAATCATATTCTTATCTCTCTTGGGTGAGTCGAGACCTCGACGCACAGGATTACGGTCGATTTGTCAACGTGTTGCGACGAGGGGCCCCGGAACGTTAGGTGGTGCTTTTTGATGGATCCATGTCTTAGCTGGCCGATGGTGCGCATCTTGACGTCGGCCACAGCGGCAAATTTCCTCATCACCTTTCGTATTGCCCTTGTTTCTGGCACCGCCCTCGCATTGCGCTGCACATCGTCGTCGCATTCTGTCGTCAACGTCCCGCAACAACACCAAACTGACCAGACATTCTACCAATAGACCCTCATTCGAGATTTGATAGAGCCCGAGCCGAATCGTCCACGTCCCGGTTTTCCCCACTCATCCTCGAGAACATTGCAATATGTCCTACTACGACAACCCTCAGGCCCAGTGGTCGTCTTCTACTCCCAGCACCCAGCCGAACAACTGGGAGCACCAGGGTTCGACTACTCCGGTCCGCGCAGGTACGCCAGATCCACGATCGACCGAAACAGAATTGTAATTAACGCATTGATTTGTACAGGCGCCAGCGGCCCCCAGCCCCAGGATGACTACGCCTTCTCGTATCAATTCGATGGTATGTGATGGAATACGCCCAAAGATTTTGTCGACTTCGATTGTCCTTAAAGTCAGTGTCGATGGCACGACTTAGCCGGCATATTCAAAGCCCGAACAATCTCGACTCTACGAATGAAACAAGCTGACCCAATCCTAGAGGTCGATCGAGCATACGAGAACTTGCAAAAGTCTGGCAAGGGCTATGGAATGGGTGGTCGCCGTGAGTTTTCTATCCTGTGCTACTAAGCCTACCAAGGTTCCGACATGAACGGATGAACTGGTCTGGTTGAGTGTACCATCAAACATACTGACAAGATCATGCAGACTCCCGTGGTTCCCATCACACCCCCGGCCCCCGCCCGCACTCGGTAAACAACTTTGATGACGCCCGTGGTCAGGGACCTAATCTGCAAAACTTCTACGCAAACCAGCGTCATCAACCTTCACGAGGCTCCAACGAGGCAGAGCAGGTCATGCAGGCTAAGAGACGGATGGCAGCTCAGCGGGAGCGAGAGCTTCGAAACCTGCACACAGAGCAGCAATATCAGCGAAGTAGGCCTCCCTCTACTGTGTAGCACATTCAACTATGACAAAAGAAACAAGATGGCATATAGAGAAAAATAATGTGGTCCTGGGCGACCAAAAATGACGTTGCCCAGACGCCGCTCGTGTTTCTTCCCTCCCAATTTTGAGCAGCATCTATGTAATATCGTCGAGTTTGTTGAGCATGGGCTAACAGCTTTTCTACGTAGCCGTCCTTTCCGAGGTGCCTCTGCCGCCCAACAAGCACATGTCCGAGGAGGAGACGCGAGAGTTGATTGCCCGTCAACGAAGTGCCCTCTATGGCGAGGGTCCTTTTGCAGACAAGGCAGGATACGTGGATGAGACTGGTAATGTCCGCACTGGTGCCCCTGTCCCTAGCGGACCCTCCAGCATCCGTGGACACTCCCCTCTTGCCTATGACAGCGTAGGCCGTGCTCCCCCTACTGGCGAGGCTGGCACTCCCGTCTCTGGTGATGCCCACGGTCCTCCCACCGAGCCCAACTCGCGACCTCACAGCACAGTCAGCCCACAGGCTGCTGGACCCACAAACAAGGTCTTTGACAATGCTGTGGGTAACCAGAGCCGTACAAGTACATCCAGCCCAACCGGCGGCTCTCCCTCTCGGGATCTGAACCCTGGTTCCAAGCCCAACCAGGCTGGTGCCTCTGTGGCTCCCATTGGAACTCGTCCTTCTGGTACACCCACAGCTTCAGCTTCATCGAAGCGATCCACCACTCCTCTTGCCTCCCCCGGTGGCTGGGGACGTGGTAATGGCGTTTGGGGTCAGTCATCCGGTCTCGGTGCTCCTGCTAGTGTCTGGGGTTAGAGAGGTCCGCTCACCAAGGATTAGGAGTCGCAACAAGGCGCAGGATTTAAAGTTGCATTTGGGACGGCGCAGAGGTAAACGTGCATTGCGGTCGGTATCTTTTGCGAGTACAGCCTTTGGCAACTCGCATCTCGAGTTGAGGACTGTGCGAACATTGCAGGGCACTCGGCTCTGGCGAGAGCCGAGTGATACAATCAGGGTCACAGGTGTTGAAGGGACGGCATCGACTAGGGAGTTGACATTGTTTTTCTGTTTTATTCGGCAGGAGGTTACGAATTGGTGAACTGGGAGTTGCATTCGAACATTACTGGGGCGTCGCTATATCGTCTCGTTTATACTTTGAGGGCAGGAAAAACGGTGCCGGGTATGAAGGAACGGGCAGGATGGTTACAGTCTCGGTCTCGGAATTGAGATGTCTCGGAGTCTTTGGCCTTGACGAAATTGTCGGTCTGGCTCACCGTGGGAGCGGCAACTATATACCCAACAGGGCGGTTCTTAGGGCGTTCACTCTGTTTACGACGACCGATCAGCCTGCGAAATCGACTACGGCATGTGTTAGCATCAACTGCGTGGCGCGTTCGGAGTACCTTTCACGATGGAGGCATTTGAGTTGTCGGCGCGCATACCATGGTAATGGATTGGAAGGGAACCTACAACGGCTTGTTTATGCTCACGAATTGGCGAGCGAAAAGGAATGTGTTTTATATACGGCGAAAAGCACTATAAAAAGACAAAAAAAAGAGAGAAGACAAAAATGGCATCTCAAGGGGTTCAAGGTGGATCAAGGTTAGGGTCAGTTATCTTTCATGTCTCTCGTTTTTACAGGTTTGGGGCAAGGTTTCGGTTTGGGACAGGTTATAGGAAACGGTTCTATAAGGGTTGTTTTCGCAAGGGAAAGGAGAAATTGTTTTCTGACTTTGAGGTTTTGCTTAGGCAGGGTAGGCAGGGTTGATAGTAATTGCGAGAAGGATCGGGGATAAAGGTAATACAAGTTTATTACGGAGTTGATCTGTTGGACGAGTAAATGTGCCTTGCGAGACATGCATGCTGTGTGAGGTGGCGGTCGAGACACGAGATCGGAGCAGGCCAGACTCACTTTAAGTGCTGATGCCAAACTGTGACAGCACTTTCAAGGCGATAAAAATAAACAATCAGATTAACTAGCAAACTCTATCTTGCGTTAATTAGATTAATTCGCGGTAACATATTAATCGTGCGAATGATGAGGAGAATTGCATGTGCGCGTCATGGGAATGTTCGGAGCCCCCACCCGAAGACGGTGTCCGGACGGTCTTCTCCCCGCCTGGACCCTCAATCGGGGCCCCGAGTGGAGGCACCGGTGAGCATCTCATATGCATCTTGCAGGCAAGCTGCAGCTGTAGTTGGTGAGGGGAGGGGAATGAATGACGGGTACACTACGTGACGCGATTCTTTTGTTTATCTTTTTTCGTGTCGGTACATATAACTAACTTTATAACTCCCGCTTCTTATTTACTCTGTTCAACTGTTGTTGCAAATACCGACAAAATGCCCTCCTTTGACGGAAAGAAAGCTTACGTTGAGCAAGAAGAAACATTCTTCGATGATGGGCGCGAGATTGAGCTTCTGCATTACATCTATGGTCGGTCAGACATTGATGAGCTTCGAGGTTCGCCGGAGCGTGTTCTTCAAGCCATTGATGAGTTTGGACGTACGAAGAAGTATCTCATGAACGTGGGCGAAGACAAGGGCAAGATTGTAACAGATCTCATCGCTGAAGTGAAGCCCAAAGTCATGGTACATCAATTGATCTCTCCTCTTGTGAAGAACTTACAGACTGATACTGGTGCAGGTTGAACTCGGAGGCTACGTCGGCTACTCAACCCTCCTCTTCGCCAACGCCGTCCGCAAATCCGGAGGAACACACTACTTCTCCCTCGAGCGCAACCCCGAATTCGCCGCTGTGATAACATCCCTTCTCGACCTATCCGGCCTGCGCGACATCGCCCGCGTCATCGTCGGTCCCAGCGACTTGGGTCTCGCGCGTCTGCACGCCAACGGGACAATCTCCAAGATCGACCTCATGTTCCTGGACCACTACAAGCCCGCGTATACAAGCGATCTCAAACTCTGCGAGCGCTTGGGTCTCGTTGGCCCGGGGAGTGTTCTGGCGGCTGACAACGTCATCAAGCCGGGGAATCCACCGTACTTGGCGTATGTGAGGAGTAGTGTTGCGGAGAAGAGGGCTGCGAAGGGGGGGAATGAGAAGGAGGAGTTTGCGGATAGGACGGCGAAGCAGTATTTGAAGAGGGAAGGGGAGGAGAGGATTAATGAGGAGGAGGGGGATCCGAATTTGGTGTATGAGAGTAAGTTGGTCCATAGCTTTGAGCCAACTGGTGTTCCTGTGAGTACCCGCATCTTACCACCGTCATTATCTTCGCTGACGAACAATTGCAGGACGCTGTCGAGATTACGAGATGTACCGGTCGCGAAGATTAGAAGTCTTTACCTTGGTACCGATCAATTGACTCCAACGTCATTCAATGGCCCTTGAACTTTAAAGTGACTGCCCCTCAACACCAAAAAAACATCACGACCCCGCCGCCCTCGCAAGGGGCCTGGTCTCCACAGCAGCTCATCCCATAAGAGCCACGCGCGGTCAGCTCAATTGGTAGAATTCGAGATTCTTGCGACCACGGCGCCCGCATCGGACTGTTTCTAGGCTTTCTTTTTGTTCGAGTGCTCTGGACGACTGCGTGGCATCGCTATCATCGCTCGCAAGAGTGTCGCGTAGTGTGGCTCTATCAAAGTAATGCATATCGTTGTGAGTGGTAATTTCTCTTTCGAGTAGGTAGTTAGAACAGTTAATCGTGGATGAATGGTAGGATACTGATGTATGTTTGGTCTGATCATTTTGTTCTTGGGCCTAACTCGTTGGTGTTGGTTCATCAGAGTTACTCATTCGTTCTGGGCAGCACCTCCTCCGTTTGTCTGTGTTAATTGTCGACGTTTGTTCATTGACTGTCCTTTTTTGAATGCAGCAAGTGGTTGGCGATGTGAAGGACAAGCAGTGCTAGCGCCAGTGCCAGCATCAACAGCAAACGGGAGGCCGCAGTCAATGAATCAGTGGGCAGGTCCGACTTCAAAAAGTTTTCTGGGCTTGCCTTTTTTTCTTCTTCTTCTTCTCTCCCAACCACTTTTACCTCACCTCACCTCACTTCCATCGCCGCCTCGATCCTTAAGTCACTCGTGCTCTCTTGGGTGTGCAACTCTTGCAGTATGTCACTGTAAGTACATGAGAACTTCCTCAGTGTTGAATAGTTTCGCCGTTTCGAAGTCTCAAGGATACTTCTCTCTTCATTGTTTGTCCTTGTGTCTTCCCTGTCGTCAGTGAGAGCTTCCAGCGCGGTCGCACAAACTTCTTTTGAGAGACAGCTGACTGTATGATCTCTACTTTCATAGCCGAGCTAATCGGAAGTCAGTAGCCAGAATATGGGCTTTTCTTTTGGCTCGTTCATGGAGCCAGATGATCACTCTCTATCAGAAGACGACATTGAACCGCAGGTTCTACCCAGGTGTGGCCTGTGTCGATTCAAGTTTGAGCCAGCCGACTCCATCGTGGTTTGTGTGTGCCCGAATCAACTCCTCTTTTGTCCAAACAATAACAACCTACTGATACATGACAGTCCACCCCGTGTTCCCGATTTGGGAAGGCAAATATTCTGAAGAACCAACTGGATCTAGTCCCCCGGAGGAAGGTTTTCACTCAGCTTGCGTGGCCCAGTTTTCCAAACCCCTCCGTAATGGTACTTCTGTTGATCCCTTTGTTAATTGCGACATCTGGATGGCTACGCGTCGTGGAAAGTCCAGGTATAGTATGACCTACGATGAGCCTCCTCCGTCTTTTGAAGTAAACCGCCTGCGCCGGTTGAAGAAGATGTTTGCCCAGGAGCTCATGACTATCACCGGAGGTCGTCTTCCCCTCGAGGTCTGCGAGAACATTGCACAATACTGCTTGAGCGACTACGCAACGAGGCTCCTCAAAGAAGCTCGGGAGAAGAGAGGCGATCCTGGGCCTCGAAAGGCCAAGTTACACGTCAAAGATTCAGGGGTAGTGTGGGCACAGCACGTTGAGTTTGAAGGCATCCAATACATCAAGTCTCTCTCGACAAGCCGCAGAAATGAGAGTGATACGAAGCTCTTCGACCCTAGAGGCGGCACCCATGTCAATATATACTTCGCCGAAGACCTCTTGGGTATCCGTGAAGTTGTTATGACTAGAGATGACAACACCGTATTGACTCAGGGTGAAAACTTGTCATGGGTTGTCAACCGCGGAGTGGCTCTTCCATTCTGGTTCACAATCGAGTCTGATGTAAGTTGTTCTTCGCCACTTAACGCAGGCAGGCGATCTTTACTTACTGACTTCGTACTATCAGGGTCTCAAACTGCGCGACTTGGCCATAGCCACGACAGAGAACGAAGTGGCCAGCGATCTACAGAGGCGCTGGGCTGTTTTGCCTAGCCACTTGGGCAATTGCCAATTCGCTCCGCCACCAAAAGATTATCGAAGAGTTGGGACGGAGCCGGTCCGCGCAGTCGACTGGAATTTACCCGGATGCCGCGGTTATTCCATTCTCGTAGACACTGGCTTCATCTGCGACATCATCCCGAACAACGGGGGAGGGTCATCTTCGCAGTTGATGGATGTGAACAACAAACATGAAGGTGCTTGGGTCTACATACCCATCGATCCAGGCGAGCGGATCATTGAGCTTTGGCGCCGCCATTGCGATTACCCTTGGAGACTGTTCAAATCTCTTGTTGTAAGTTACAATGATAGCCTCGATGCTAAGATAAGACATACTTAAGAAATACTAGATACGCACAAATAAAGGTCGCAGCTTTGTTATCGGTTCCCATCTGGGACTTCACTCTACCTCTGAGTGGTGGATATGCCAGCTTACCTACCATGTGATCGCTGAGTTGCCGCCAAACAAACCATCTCGAATGCTCTATTGTGAGACCAGAAACGCAAGGTTATGGCTGAGTTTCGAACAAGCTGCGACTCGCGACCAGAATGCCGACATCTCATTCATGAAGCCATTCAAGCTTACTGCTTTCCCTGGCTCAAATTTCATTTCGTCAACTGCGAAGCTTCAGGACGTCAGGACAATTTCCGTATGCCGAAGCTATAGAGAGGGCCTGGACCTAAGCTGTGGAGAGCCTCTGGATGAGGGCATTGTCGGGTTGCTCCTCACATACGAAGATGGGCGCCAACGATCCATCGGACAAATTCGCCTTGACCACATGGGTGCGCCTCTAATGGTGAACTCGGGAAATTTTTGGCTTGGCAGCGACAAGTCAGAAGATGAACCTCTCCCAGGAGGTTTCTGGCCCCGGACACAGATGATTAAGTGGGTTGAGGTGGATAAGCCGTCGAGGGATCAAGATAGAGAGTATTTGAAGGTGCCGCTGACTGGCTCCCTCGAATGGCAAAGCTACAAGAAGGGTGATTACTATCGCCACCTTGTGTTCCATCATAGGAGCAACGAATTGGAGGATAATGCGGATGAGATGGATGCGTTATCGGTCTGTGAGGCTGAATCTGGAGAACGTGCTCCGGCGGTTTTCGAACAGTTCTCGCTGGAATTCTAGAACCCAAGATATCTCTTGAGATTTCGACCGAGCTGGTGTCCTTGGGTTACTTCGCAATCTCATGGAGGTGGACTGGACGGGTCGTGGTCATGGTTTGTTGGATCTTGTAAATAGGAAGGACACTGCTACATGGCATGTCCAGCTCAGCTAGATAACAACAACAGTCTGCCTTCATCCTCATGAGTCCTGTTAAGATAGAATTATTCTATTACCCTCCATTCCCAAAGATGTTCTTTTCTCCATCCGTTCCTTGCATTGGACTGTTCCCATGTTTTCGATTGTGGTCGTTTACGATGCTTTCACTTTTGCTGCTTTAGCTCTTCGATGTAACTTGACGAGCGGCTTTTCTGGAGAGTTGAAGATGTACAATAGCATCTCATGGACCCTCACTGAATGCTCTGTCAATTCTGATGTGGACTCAAGACTCTTCTTGCCTGATCTTTCGTAGAACTTGGTCCTATCGTGGTGATGTTGGGCTAAGTCTCAACTGTTCGGTAGGCAGGAGTTAGCTGTATCTTCCCATTCAGCATATCACCAATAAAAGTTTCCGTGCGGTCTCTATTATTCTTCTCTTTTGGGTATTTGTCAATTGTCTGTTTAACCGTTCGCGTGGGAGCCACAACTGCCCCATTTCCATTTACCCAGGATCTGCCACATTGCATCCCTATCTGGAGAACTGGCTACCTAGGGGATGAAAGAAAACTCCGGACCTTGACCCTAAGTTACGAAAAGACTTAGGCAACTTAGCATAAGTTAGCCTATCCTTAGGGGACTCTTTACCAAGTTTATTTTGACAGCCTATATCAAGGTTCGGTGTTTTCTTGCCCCCTGAGTGGTCACCCTCAAAGCCCGTAGATGCCATAGTTGTCGAACCCCTTGGCAACCCATTCCGTATCTCGGAGAGTTTCTGGAGCTGTTTGGTGGCTCAAGTTAGCGTGCCATGAGCTTTCGTGAGATCAACCGTCTTGGACTTACTAGTTCTTCCAGTCAGAATGGTACAGGGTTTAGAGACTGGGTCCTCGCGTTCTTCTGTTTTAGCATCTTCGGCTAGCACGTGAAGCATCTCGTCATCTGGTGTACTGCACATGTGATGTGACAGTAGACATATACTGCCATCAGATTCCTTTACCCTATCGAGCCGTCCCTTCATGGGTAGTGAGATATACGTTGGAGTCCTGTCCCATCCGTCGTCGCTCTCATTTTCGTCCTCACTGGGTTCTTCTGCAGAGCTATCGTCAGAGTCCTGTTCATCCGTGGGATCATCCATGTCTTCGCGCGAGGAGAAGGAACCCCGTTGTGGCTGAGAGAAGCCAAACCACCCTATTCCACAATCGAAGCAGTGGGTGTTCTCATCAAGAATTCTGGCCTCCTTGTGCTCAACATATCGTATCCACAGAGTATCAGAAGTTACTCTCTGTGGCGTCCCAAGATCGTCGCACCGAACCTCACCAATGCAAGTTCGAGTACCGTCATAGTAGGTCAAGAGAAGACCCTGGATAATTGCATCCTTCCCCCAAATAAAGAATGATCGATTTATACACGGAGTAATGTCTCTGACTCCATCTAGTTTTGCTGATGAGTAGTGAGTGTCGATGGTCATGTCAGACGCAGTCTTCCAATGTGGCTTGATTTGTCGGGCTTGCGGCCTTTCCCAGCTAAGTACAGAATCGAAATGGAACCAAGAAAGTATGTAGCAATGCGCTTGGAACATGAGGCAGGGTTTATCTTTCGGTAGTTTGGCAACGACATGGTACGTAGCACCCGGGCCATCTTGCTGAGTTCCAAGGACGAAGCTCCGGCCACGATCTGTGACAATCTGTATCATCGCGTTAGCAGTGTCACCTCCGCATAAACTCACAACAAATCTGATAACATACTATGAGAGTGTCCTTCCTCTCGGGATACTGCCGGACCCAGAGTTCAGAGACTCTTTCGTCATGATTCATGGGAAAATGCACACACATGAGCTCGTCGGGTTCACCTGTCGTGTATTTGTGATAAGGTACAGGCGGTCCATGGGCGTGGTGAAAATTGCATTGCAAGACAGCGTCGCCTAGAAGAAGGAAAGAATAGCCAGATGTCCCTGGCTTATTCCAGTGAAGAGTCTGTACATAAGTGAAAGGTATGCCATGAGTGAGCGGGATCTTCGGTGAAAACTTCACAGGCGACGGAGGCATAACCCATCGTATCTCGCAACCATCCATAGCGAAGTTGAGGAAAGTCTTCGGGCTTTTGACAACAACGAGGTTCCGGATTTTAATGCCCTAGACCCAGGTGTGTCAGAGATGTTTGCTCCTCAGTTACAAAGTGGGTAATACCTACATCAAATCTTGCTTTGAAGTGGAATGGCCGGGTCTGTTGAGCATGACAGGTCCACCAGTAGTCATGGGTTTCCTCACTCTTGGGTCGTTCCTGTCCTTCGGTTATAACAAGCTTGTTGACTCCCAGATGGTTATGGCGGACGAAAATGTTCAGAGGCTTCTCCGTGTCCCCCGTGAAGAGCAATTTCTCATCACCACCTTGAGAGTCGTAAGATAATGATCGAACGTATCTAATACCTTCAAAATGGGTGTATTGAACCCACAGAGTCGTGCGCCTGTGGATAGGAACTGATATGAAACCTCGCCGAGGTCGGGCCTTTGACCATTGCTGATGGATGAACTGGATTGACTGTTCACGAACACAGTAGGAGGCAACATTTCTGCAAATTTCTGTATGTAAACGTCCACCAAGAGCTACAGAGAGATTCTGTGCGATGGTGCTCTCTAACCAGCAGCGGCGAGGGCCACACATTTGCTCGGGCGCACTGAAGCTCCCACGGATAGTGACAGCAGCTCCAGCGAGGTCTCGTAGGTTACCCGTGACGAAAGACTTGGCGTATTCAACACACTCATGATGTAATGCAATGGGGTAGGACCCTCTGCCATGGCATTTGTCTACCCCAGGCTCCGCGGCTTTCTCCCCTGTAGCTGTCAGTGCTGTTCCCATGACCAGCAGATTTATGGCCTTACATTTGACAATCTCATCTCCTTTTTCATCTCCGTTTTCGTCTCCGTCTTCATCTCCGTCTGAATCTTCATCTTCGTCTGAATCTTCATCTTGGTCGGTAAACTCAAACCCGCAAAGGCTGCAGATCCTGCCGTACAAATCCAAGTCTGAAAAGTCCCTCTTGGAAGGGTCCAAATGTCGATCCTCAAATGCGAGCTCCATCGGGACAGAGGCAGAAAAGGTGAGGAGGAAATGCCAGCGGGAGGCTAAACTTTGAGACCTTTATCCTAAATGATGAAAAGACTTGTGCGATTTAGTCTAAATTTAGGAGAGTCTTTACTGAGTTTAGTTCAGCATCCTCTTCTAAAGTCTCATTTAAGGAGTGCGAGGTAACAAAGGAGCAAGAGAATAGGTAAGGAAGAAGAATAACAACAAACAGTGGGACCAACGCCATTCACTGACAACGACCTTCAGGTGCTACAAAGGGACATGCGTTTGGCACCTGCTGGCACTGACACTTGAGTACCTTATCTAAAGTACCTCACTCCATCTTCTGAGAAATTTCACGGTAACAAGCTATCGACTTTTTTACACTTTCTTTATTTATTCGCACAGTTCAACTACCTCCCCTCCCGCCATAGTGTATCAACTAAACAAAGCGCGACTCATCGGCGCAGCCCCAAGGGACTTTTAAACAGTGGTCTTCAGTTAAACCCTAAGCATTCTCTTGTAAGATCTCACAGATTCGATTGCTTTTCAGACGTATTGATCCTGAAAGCTGAGGTTAGGGGATCATTTCGCCTGACACTAAAAAACAGCATGATGGAGCAAGAAAAATAAATTCATCAAAAGGCATCCCAAGTCTTTACCAAGTTACTTAAAACTTAGGCTAAGTTACATAAACTTATTCTAAGTCACCAAAAGACTTTTGTCATTTAGGATCGAGATCATAAGTCTCAACTGCAATAACACATCTCGAATATGGCTACAGCCCTTCCAGACTCCCCCCAAAGATCAGTGCCACTGTCTTCTTCCAACATTCCAATTCTCCATAAAACCCACGTGCCTTCCCACGAGGACCTCAAGCGGCTTTACCACATGGCCTCGGCGTGGCACACCGGGCGCAGGTTCTTGCGACAGGACCTCGAGGAACTCGTCCAGGGGCTCGCTGTCGTCTCGGTGGGACAGATGGCACTGACGTTGACTGAAGTACCAGTCGAGACGCCCTCGCATCGGAATCTTGATACATTTTCCGTCCCATTCATCTTCATCTGGTTCCTCGAACGAGACGGAGTAAACACCGGACGCGTCCTCATCTGTACCAGCGCGCCAGCTGATCTCGTCTGTCTCGGGGCAGATAATCCACATGTTCTCAGAGGTGACCTCAATTGGTGCAAGCAGATGGTCGAGACGGACTTGGCCAACGCAGCGTTTGCGGCCATCCTCGTAGGTAAGCAAAAGCCCAAGGATCGCACCAGGAACGCCCCAGTACCTGCACGGAGTGACAGTTCGGACCCCTTCAAGTTCGGCAGAAGAGCATTGGTATTTGCAGTTGTCAGGAAGCAGGTCGAGCCTTCTGTTCCGGCGGCCACGTAGGTTGAGCTTCTTGAAAGTAGATGCACCTTCGAACCTCATCCACGAGCCGTTCGTATCCCAGTTCGCGAAGTACATGCGACAGGGATCGGTCTGTGGCAAAGTTGCGACGAGGTCATACTTGGCATGTGTTTTGTATCCCACAGGCTGCTGATACTTGAGCTGAGGGCCAAGGGTGAGCAGGCGGCCCTTACTTGTTCGAAGCTAAGAGGATATTGTCAGTAAAAAGTCAGCGTTTTTTGGCCGACCACTCACTATAAGGGTTGCAACAGGGTTAGGACTGCCACTAGGGAGCTTGATGCCATAGCGGCGAATCCAAAATTCCGAGATACGCTCACCCGAGTCGATAGGGAAGTAAACCCAAGAGTATCTATGCTGCATGGCCGTGCCGAAGTCGTAAGGGTGCTTCTCACCGACTTTGTGGGGAATGATCTTCATGATGGTATTGTCCCATCCGTAGAATGAGTACCCGATGACATCGGGCTGGTTCCAATCAATAGCCGAGATAATCTCGCTACCGAGGAACGAATGACAGGGAATTGAGGGCTCAGGAATAGGATCTAAGGTTGTTGGCAGGACTGACCACCATAGATCTTCTGGAAACCTGGGCTGGCCTTTGGCGTACTTGTAAGCTGCCAGGTCTCGAAGCTTGATTCCCTGTTGCTGGTTAGTACTGGTCATTCTTGCCATAGAGATATCCTTACATCAAACTTTGCTTTAAGGTAGAACGGCATCTTACTAGGCGTGAACAATGTCCACCACCTTCCTGTCTCTTCTTTGACTGAAGGTATGTCGTTATCCGAGGTTGCCATAATCTCAGTAACTCCGTGGTAACTATGCGCAATGAATATGTTCACATTGCGGCCAGGGTCTGGCTCTGATAAGATCTGAGACTCATCACCACCAAGAGAATGGTAAGAGAGGGACCTGACATAGCCAATCCCTTCAAACTCGACATACTGAGCCCAAAGAGAGTTGCCGTCTATGGCGACGGAGATACGACCTGGCTTCGGTCGATCTTTCCGAAGCCAATGGTCGCGAATGGCCTGAACTGCTCGATCTCGGAGACAATATTGTGCAATATTATCGCATACTTCACGAGGTAGACGACCGTTGAGTATCTGACAGAGATCTTCGGAAAAGCTCTTCTCGAGCCACTTCAGGCGCCGTGTTTGGATTGAAGGGGGAGGATATCGTCCTGCTTCCAAAGGCTCAAGGATAGTTGCATTATAGATGCCAGGATCGAGTCGCTGATCGGTCATTAAACCTTGCTGTTGGGCCAGATCAACACATTCGGCATGGAAGGTGTGTTTGGAATAGTGGATGGTCCACGAAATTTCAGATTTTTTATAGGTAGTCGTCCACGGTTCACACTTTTCTTTGACTGTAAACAGGGTCAGAAGTGAGCCACAGTTGTGGAAAGGGAAGGGAAGCTTACAGACGACAACACTGTCATCTTCATAGAAGTCAAACCTGCAGAGACCACATGATGGCGAAAAGCCGCTGTTTTCCTTGAAATAGACTCCCTCCGAGGAATCGGATTCAGCATCGGAGTCGATATACTCGTGGTCTTCAAATTCTAGATCCATCGTGGAGGCAAGAAAACTTGGGATCTTGACCTAAAGTTAGGAAAATATTTAGACAAATTAGCCTCAGCTTAGGGGATTCTTTATCAAGTTTCGGAGTAGAATGTCAAGACGGAAGGATTGAGTTGGAAGAAGATGGAATTGAGTTGCGGTTGACTCGAGTTAAGCATGAGGATGCGGGTGAGAGTTCAAGGAACAGATGAACTGAACCATTCTTTGTGTGGTGGATGATTCTGCTGGCTTTGTTTATTGACACTGGCTTGCACTGTCGTTCAACCGTCAGAAGATACCTGAGACCAGTTGCTAATTTTGGTCTCTTTGTTTTGACGCGGCAGTGCAAGTGACAGTGGAGGGTACAACAAGGCCACGGTGGGAGGCATCGAGGAGCAAGAGAACATCAGACCTTTTTCAAATAATCATGAGCAACGAAGATGCTGAGTTTTTCTCAGGCTCAGAGATTATCTGAGCAAACGCATCCTAAGGTACACTTGTGCTTTCCTACTTAGAGTCGATGCCCCGAGGTTTCCATGAGAACTGCATCCTAAAGAGAGTAATTATAGTCTAATTTTATTTACATTTATAAAGTTTATGATGATGTATCCTAATTTGTGACCATAATAGAGTAGAAGGGACAAAGAACTTGACTTCCATTGTTATATATCTCGTCTTGCCCGATGCTCAAGTACAGTGCTTTGTTGACGTGCCCTCATTGAAGACTTTAGAAGAGGTTACTAAGATTACTAAAATAAACTTGTCAAAGAGTCCCCTAAGCTTAGGACTAAGTCTTTTTAATTCTTAGGGTCGAGGTCCTGAGTTTTCTTTCCTTCCCAACCTTTGACTGTCAAATACTTAAGACATCTTAACTTCCACACACACAAACATCCACTTCTCATCTCCTTCCTCTTCTTCAACTCATCCGCATAACATTTCTCAACAGTCTAACAATTCATCCCCATTTCTCAATCATGTCCTCATCCAGCGATGACGACGAAGTGGAATCCGTCGCACCAATCGAGCTGAGCGAATATGAGACCGATTTTGACCGTGAATCTGATCTTTTCTACGATTCTAATTATGAATCCGAGACGGAATCTGAACGGGCAAATAATCCTGTGACTTTGCAAGCCACGATGTCAGGCCCGAGCTGCGGTCTGTGCAGATTCGAATTCGAAGTTGACGAGGAATTTGTTGTTTGTATGTATAAACCACTGATACTGATCTCAATCATGTAGACTAACGAGCTGACTCTGTAGACAATCCGGTCAGTGAACGCTACCCTCGCATTTGGTGCGGCGAGTACGTTCCTGGGTGCGAGAAGTTCTTTGCGATAGAGCTTGGATTCCACCACGGCTGTGTCGCCCTACTAAAGCCCAAGACTTTGGCCAAGGACTGGACGCACAATCTTTCACATGCTACATCTGGTCCACAGGATCATTATCTGCCTCCTGTGTCTTGGACTAAGCGTCGCGCACAGTGGATCAGAGACTCAATTGCTGCCGACCTAACACAAGCTATCCATGGTCGTCTCCCACAAGAAATATGTCAATATATTGCGAGTTTCTGTATCCGCGAACGCGCATGCCTCATTCTTCGAGATCTGTGGCTGGACCCCGCTCGACCCTGACCCAAAAGTTGGCTCAAATATCTCACCATCGGGAGGAACAAGTCTGTTTGGGCCCAGACTATGGAAGTCGAGGGGCTACGCTACGTCAGATCCCTTTCGACCCGTCGTCTCACGGAACAGGATACCTTGGTCTACAAGGCCAGATACAGGAAGCAGAGCGCTCGCAACAGACCTGAAGCTTGCTTAAACATCTATTACTCTGAGGATCACGGGGGAATCCGTCAAGTGATCATCACAGAAGACAATGAGATGCCCACTTTGAACATGGAACCCGGTCTCTCGTGGTCCATCCATCGTCACCAAAAGACGCCACTGCGAGTCAAACAAGATTACAAAGTAAGTCGGCCTATCCTCTTATATGTATGTTCTGTGCTGACAAGCTCCTAAGTACACCAGGCTACGCTCTCTGAGGTTCTCCCCAACTCCTCAGTTTGACGAGACGTACGAAGAAAGAGCTTGGGGAGTTCTTCCAAAAGACTTTGATTCCTTTCCGCAAATTCCCCTTCCAAAGTATTTACACGCCAATGACCGCAACTACTACGAATCTGTTCGTGCTGTAGACTGGAACTCTCCAGGCATCTGCGGTTACTCCTTTTGCGTGCATGAGAAGCTGGTTCGAGGCATAGTTGCGCACAAACTTGGAGAACCAGAACCAAAGGCGAGGGATGAGTACAGCAAAGCTGAAGAGCTATGGTTTCACATGCCAATCGATCCCGATGAAAGGGTCTCTGAACTCTGGCTTCGCAAGGGAACGGATCCAATGGTTGCGAGGAGACAGATCGATACACTCATAGTTCGAACTAACAAGGGGCGTACCTTCACCCCTGGGCTCGATACTTGCTGCAGCGTTCCTGTGGGTGGAGCTCTCAAGTTCACGTACAAGGCAATTGCAATCTTCCCGCCAAAAGGAACTTCTCGCATGTTTTACTGAAGAGCGAATTGGTTGTGGGAATACCTCGTGTTCGAGCAGGAACCTGACCTCGGTAACAAGGGTGGTGACCTTCAAGGCGTGGTTGCATGGGATCAACATGAGATGCAATATTCATTCCCTCCCCCTACTGGGCCGATTATCTACCTCGAAAGATGTATCAAAACATCGGCGAGTTTGAGCGACGTCAGGACCGTCGCCCCATGCCGAGAGTGGTCGGCCACATTCCATGGTGAAGTCGTCGGGCTGTTACTGACATACTGTGATGGCCGTCGACGATCCGTTGGGCATGTGCGTCTTGATTGCCTGGAACCCGCCTTTTCAGTCTCCTCCTCGGATTGTTTCTGGCTTGGCTTTGCGAAGCACCTCAATGAAGATTCTGAATATCTCCCATGGTATCTGAAGGTCACCAGCTTCGGATTGTCTGAGCCGCTGCCGAATAGTTCTACTACGTACATCAAAGTCCCCTTTAGCGGAAGACTCGAGTGGGCATCTTGTGGCTGGATCAGTGCTGTCCGACATGTTGAGGAAGGGGAGCCATGCGATGATGAGATCAGCCAAGTTATGGCCGGTCAAAAGGGAGTTTTGGAGTACGCCAGCCCAGAGATCAAGACATTTGCTGTGCCAATCCGTGTCAGGGAGAACAACCCTCGATAAACTCAACAAAAGTTATCCTAAACTTATACTAAGTCACCCTAAATTTATACCGAGTATCCTAAACTTATATCAAGTCATCTTAGATTTATACTAAGTACCCTAAACTTATGCAAAGTCACCTAAGTCTCGTCTTCATAGAAGCACATGTTCCCGGTGCGAACAGAGAACGTATTGACCGTCTTAGAAGCAACTGCACCAGATGTAGCCTCGTGGGCTAACACTTGTTCCATCTCACTCTGCAGTCCGTGGTCTTCGAAGTCAAGATGCCGCACAGCGCTTTCCTCGGGCACAGCCCCCCAGGATGACCGCCACTCCAGCTTTCCTCTAAGCGGAATCTCGAGGAATTGCATGCCCGGGTCAGAATTCTCCGGCTTGCAAACACCTAGCCAGGTGATATGCCCCGTCGGTGGATAGGGCTCTTCTTGATCAGGTTCCGTGTCCCCCGAGCTTCCAATCCAAAACCTGTCAGAGGTAATGTTGACGGGTTCCTGCAAGTGATCTAGGCGAATATGCCCAACGGATCGTTGACGACCATCTTCATAGGTGAAAAGCAGACCAATGATCTCATTATCTACGCCGCTTCTCCAGCCACGGCATGGGGTAATCGTTTGAAGGTTCTCAAGGTCGGCAGATGTTGAAAAGAATTGGTCAGACCAGTAGTATGGGCCGGGCCCAGGTGGTCCAAATGAGAGTTCGATCTTGCGATCACGCCATGTTGTCATTCTCTCGAAGCCGAGCCAAGACTCCCCATGTCCGTATTTGTAGTAAAATGTTCGGGTTGGGGTTGATGGCAAATCGGCAAGCGCTTCGTAGATTAGGGGCCTATCGCTACGTGGAGAGCGAGATCTGATGTCAGGGCCAAGTACAAGACTGCGGCCGTTGCTTGTGACTACCTATGAGAATGTCAATATGCTTGTGTTCAGGTTTACAGAAATTTTATAGCATACTATGAGAGACTCAGCTCGATCCAAGGCATCATCATCCTGCGGGAAGTCTCCTGAGCGAAGCCATAGCTCGGAGATCTTTTCGTCAGGGTCAACAGGGAAATAAAGCCAATTCGATCTGGCATTATCGTAAGCATCAATGAGGGCAGGAGGTAACCTCCCTGGTCTATAGGGAACGATGGAGTGAATACAGCTGCATTGCAGGCCAATGACATAACCGGAGACTCCAGGCAGGTTCCAGTCGACCGCATGGACTGTTGCCCTGTCACTAGGTTCGAAGATATTGTCGTCGGGAGCGCCCAGGCAGCGAAGGTCTCTGGGTAACACGGCCCATCGTGTTCGTTGAACATAGTAATCTCTTTCGTATTGGGTGACATCCAAATTGCGCAGCTTGAGGCCCTACAAGGTCAAGTTAGCTTGATAAGTACACATATATTATATCCAAAGACTCACGTCAAAGTTCATGCTGATATGGAGTGGGAGATCATAACGTCTATAAGGAATATAGGCCCATCGAATACCAGGTTCCTCAGTACGCCCAATCTCATCATCGGGACAAGCAATGACGGTGCGTACTCCTAAACTATCTTCGGCGAAGTACATCCCTAACTTCATCGAAGAGCCGATATCTGGTTTGGCCGTAATAAGTATTGTATCCTCCTCGTTCATGCGAACGGTTGACAGAGACTTGACGTAACTGTGACCTTCGATTTCCACGTACTGGACCCAAATAGTTTGGCCGCTGAAAACGGGCAGTATGATATTTTCCTTCGGGTCACTAGGATCCCGGCGTTGCCAGGCATCTAGGTGAAGCTTCGCCGCATGTTCGCTTAAGCAGCAAGCAGCAATGTTTTCGCATACTTCAATCGGAAGTCGATTCTTGATTGCATGTCGGACTTCTAGGGAAAGCGATGATTTGAGCCGTCGAGTGCGTTTTGCAACAGCAGACGGCGGGGGTTGAGTGAATGAGTTATGGAATTTGAACCATTCGAGGTTCCATGCGCAGGATTCGAGAAAGCCTTTGTCAAACACGATATCGCCAGCAATTTGGAAGCAGCCCGCATGTAAAGCCTTCTGTCCATGGGGGTGGAAGGTCTCATTTTCTGGGTAGTATTTGTCATTCCAGGTAAGAGGTAGAGTAGAGTTATTTCGGTCGACTAGTTAAGTCAGAATTAGTAACTGTCAACATGAAAAGCTAAGAGAACCAAGTTCTCTTCGCTGATTTAAGCTCTCCGCCACGTCTCATAGACAAATAACCAAAAGTCGTGGACATACCAGTAATGATGGCCTGACCTTCATGGAAGGGGAACTTGCAAAGGCCGCATATGTTGAACACGCGCAGCTCGGGATCCTCAGGAGTGTCTCGCTCGGGAACATCTCGTGCTTGGCTTGAATCGAGGGAGTCGTCAGAAGCAGAGATGTGACCCCCTACATCTTGTGAGGTTGTGTCCATTTTCAGTACGTTGGGCTGTGAGCTGTTTGGCTTCAGAAGCTGAAGTTGATTGGGACTTTTCAGTTTTTTTGGTTTGATTTCTCTCTTCGAGACGTGGCAAGCTTCAACGAACGATCAATGATAGGTACCCACCTTAGGTATTGTTGACAGTGCCTGCCAGATGCCACGAACACTGGCCGGGTAAGCTGAGGCAGGGGATGAAAGAAAACTCAGGACCTTAGCCCTAAGTGGTGAAGATACTTAGGTAAAATTTGCCTCAATTAGATGACTCTTTGCTAAGTTTATTTTGACACCCGAAACGTCCAGTCTTTTCTGAACCCCCTGAGCCTAAGGTCCTAACTAGACAATCAACAAATACGTTCTACCTACCTGGGATAAAAGCTTCTAGACTGGAACACAGGAACCGTACTATGACCCATCAGCTTCAGCGAGAGACATCAGAGACATCGTTGACAGCATTGCAACCTCGATGACACGAGACCAAGGAAACACCAACGCCCAAGACCTGGAGATAGCAATAACTGGCCAGTTCGAAACACATGCGCGAGAGAAAGGAGTACTCCTTAGGGAATTATTGAACGCCATTGGCTACTTGCGATGCGCTGAGGTTTACACACAGGGGGTTCATAACCAAGGAGTATGTGCCCTCTCTGTGCCCTCTCAACAATGGCCAGAGAGCTTTTTGACTAAGGTAGCATATCTTTGGCCATGTATACTTTGAAGATGCAAAGCCAGAATTTACCCTTTTTACTTCGTTCTCAACTCATCTTTAGTGCGGCTTTGCCTACCTAGGTAAGTAATGATGATTCTAAGTTACCTAGATTCGTAAAAGGTGTTCCTGGACATCACTTTTAAAAGCTTCGACCTTCTGCGAGCAAACATGGATGTGATTTCGATTAACGTATGCTAGAGTCCCCTGAGGATTTTGCGCATTAGGTACCTCTAATATTCAGTGTCAGTGGCATCAGGTGTTAAACGCGTGCTCCTAAGCAACACACGTGACTGAAATGTCAGTCGGCCTTGATCAGTTTCCTGGTGCTCTTCTTTCTTCTTCGCTTCTTCACTTCTTTTCTTTTCTCCACATCACTCGGGAGAAGTCAGTGCCCTCGCGCTTCCCGCACAACAACGAGTGCTCATCTCAAACTCGGGTGTTTCTTTTCACACATTCTGGTAAGTCTTTCATCTTGTATAATGTCTTCAACATTTGTTTGGCTTCCCGCGATCACTCTTCTCCGTTTGGGACGCGGGGGCGTGAGAAGCTTGGGAACGACAGCCAAGTTTTAATAAACCTTCACAGCTCCTGACTGGCTCTGACAATATTTTGACTAACTACCTTCAGGTGCCTTATCGATACTCCCGAATCATTTCATTTCATTTTCATTTTCCTTCATCTTTCCTTCTCGGGCTCTGCGTGTCTGTGTGAGCATGCCACACAGACACGACCGATTTCATAATGGAACTCGAATTCGAAGACCCAACAGGGGGATACGATATCTACAACGACGCCTACAGAGATAGTAGTTCCTGTGGCCTTTGTAGATTTGGTTTCTATGAAGGAGAAGAGGTCATTTCCTGTGAGGATCCTTGGTTCACCCACATGTCTTGACTCTATACTCGATCGCTAACGAATACTTTAGACTCACGCTCCACATTCAAGCCCTGTATCTACAGTACCAAACGAGGTCGCCCTCTTATGCCATTTCACTCTGAATGTTTCCTGATGGTTGGTGATAAGCCGTTTCACAACGTCGCCGTCGCCGCCGCCACCTATCGTGGCCTTCGCTTTGAGGGACCCCAACGTCTAGAACGCCGTCGTCGCCGGTGGCTGGTGGACACTTTTGCACAGGACCTTTTCCAGACTCTTCACGGGCGTCTCCCGCAAGACGTTTGCGGAAATATTGCTGTCTACTGTGTTCGTCAACGAGCTGCCCAGGCCTTGGAGCAGCTATGTTCCAAGGGCCCCCTCCGATCAGGAAAGATATCAGTTCCCATTCACCGTGGTGTGACTCTATGGGCTCAGTATGTCTACTTCGAGGGCAATCGGTACATTCGGTCGTTTTCCTATGCTTCACGCGGTGGTGAAGAGGATATTGTTCTTGATTGGGACAGGGAGAAACTGCCTAACATCTTCATCCGCCATAACGGGCTAGGAGTCAGCAAGTTTATCGTCACAGAAGGTAAGGAAGGTCCAAACGTGGAGCACGATGAAGGGCATTAGTGGACCTTTCATGCTCAACAAAGTGGCATTTTCTACATGAAAGCAAGATTTGATGTAAGTATTGCGAACATGACCACTCCGCTGAGGGACTTTGTTGACATATCTTGGGCTTAGGGCATTAAGCTTCGCGGCTTGAGCATTTCCCAATCTTCAGAAGATCTTGCGGAGTTCAAAGACGACGGCCCTTGTGAGATACGATGGGCTATACCAGCAGCACCAGCGAAGCACTCGCCGAAAATCCCACTTCCCAAGGGCCTTGATTCTGTATTCGTACGAGCCTTTGATTGGAACAAACCTGGAACACTGGGCTACTCTTTTCATGTTTTAGACAACGTGATTCTTCATATGAACTCCCACCAGGCTGGATCGCCACCAGCTTCTGAGGAATATTCCCGAGCTGACTTCCCCAATGTCGCGCGACTCTATCTTGCCATGAGCCCTGGCGAGAGTGTCTCCGAGCTCTGGATTCGCACTTATCACGAACATCGTTCCACACTTATCGTAAGACATAGCCTATCTTCTAGCTCTTTCTGCTGTACTAACCATTGAACGATACAGGTCGTCACGAATCATGGCCGCAGTCTCGTCGTTGGTACTCAGGCGAATGAGCCGGGTGCAACATATCATGCAATTGCCAAGCTACCCCAGAACAAGCCTTGTCCTATGTTTTACATGGAGGCATGGTCTGAAAGAATTGGTTGGCTTCACTTCGATTCCGTGCCCACATGGCGGTATGCAGAACAGCGTGAAATCCATCCTCCCTGGAGAAGTGCGCCGAGACCTCGGCGATCCTGGCTTCCGTCATCCTATCACACATCAGCGAAACTGGATGATGTCAGAGAGGTTACGCCCTGTAAATTTTGGCAAACTTGGTACTTTGACGAGGGCGAAAAGATCACAGGGTTGCTGCTCACTTACACTGATGGTAGTCGAGGCTCTGTCGGTGAGATTCGTCCCGATAAACTGGGAACACCGGTAGCGGTGACTTCAGATACTATGTTCTTTCGGTACAAAGGTCCTTTTCGCGACGGCCCGGACGCTCTCAGTCACATGGTGGAATATGGACTCGACTGGTTCGGGTTTTCAGAACCACTCGCCTTGGCCTCCTCCGCTGAGGAGAGTGAACATACCAGCACAGAACTTTCCGAGCATGAAGGCGGGTCCGAGGCCGATTCTAGTGAAGGAAGTGATTCTGACGGCCTCGTCAACTATACAAACACCATGGTAGTGCCCATGAATGGGCGCCTTGACTGGATGGTGAGACCTGATGAGGGCAACATCCTGTCTCATCATGAATGCAGTACCCCAAAGCATGAGATGCGTGATGTCCTTGCTGAGCACGCGACAACAACTACAGAGGACCCAGTAGTGAAATCAGTGACCAGCCTGATTGGCGATATCAGTAAGTTCTCTTCTTCAAAACATCTCGTCCAACTATGAACATTTAGGCTAACCTGAGTCACAACTAGGTCCCAAGAATCTTGACTTGGTTTATCAAAATGCCGAAAGCAACGGCAACTACGACATCTTCGGGCTTTGAACTTCTGAACTTTTGGTCGCGATTTCAGAGGTTACCTCTTGGAGACCTGATGCGTGCAGGAATGAGATTTATGTATGACAAGGTAGCTAGGTAATGAAGGAAATAAAACACAGGACCTTGATCCTAAATGACAAGATTCAGGTAATATAGTCTAAGCATAGGATGAACTTTACTAAGTTTATATTAATACCCTACATTTAGGGTATGAACTTTACTGAGTTCATATTAATACCGTACTTTTAGGGTCGCTGTTTTCTTGTCCCCCGGTATGGCTATCCTGTTCTTTCCCTTTTCCAGGTGTGTTCTTACAGATATGGATCCTGTGTTTAAAAAGAAATAAACTTACACAACAATATTTACTGGCTTTTCAAATCACAAAGACACTCTCCGGACTCTCTTCTCTTCATTCCAGCTGATGGAGCTTTACCATTCGCGTTACCCTAAACCAGTCGCCCCCATTCCGAACCCTTACTAGCGTCATATCTCAACCCCCTGTTTTGGAGTTTCAACTCAACACCACGTCTCATCTTCTTCACAACACAAAGAACAAGCGTAACAATCTTCTCTCACTAATCTCATCAAATCAATCTATTCCCGTGATATGCTCAATCTATAATTGTCTCACCCCATCGGCCCGGCCCGCAATCTTCCCTAGTAACATCTCACTCACATCTCATTCCTCACGATGCTCTCATCATTCACGACTAAGCTCGCCCTCAAAAAAGCAGGTATACCAAGCGACGTATTCGACTTTTCAGAAAAGAAGCGCGAGCCAAATAAACTGCGCAAAAACCCACCAGCAGATCTCGATAATGAAACGGACTCAGGCTGGACGTCCTGGATGTCTGTTCGGTCTCTGCCCCTTACTGTTCAGCCGTGGTTGACGCCTCCGCCTGCTGCTGTTGCTAAGGGTAGACTCCCGGGGATAGGAGATAAAGCACCCCTTGACAAGACGGGGAAGTTGAGCGTTGGTGGGGGGAAGAGAGTTCTGCTTGTGTTTTTACGCTGTGTTGGTTGTGCTTGTAAGTTGATGTTCTCAAGATTCCGAGGTGAATGCTAATGATGCGCAGTTGCTCAAAAGACATTTATTAATCTTCGCACAATGGCGAATCGATATGGCGATGGGTTGACATGCATAGCCGTATCCCACGCCTCAGAGCAAGCAACTCAAAAATGGGTATCCCTTCTCGGCGGCGCCTGGAGCGTCCGCGTCATAGTCGATGAAGAGAGAGCTATTTATGCAGCTTGGGGTTTAGGAACGAGTAGTATGTGGTATGTACTCAATCCCACAACACAAGTTCAAGGATGGAAAGAGTCGGGATGGTTGGGAGAGAAAGTGGCTGGAGCGATACAGAGAAAGGAGACGAATGAGAAGAAACCAGTGAGTACGAATAATGTGGACGATGAAGAAGATGATGGGCCCTTGACGACGATGGGGAATAAGTGGCAGGAGGCTGGTGCTTTTGCTATCGATGGAACTGGGACGGTGATTTGGGGCGGGAAAGCGGCGAGGGCAGATGATGTTATGGAGTTGGAAGATGGAGCAAGGATACTGTTAGCCTGATATAGAGGAATATGAATATCTTGAAAGCAATGTTTAATGAAGCTATTCTAAGCGCCAATGTGTCTTATCAACCGGCACGCACAACAGGCTGCTGCCCTGACACCTCCTCTTTCTCCCACTCTCTCCCGGCCCAGCTCTCCAGCAACATATCAATACTCATGTGCTGATTTACATTGGCCTGATCGCTGGCATGGATGAAGCATTTGCTATACAGAAAGTTCCAGTCTAACCGACCTCGCCAAAGTATCCTCAACCAGGTCAGTCCTTCCTGGGAAGGGTTCCCACCATGGAAGGTTTGGCCAGTGGACGGAATCACTCTCATTGACTCAACGACTGCGCCACTGGGTTGAAGCAGTCTCGCCCCTATCCACATCTCTCCGGCCGGATCAACCTCGATGGGTGGAAGGAGGTGATCGAGACGGATTTGTCCTACTGACTCCCTCGAGCCATCGGAGTAGGTGAAGATGAGACCGACAATCCCAGTAGATCCTGGGATCCAAGTTCTGCAGGGGACGAGTCCAGTTACGCCTCCAAGTTTAACCGATGTATTGAAGACCTGCTGGACACTCATCCTTGAGGACCATGTAGATGGGTCGTGGAAAGATGGGGGAGCTTCATTCTTGTCATGGCGTTTGTCCTCACAGTCGAATGCAAGACAGTCGACACCGTCTCCCTGAGAACTGAACCAGAGACGAGAAGGTTTGGCGGTCAATAAGGCCACACGTTCGAAAATGGCATCTGGTTGGGTCATGTTGGCGTTGGCTCCTAGAAAGAAAACGCGACTCTTGTTCGTTCGTAGCTAGATTGCATCAGCACCCATTTATGTGTTGTCATCTGTCCGGCCATTGTAACGTACCAAAAGGATATCGCGCCAGAATGCTGGCCTTCTCCTCAGGCGCCAGACTTCGACGATCCGCTCGTTCTTCTCAACTGGAAAATACAGCCACACTGCGTGTAGTCGGTCTCCCCGACCTTCACTATAGAATGAAAAGTCCTCGCCCTCACGATGACTATGCAGGTAAAGTAGGTCTTCGTCAAGTAGGCATGCTGAATAGCCAGTGATCTCAGGACTTTCACACTCCAGAACCTTGAGATAGTGTCGACTACCAGCTCTGTCATCGAGGTGCAAGTACCAGACAGCCTCCGGATTTGGCGGTAGCAACGACCACCTTGCCAGCGGAGGCAGAACGTCTTCTTCCGATTTCACCACGTGCAAATCGCGCATTTTAAAGCCCTGAGCGGTTCGTCTTTGTCAATCCTCTGCCTTTGGCTCAAAACAAGGGCCGACTCACATCACCGTACCATTTCAAAATGTACCGCTCCGACTTATTGGTGTTTTGAAAAGTCCACCAAATTCCCGGCTGTTCATAGCTGGAGCTTTTTGACACATCGGTCTCACCAAAGGAGATTGCCCTGACTCCAAGGTGGTCTGAAGCGAAATAGAGTCCGTCCGAGACTTGCTGCGGCTCCGAGACCACCAAGAATGCGTCCCAAGCAACGTTATTGGAAAGACCTTGAAGGTAACGGGCATTTTCGAACGTGGTCGATACTCCCCAAATTGGTATTGTTGGATTGACAATGAAGTGTAAATATGTGGCCTTTTTGCTAGAAAGGATATTCACCAAGTTTGGTGCTAGAATCAAGTCTCTCACCCCTATTCGAGCCTGTTCTTGAAGAGCGCCCAATGTGGTATCTGCATGCTCCCCGGAAATATCAAGGCAACACTGTTGAAGAACCAGCATTCTTTCCTGTTTTCGGGAATCCGAAGGGCGGAAATCATAGTGTAGGAGGTTCAATACAACCTGCTTGTCAAAAGGAGGGAATCTTTTCATGCAGTCTAGGTGTGCAGCAAGAACAAAGGTCCTGGTTCTCTCCCACTGCCGTGGTGAAATATACTGTGGGCTTTCGGGATTGAAGATCAATGTTTCGTAGTCGAACTCAACTGTTGCTGGTGCCCTAGAACCCGCTATAGCAACAAGTCAGTAGTTGAAATAACTCAGAGTAGCAGACCAAACCGAAGAGACGAACCTTCAGAAGGATGGCCAGATCTTATCACTCTGTCCCCATCACAAAAGTCAAAGAGGCACAGACAGCAAAAAGACCACCAATGGAAACACCGTCCTTCGTCCATCGTGTATCAATGGAAAGGGTTTGGAGACTTGTATTAAGTAAGAGCCACTTCCTCAGTATATCGAGGCTATAGGTGACACCACCATTTGCATGTCTGACCTGTGACTTTTAAATCAAGCTTCATCTCAGAGATGCAACACTCCTTTCCCATGGTTCCGGTAGTTCAGGCATGCCGACAAAAGAAACAGGCATAAAGGGGAAGCTAGAGATGGACACTACCTACCTTTCCGATCTAATGTGCCTGCCCGTTCTATGCAATTGAACGCGGTTTGATGGCGTGTCAAGCACGGCCTGCGACGTTTGTATTGGCAAGAGAGCAGCATGACAATCGCTCCAACCAATGGCAACCAATGTTACAGACGGAAACGAGCATCTGTTTCCCGTGCAAGGCCTGGCCTCTTTGATGGCTTTGTGATAAAACGCTCCTGACCGCTGTAGCGAACGGCAGCGAGCCGGAAAATGTGGCCTCTGGGACGTTTCGGGGTGTCCTTTGCGCATTGTGACTGGATGTACGGTTGCACAGAGCAGTGCCTCTTCCCCCCCTCGTCGACCGCTTGGTCGTTCAAGACGGATCACAAATGACGTCGATTGGGGAATTGCAGGCATCGCGTTTGAGGGCTTTTGGCCCTTGTGATGGTCAATAAAATGAGCAGTCATCCGATACTGTCGGATAGGATAATAAATCACCATGTATTGGAGTTGGCACCCGCTTGGCTGCCGCGCATCTGATGTGAGTGCCAGGTACCGTACGCTTATGCTTGTTACAGTGAAGTAACATTCTGGGCCCAAATATCGAGATGATGATATCGTGAGAGTCAAAGTGGGGAAGTAAGAGAAGACCTTGAAGAGGTAAGCGGGGGCCCAATTGTTAACCTCAGCCAGCCGCTGCTTCAACACCTTCCATGAAAAGAGTGATTGAGTTTGGATGGCTTGCGCTTGCCAGCAATTCGTGACTTTTACAGCCACCTCTCGTCAGCTTGAAGTCAGCTTTCGGCCCCAGCAGAGTCAAGGCACGACGTTTGACTGGTCACAGCGAGACACACTGTGCTTCAGCTCCGAAGGAAACGACCGACTAGGTAACTCCGAGCAACCCGGACTCTAAATAGACCTCGAAAAAGGTGTGGTCGTACTTGTAGCGGTAATAGTTGCTTGTAAAGTGTGTGCGCCATAGTCAAAAGAAGACACGAGCTGAAAAGACATGGCTAAAGGTAAAACCACATACAAAACAAAATAAACACTTGTAACATGGTGAACGGCAGAGAAAGGTACATGTCAAGTTCCAGTCCAGACCTCCCCTGTCCCTTGA